AGGGAAGCAGACCAGGTACTAAGGAGGTATTCCAAACCTTCCTTGTCATTGCATTCTGGCACGGTTTTTATCCTGGTTATTACATTTTCTTTGTTTTAGCTGGTGTTGGTGTTGAGTTTGGAAGAAGTAAGTTGTTTAATAGTTACTGAGCTGTTTAACCCAACACAATTATCAACAATATAATAGTATTCAGACTCATGTTCAGAAAACGCTTCATTCCAGACGATTACACCTTTGATGTTTACAAGCCAATTCAATCTCTGAAAAAGATCAATGTCACAATTGCGCTCTACAATATTGCTGCCTATTTGGCAACTCATGCTGGAACCAATTACATTGCTGCCTCATTTGTGTTGTTGAGTATTGACCACTCAGTTTTTATTTGGAAGGAAACTTATGGAGGGCCCATATTTTGTGGAATTGTCCTGTACTTTACTTTGAAGATGTTTTATGGCAACGTAACTTCATCCTCCGAGAAAGCAAAGAAACAACAATAAATTATGGATTTTCTAAAACTTTACGTCAAATACGAAGTAAATAATCATGGCTTGTAGTTAGGTTTGTAGTGGATTAATCGTTCGCAATTTACAGATCACCTTTTCTTCTCGCTAGTCTCAACTTGAAACCTTCCTCAGGAGCAAGATTTGGCAATTTCTTATTGAAATGCATGCTTTGACTTGGGTACAGTAGCTCAACCTTAAATTGTTGAAGAAGGGCAATTGGTGAACGTTTTTTGCTCAATCAATGAAAATTGTTTGCCCAAGCACACTCTTGGTCCAGCGAGAATGGCAGATACGAGAATGGAGGATATGAATTCTCCAAAAATCGCTCTGGTTTGAATTCTTCTGCATCTTTTCCCCACACATCAGGATGTCTGTGAAGGGCATAAATGTTCAAAATTGCCAAAAAATCCTTTTCCAAAGCATTAATAGGATTAAGCAACAATTGCTGATGATACGATTCATTCACATACCTTTGGAATTTTGTATCCATCAATCACTTGCGACGAAGTTAAAATTCTTGGCGGAAGTTGACTGATAGGAGGATACAATCTCATATTCTCTTTCAAAACACAATCTAAATATGTCATATTTTGTAGCTTGTTGTAATTCGAAATGTCCTCTCCTGATGAGAAAGTGCTCACAATTTCTTCATAGAGTTTTTCTTGAACTTGAGGGTTCTTGGCAAGAGAGTAAAATAAGAATGCTAATGCACTAGCTGTGGTCTATTTCATGACAATATATCACATGTAAATTAATAGATTATTATATTCTCATGATAATAAATGACAACAATTCTGACCTACCTCATGACCTGCCAAGAAAAGATGGCACATTGATTTTTCAATTCTTGATTGGTCATTCCAGTACCTTCATCGTCAACAGCTTCAATCATGGAATGAAGAAGTGTGTTCTTGTCATCTTTTTGTTTTCGACACTTCTCAATAATAGAATCTAAAAATCGTTGAAACACTTCAATGGATTCATCCATTTTCACATTGCTTTCCAAAGGTAAGGACGTGTATGGCTTGCCAATAAATAATCTCGCTGCATTTCCAATATTGTTCATGACATAATGATAGGCATCGAGTGCTTTTTTGTTTGATTCATTTGATGCAGATTTGTGATTGGGAACTAATTGTGACAAGTAATCAAAATCTTCTCCAAATATTGTTAATCCCAACACATCAAGTGCCATTCTAACGTCAACATTCCGTTGTTAAATCATGCTTGTTCAATTCTACCACTCACCTTGCAGTCACATCAGAAGGAGAAATTTCAATTTCCTGAATTCCCTTATCTTGGAACAACTTGTTCAATAAGGACATGGTTTTTTGTGCATTCTCAACAAATGTCTGAGTAAATCGTTCAATATTATAGAATGAAGGGTCAAGAACTTTTCTCTGTCTCTTCCACTATTTGTTTTCAATGTAATATGATTCATAATCCATAAATTGAGTAAATATATTAAGCACACAATGAATTACTATTATTCCTACTACAATGATTCCAATCAATACAAACCTCATCACCATTTGAGAATACCACATTCACTCCAAAGAACTTGTGCATATCTTCCGTAAAGACCAATGTATTGTCCTTTGCAACCTCTTTCCATTTCGTTACAAACACTCGGGCAGCACTCGGTGTGGCAAATATGACCACTGGAATCTTGCCAACGAAACCAAAATGTGGACGAAAGTGTTGAAGAGCAAAGGCTCGTTCATAGGTTTGTACTGAGGCTTGATTGTACCGAAAGATATTCACGAGTAAACACCAAAGAGCATTGTAATGGGCCAATTCGCTAACGGGAACAGGATCGGGTGTTTGAAAAGTAATCTTCTTCTTTTTCAATAATAGCGGTTGGTGAGTGTCATTATGATCATCATCATGATGGGTGGGCCGGAGGACTCCTCCTCCGTTCAGTTCTCTCTCTTCTGCATGATGATCCTCTTGTGTTTCATGATGAGAAGGATGGTGAGTGTTTGTTTTCAAACCAACGACTTGAACTTTACCAATGACTTTGGCTTCATAATTTCTCATCACTAAATAGAGTAGAAGGAGGAGAGTGAGAATTGCTAATCCGATGATGGCGATTAAATTCATTTTGTACAATGTAATTTGTTAGGAAAGATGTTTCAATTTTTGTTTTTGATTGAAAGTATTGAACGAAACGGAGAACAGCTCGTGTTGAAATTAGTGTCGTTTCAATTCCAAACATGGAATTTCATTAAAATGTTAAATGAGCGCTTGTGTTGTGATGGCACCAATTAGAAGAATGGCGCAGAATTAAATATACCAGTATTATTACAATAGCACTATTTCCTTTAACCACAACTGTTCATAACTGTTATCAAAAATGTGGGAAATGATTACAACATTAATATTATCAAAAAAATGTCTTCACATTCTTCTTCTGCTACTACTGAACCACACACCAGCTCCTTCAAAGAACTCTCTATTCAGGATGTCGAGAGAGCTTCGGGACGAATTGTAAAATATATTCATCGTACGCCTGTAATGACAAGCTCATCACTTTCTGGAATGACTGGAATTCCTGGTTGTACTTTGTATTTAAAGTGTGAAAATTTCAACAAAGTGGGTATGTGTGTATGCTTGTTGAAATCATGATCGACAATTATTCATGATGAAATTTCGTGTTTTTGATTTTCAAACCATCGTGTAGGAGCGTTTAAAATTAGAGGTGCCACTAATGCAGTTTTAAATGCATTGGAAAATGGTGATGATGAATTGAAGAGAAAAATCAAGGAGGGCGGAGTCACTACTCATTCATCAGGTAAGTGGACTCACCTTGAAACTCTTTTTTATGGAATGGCTATCTTTTTCGAAATGTGAAATAATGATCATCGAAATGTTTATAATGATTATTATTTCACACTGTCAAACTCATGTGAAATTCGTTGTGTCCACAATCATAATCATAGGTAATCATGCTCAAGCATTAGCAAAAACAGCTCAAATGTTAGGAATTCCTGCTCATGTGGTCATGCCTTCAAATTCTCCAGCTGTGAAAAAGAATGCTGTCGAACAAACTTACGGAGCTCGTGTCATCTTGTGTGAACCAACTTTAAAAGCAAGAGAAGAAACTTGTGAAAAGATCATGAAAGAGACTGGCGCAATATTCATTCATCCCTATGACAATGATGATGTCATTGCTGGGCAAGGAACTGCCGTCTTGGAATTATTGGAACAAGTGAAAGTGGAACAACATAACTCTCCTTCACAGTTTCCGTTGGATGTTTTAATCGTTCCAGTCGGTGGTGGAGGTCTCTGTTCAGGATCCTCTCTCTATTTCAAACAGAAGGCTACTCTCGAATTGAGCGAGACTCAACCTGAAAAACTCAAGAAAACCATGGTCATTGGAGTGGAACCTGAGCTTGTCAATGATGCACAAAGATCTCTACAAGCCAAACAATTAATTGGAAACGATCCCAATGTACCATCGAATACAATTTGTGATGGCTTGAAAACCAATCTCTCAGAACGTACTTTCCATTACATTTCAAAATATGTGGATCGAATTTTTACTGTTTCGGATGAACAAGTGTCACGAGCCATGAAACTTGTTTGGGAGCGTATGAAAATTGTGATTGAACCATCGAGTGCTACGGTAGTGGCCTTGACATTATTCCACGAAGAATTTAAACAATTGGCTCTTGAGAATGAATGGAAGAATATTGGAATGGTCATTAGTGGTGGAAATACATCGATGGGACAGTAACCCGTACATTACTACACCATGCATCCGCGGAGAGAAGTGAATAAATCATCCCTACAACAGCATGACTGCTATTCACTTCGCAATGAGCGACCAAAAACGGCCAATTCAACAGCCAAAAATTTTCAAAAACATTAATTCTCGTTAGTACTACTCACTTCATCGGCATCCACAACATCTCATCAACAACAACAAGAAACACCAGCTCTAGATTGGTTTAATTTTGAACTACAATTTTATGCAACAAGATTTATCAGCTCAAACAGCAACAACGGAGGACAATGATGCAGCCTTGAATACAACTGCACCGGCCTTCTCGGAAGAGAGCGAAAAACTGGCTCTATTACTTGGGCAACAACGAGATTTTAGCAAAATAGGAACGTTTTTAATTCTTGTTCCGATCCTATTCGGAACAACCTTCTGTTGGGAGCGAGGGCCAACTACATTTCTGACGTTGGCATTAGCGGAGCTTGCTCTTCATCTCATCTTGAACATATGCATTGTTAACTATGCCAAAACGTTGCAATCATTTTGTGCTGGCAATATTTGTCGATTGATGTTCATGATCGTGATGAATTTATTAATGTATTATTGTTATGGTCCGTTTGTCCCTTATCACGTTTTCTCAACTTTTCGAATTTTAATAGCCTCAGGAACGGCCTTTCTTGATAATCGATTGTTCGTTACAATTACTATAGGCTTGTCAGGGTCCACGTTGGGTGGCATGTACCTAGCCTTTGTGAGAGAGAAACACTTATTGACCCCTGATGAGGAAATTAGGTTTCACCAACGACTGATAGAAGTGTTCACATTACATTACACAATCTTTTTAGGGTCGTTTCTATTCTCTCTCTTCATGAAAAAGAGATATGAAGAAAAGCATAATACTGACATGGCAATTGCAAGAGAAAAACTTATCAACAATGAAAAGACCCAATTCATTGCAAATTTGAGTCACGAAGCAAGAAATTCATTGCAAGGAATAATGGCCACTGTGGAAGTGTTGAAACACAAATTTCATGATGGAGTTTGCATGAAAAGTTGTGAACATTGTTTCAAAAAAGATAGTGCCATCTCTGAATTGATTGGAGACATTCAATCCAGTGCATCTCTTTTGTTACACATTTTATCATCATCATTGCAAATGAGTTCGCTTGAAATGGGAAAGATCAAATTGAAGAATGAAGAATTCAACATTCTTTCATTGTTTGAATCCATGACAGGAGTATTCTCATTGGAAGCTCAAGGAAAGAACCTTTCTCTGGATTCATTTTTCGATGCTTCAAAAGTTCCATTGAATTTGAAGGGAGATTCCGTTCGAGTGAGTCAAATATTGATGAATATCATTTCAAATGCCATCAAATACACATCTCAAGGTTTTGTGAGAGTGAATTGTACATGTGTTGATGAAAAAGAACTCTCAGAATTGTACAATGAAATTGAAGAAGATAAGAGTTATGTGAAATTTGAATGTATTGACAGTGGATGTGGAATTGCGCAAGATCAAATTGGAAAATTATTTCAACCTTATCACACTATTGATCCAAACATGGATGTCACGCATAGATTCGATTTTTATTTCAAGACTGCATCTAACATTAGTAGTGATAATAATGCAGGAAGTAGTTTGATTAACACCAATAGAAATGGATTGGGATTGAATATTACGAAATTACTTGTGGAGAAAATGAATGGAAAAATAATTGTTGAGAGTGTCAAAGGAAAAGGTACAACCATCTCTGTTGTGATTCCTCTTGAGATAGCTTCAAACCATGTGCGCTCTGAAGATAGAAGTGAAGGACTAACACACAAAAACGTATCTCAAATATTGGAAAAGCCTGTTCAAGAAGGAAAGAAGGTAATGGTGTACATCATTGATGAACACAAGAGCTTTAGAGACTGTTTAAAAGCATATTTAGAAATATTTAAGAGAGTACGTTCTGTTAAGGAATTTGAATCAGTAGACAAATTTCTTGAACTTTTCTCTGAAACAACGAAAAACTTTAAAGACGAGATGTATATCGTTTTCTGCCATGAAACCGAGTATGAGAAAATTTCCACTGCTCTTGATGGAGAACATGTTAACATTATTCTTACAGTTTTACGAGGTTCAAGCAGGTTATTTCCAATGATGAACTATCTCTCTAAGCCCATCCTTTTTGGAGATTTAGTAGCGATTTTTGATGACCAAGAAATGGTAAAGCAGCAAAACAACATCATCCTGGAAAAGAGGAGAAGCTCGTTAGGAGAGCTTGCCAACAAATCAGTACTCTTGGCAGATGATAATGCAGTGAATCGAAAAATATTGGTGAACATGTTGAAAATTATTGGATTCAAAGATATTGACACTGCAAATGATGGATTGGATTGTTTCAACAAATTCAAAAAGAAGGAATATTCTTTGGTTTTATTGGATTGTTTCATGCCTGTCATGACGTAAGTGTTATTCAACGAACCTCAATTATAATTGAATGGAATTTCTATAATTTTCAATGGTATTGCATTGTTGAACCTCAATGGTAATTGAATGAAATTTCAATAATTTTAGAGGAAGAGAATCATGTGAAATGATTCGAAATTTTGACAAACAACGAGAGAATGGTGAAAAACGAGTTCCAATTTTCGCCATCACTGCCAACACATGGGAAACGAAAGAACAACTTTTATCTCAAGGTTTTGATGATGTTTTATACAAACCCATCTCAGTACACGATTTGAGACAACGGATCCATGAGGCTGTCACTTAAGATGGAATTTACAACGATACTCGGTTGGAGAATCTTTTAGAATGTGTTTGTGCATTTACAACGAGTTGGTTGTAGTATTCCCTCACACACTCCTCAATCACAAATTGAACGTTTCCTTGGTTGGTGGCACAACATTCATAGTACACATGATCAATTCCTCTATTCAACAGCTCCTTCCTACCTTGCTCGATCATTCCCCAACTAACCTTTCTATTGGAATCGTGAGCCATGAACGTATAATTCAAACATCCTCCAACGCTCTTTAGGTTATTGAGATGAACTGTACACCCTCTTCGCTTCTCATTGAAAGAGGAACAACATACGGGTTGAGAACAACTTTTTCGTGCAGAATAAGATTTGAGTCGAGGTCTAATAGCATTGCTTTTGCAAGGCTGTTCTGTTTGTTCCGTCTTGATATCAATGACATCCGTTAGGCTTGGAGACAATTCCAAAGAAATTCTTCTTTGAGAGAGAAGATGATCTTTTTCTTCCAGGGTTTTTGGCAATTCATGTTCACTACTATACAATTCCGATTCAGATAACAAAGTTTGAGTCGTGTCAGCAGTATGGTCAACGAATCTTAGTCCAAGTAGGACGAGTCTCGATCTGTGACTGTTGTTGGTCATGTTGTTGTGAGCTGCATGACAAGCTGCGTACTTAGCCTCTGACATCCACGTATCAATGGCCTCCACAAACGACCTCTCATCGTCCAATCGAAAACACACAATGAAAATATCAGTTTGCTCATAGCTTATTTGTCTCAGTTCTGCATACTCTGTACGAGCTGAGCATTCTGAAAAGTACAAGCAAAAAGCCTTTAGAAGTTTGTGAAAAATCAAAAGTTGACATGCGAGTTGAAGTCATTGATATTAGCACAACCTACCTTGGAGTGCTGCTGTGTGGAATCGAACGACGAGGAAAAATTATTACTGCTACTACCATTACGACGCTGTCCTCCATTCACATTCATAGTCACTGTTGCATAGGAAAAGTCATACACTGTCGACTCGGGAGCACTCTCTTCATCCATGCTCGTATTTCCCATTGTTTTTCGATGCTGCTTGTGTATGTAGTGGTTGAGTAAGGTTGTTTTACCAACCTTCTCGGATCCCATGATGGAGATCTTTACTTGAGCCGTAACAGCAGATGCTGCGTATTCACTGGATACGGCATTACTTGAACTATTCTTTCCTCCGAATGAGGATCGTCTTCGGGAAGGAGAGGGATCTCGATTGAGGGTAACAAATTCAAACATTTCACGATTAAGGCAAGAATGTTGGTTGTTTTCTTATTGAGAAAGCTATTCTGACTGCTAATAACGATCATCATTTATTCATTCAGAACACACATAACACGCCATCACATCTCCTAATATTTAATGATGTGATGGTTTTGTTGGTGAGATCCAAATTTGGGCAAATACAAAAGAATTGTCATTTAAAAATGAATACATCCGGATTTTCGTCAGCCCTGTCTGCGCGCAATCTCTGGTTCCATCATTGAACAATCATTCGCCGTTCGGACATGCAATCAAAGAAACTTGCCGCAACTAGTAACTGATGATGAAGACTGATTCTTGATACAGAAGGAAGTTAATTTTCAATTAAGCGTTGAGCCAACATGGAAATCCAAAGGGAATTTCCCAAAAGAAGACCCAATCATTTTAACCAAACTAATAACACACAATGGCTGAACTATGAATTGATAATTCAACAGAAAAATGATTCCTCCAACCTTTGATTATACGTCGGAAGAAAACCAACATGATGCCGCAGCACGAGACACACAAGCAGAGCCACCACTTATTGTTGGTGCAAGCCACTTCTCTGGTGGGCCTTCCATGAAGCAAACCAACATCACCGTGAAGTTGTCTCCAAAACATGAGCAATACTTTACATTTAGCCTAGGACTGCCTCCATTCTTTCTACCTGTTATCGTGGACAATTTTACATCTCCCATTATTCATTACGATCGTAACACAACTCTTGTGATCACATGTAAATATGTGCCACAAGAATATCAAGACTCCTCGACTCTTCCTTTGGACAGCGACACAGTGTACACCGTAAAGATGTCATTAACTCCTTCGTCTGTGCCTCAGTTGGAAAAAGATGCTTCCATATCTAGATATCTAGAAAAGAATCTGAAAGCTAATAATGTAACTCCCTCAATTCTTGCCTACCTTAAAGATTATTTCATTATTGTGAGAGAATATATACCTGGATCATCGTTGAAATGTTTGACTATGGAAAAACCAACAACAGACCTGGACACTCTCCAAAAGACTCTAGAAACAGCTATCAACCTATGCAGAGGTGTTGACCAGCTTCACACAATGAGAGTAGTTCATTGCGATCTGGCTCCTGATAACATTATTTGGAATCAATCAACTGTAACAATTATTGATTTTGGCCTCAGCGAGCTATTACCATTGTCCAATCCGTATGTATACACCTCAAACCCAAAGGGAAACGCTAGATACATGTCTCCAGAAGCAACTGGCCGTCTTCCGAAACCCTTAGGGTTCTATAGCGACATTTACAGCCTTGGATTCATACTATTCGAAATGATCGCAAAAGACCATCCGTTTAGTAGCTGTGTGAAAAGCTCAGATTTTATTTTCTCTCACATCACAAAGCAGCCAGAATCGCTGTATCAAAATTTGAAACGAAGAGGTATCATTACGGACGAAGACTCTACATTCGCAACAGCGGTTCGTGCGATCGCGCTTGTTATTAACAAGATGGTTCAAAAATCCATTGAAAAGAGATACTTTTGCATGGAAGGTGTTATTGCTGATCTTGATATTGTTCTAAAATGCATCCAAAAAGAAGACAATTCTTGCCTCTGTAGCTTTATTCCTGGACAACACGATGTACAAACAACGATCTCTATTCCTTTCGTTGTGTATGGAAGGGATTTGATTATTGATGAAATGAGCAATCGTTTGCAAACCATGATTGACCTGAATGTACCAACTTTAGTCATGGTACGAGGATATTGCGGTGTTGGTAAGGTTCATTTGAAAATTTATATCTCTGTCTAACATGATGTATAAATAGGAAAAACAAGTATTGTGCGAGAGTTTAGAAACAGATGCAAGGACATGATTGTGTATTTTGAAGCAAAGTATGATCAGAATCAGAACATCCCGTTTTTTGCCTTTACCTCCATCATTAGCTCTATCATCGAGGCTGTACTTGGGGAAACAGAAGAGTTTATTTCTGAATTTAAAAGCTATGTTCTTGCATGGCTTAGTGTTACACAGCTCGAGATGCTTGGTGAAGCAATTGCTAATTTTAATTTAATATTTCCTTCCTATCAAGGCAGATCTAGTGCATTCATTTGGAAGGAACACCAGGAAGCAGTCAAGTTATTTTCTCAAGGAGGTGTGTACTCAAGCAAGTTTTTAAAATTCAAACTCACATCGCATCAGTCATTTGCTTGTTAAAAGCGTATAATCAAATGAAGCACAAGCCTATTACCATTTTCATTGATGACGTACAGTGGACAGATTTTGAATCAATGAAGTTGTTAAAGGAAATGATGGGGTTGGGAACCTGTGAAATCTTTCCTTTGCTTTTGATATTCGCATACCGAGACAATGAAGTGAAAGACAACGACCACCATCCATTGAATATATTTCTGGAATCAGCTAGGTCAATTGCTTCAATAACGGACATAGAGGTACCAGAACTAACTGAAGAAGATTGCAATTATTTGGTCGCAGCATCATTACACCGAACTCCAAGAGACACTGAAAACCTAACGAAAGTACTGTATTCCAAGACCAAAGGAAATCCATTCTTCTTGAAACAAATGCTTGTTACACTCTTCCAGGAAGAAAAAATATTTTTCAACCGGACCTTACAAGCAATTTCTTGGAATTTGGAAGAAATAGATCATGTGAAATATTCACAAAACGTCGTTGATTTTTTATTGATTCGGTTTGATTGTATGCTCCCAGATACTAAAAAAGCATTAGCGTATGCTTCATGTATTGGATGCAAAGCCCTGTTTCAACATTTGTTTCACTTAATGAACATTAAGAAGGATGAGTACTCAGCTTTGGAGCTGAAGGAAATTCTCGATCACGGAGTTAAAGAAGGTTGGATCAGCTACATTGACTCTCATACTTTACAATTCAATCATGATAGGCTACAACACGCGGCAAATTCGTCATTATCAGAAACAGAAAAAGCCAAAACGCATTACACTTACGGAAAGTATCTTTTACAAAAGGTTAAGACTGGCGAAATTACTCAAGAAGAGGTTATATTTGACATTGTGGTTCATTTGAACCACAGATCTAAAGACCCTAAAATTCTTAATTCTCCAGAGAAGCGTAGACGCCTATTAGAATTGAACAAAATGGCTGCCAAGAAAGCATTAAGTAGTTGCTGTGCAATAGAACAAGCAAAGGTGTTCGCTAACACGTCCCTAGAAATTTTACAACTTGAGAAAGATGTTTGGGGGAACCACTATACCAGACCACTTTTGAGCTGTTCATGATTCAAGGAAATTGCGAATATGTGACCAATGTTGATTCTGCAATCTCCATCTTCAATATTGCCTTACAAAAAGCAAAAACCAGATTACATGTTTTTGAAGCTTGCTATAATCTAGAGATGAGTTATTTGACCCAAGGAAAGTTTGAAGCCGTGTTTGAATTGTTGACGACACACATTTTTCCAGCTTTTGAAGAACTGAAGTTTTTGACAGTCCCTTCTAATCGAAATGTTGATGTTCTGCGAGAATGGATCGACAACAAGATGAAATACATGAAAAAGAATATCATTCCTAAATTTACCAAAAAGGACGTTCTAGAATTGCCTGATATGACAGATCCAGAGGATATATATTTTATACAAATGCTTGCTCAGAGTTGTCCAGCAATCTTCCATATGAAATCACTGGACACCATGCACACTCCAAACAGCAGATTTATTTTTATGACCTGCATGCTGATAGGTATGGAAAAAGTACTGAAACATGGATTGTGTCTGGATGCTCCCATTTTACTCGCCGTCTGCTCTCATTTTTGGAGCACGTATGATATTTGGCCTAGAATGACAATGTTTATTGATGCTTCGATAGAGCTCTCACGAAATCGGTACAAGAACCCACAACACTGGTCCTCATGCCTCTTACTTAAAATTATGAGCTTTGCTTTGTATCCAAACATCAATGCCTTGGAAGTTTGGAATTTGATTGAAGAAGCTTTTCTATTGACAGTCAAGTGTAACAATAGAGGATACGGAGTGTTTACCATAACATATTACCCCTTCTACCATTTCTTTTTTGCTAATTCTGATATCAAAACTTCTATTGAGCTCAGCAAGCAATGCATTGCCATTATTAAGGAAATTGGAAATTGTGTCCTTCTAGACACCAGTAACATGATTCTTGAGATGAAGAGAGTCATTTGCGGTGAGACGGAGAGTTTTGACCCTCCATACACTTGTGATGTTATTCACTATCCCTTTTTTAGATGTATGCACTTCTTGTTTAAAGCAATTTCTCTCTTTTTTCAACAGCAATTGGAAGAGTCGTTTACATGCATTGAACAGACGTTTGAATTTAAAGAAGAAGTATTTGGAATGTGTGCTGAGTGGGTTCTCGTTATTTCTCAAGGTTTAGTATGTTGTGCTTTTCAAAAGTATATTCTATTGAATCACATACCCAATCAAGAGGAGAGACTGCAAAAAAGTGACAAAATTATTGATGACGTCCTGCAAAGATTGGAAAGGCTTTGCCAATGTAATTCACTGATTTTTCCAAGCCCATTTGCATTGATCAAAGCAGAGAAGCTATGGTGTGAATATTTACGGTTTGGACATGACAACACTAGAAGCATTATCAATTTGCTGACACAAAGTTTGACACTTGCCACCCAAGAAAGAAACCACTTTATGGTGAAGTTTTGCAACCTAAAATTGGGAGAGTTATTCAAAGATCTTAATCTATTTGACAGCATTTCTGGAAAGTATTTTTTCAATGCATACGAGCAATTCAATGAAATGGGTGCATCTCTTATGGTTAACCATATTTGCGAGAAATACAAGGATCAAATAGATGCCTATGAACGAGAGATGGGTACATCCGTAGCATCGTCGACGAGCTCTTCCGAAAAAAGCGCCTCCACTGTCCAACAAGAATTTTCATTAACATCCATTACTAAGAGCAGATTTGCAGAGAGCAACGAAGTTGACTTCAAAGAGATATTTATTTCTATTTTACCTTTGCTAAACGAACATACTGACTCTAATCGATGTTGCCTACTCCTCAAAAGAAATACTACACTATATCTAGATGCAGAGCTTAATGATGAATTAAACCCAAAAGTGAGCATACTGCCACACCTAAATCATGAAGAGGCATCTATTGACAAAATCGCTGATAAATTGCCTCTGAAAATGATATATAGGACAATGCGAACGAGATATGAGCAAGTTTTTTCACAATCTACGGAACTTGATCCATACTTTGAGAATTCTCATATTGCCTCAGCATTATGTTTGCCAATTATTCGTGAAAAAAGTGTGATTGGGTGCGTCTATCTCGAAAATAGAGAAATCGAACACTCTTTCACCGTGGAAAAGATCAACACTGCCAAGTTAATCATTTCAATTAGTATTGACAATGCTAAAATTTTCAGCTCTATCAACAAATCCTACGCTCGATTTCTTCCATCTGAATTTTTAAAGCTCCTTGGAAAGAGTCATGTGACCAAAGTGAGACTAGGTGACGCAATCTCACGAGAAATGACTGTTCTCTTTTCAGATATTTATGGTTTTACAGAATTAATGGAGTCTCTTTCAGCCAAAGAAGGGTTTAGTTTCATCAATCGACTGCTATTTAAGGTAAGTATTTTTTCGACCCCACAATATTCTGTTGATAACATTACCACATTTCGACCATAATAGATAGCACCGCCTATTAGCAAGTATGGAGGATTCATAGATAAAATATTAGGTTTGTAGAATTCGAAATAATCATGTGGAATGTAACCTTGCAATCATCTGAAATGTAAATTGATATTTGTTATTATTATTCAATCAAATTCAGGCGATGGTATCATGGCGCTGTTTCCTGACCCTCAATCTGCGGTGAAAGCTTCATTGGAAATGATATTCGAGTTGGAAAAATTCAACGCTGAAAATGTATACAGTGTAAAAATGGGAATTGGTATTTCCAATGGTATGGTAGGTGTTATTATTGAGGTATTGATTTAAATTATTTAAACTCGTGTTGAAATATTGTTTTCCGACATTGGTTTTAAATGATCCAAGGTGAGCCTTGGAACTATTGGATACGAAGACAGACTCGATGCTACCGTTATTTCTGATACAACCAATGTTGCCTCGCGCTGTGAATCAGTGTCCCGATCATTTAAATCAAGAATCATTGTCACGGAGACTGTTATCAATGGTTCCAGTCAGATATCAGATGCCTACATTATTTATATTGGAAAATTTATTTTGAAGGGCAAACAAATTGCTCGAGATTTATATGCCATAAAAGGCAAGAAATGGAAGACCATGATCCAAAACGAAGATTTGTTCGAAAAATCTACAATTTCCCAAGTGGTGTCGTTATTTCAATCTAAAAAGTTCGATGAATGTCTTGAACTAACCAAACAAATTAGGAATGACACCACCACAAGCAATCCTTTTGTGCTCGCCATGTGTCGATTTTATTCACGGGCCTGTGACATTTATTCGAATTGCAAACTTCCAGAGTCATGGTCAGGAGATATTCGATTAAGTAAGGATGGAGAACCAAAACCATATTTTTTGGAAGAGAGTTATTATCACCCATGATCAAAGTTACATTTCAACAACAACAAACATTCAACATGTTGTTTCAAATGAATGATATTAAATGAATGAAAATTTTCCATTCAAGTATAGAGCTGAATGAATCAACTTATCGAATAGGCCTATTATTAATAAATAAAATTATATTATTTTATTAAAAAATCAAAAAAATGAAAATATCCTCACTTTGGAATCATCATCACACACATTTCAATCAACTCTATCGGAAAGTGTTTGTTTCCGTGAATAATAATAATAATTTATCAAATCACTTTCAAAACCATTCAACTTCCTCTTCTTCAACATCCAATATCACTCCCTCTCAAGATTATTATTTCGCTCACAACCGATTTGAAGCATTGGACCATCCAAAACCATCTATTCAATCGGTTGTGTTTGATATGGACGGAACGCTCACCGTGCCATGTATTGATTTTAAAAAGATGCGCTTGGAAACAGGAATTCCATTACCACAAGATTTATTAACAACCATTCATGCATTGAGTGATGAGAAGGAAAAGAAGAGACTTTTTGATATTATTGATCGTATCGAGGAAGAAGCGAACGAAAAACTTGCATTTCAACCACATTTGTTTGAGTTATTGGATGAGCTCGTAAAATTAAAAATGGTGAAATCGAATCTGCTGCCGAATGATGCCAATTTAGTTGTCGAAACTGCATCGACAACACTCGGTCATTATGAAAGCACAACAAATGCTCCTATTTCAAGACATTTTGCTGTGGTGACACGAAATTCAGAAAAAAGCTTAAAGTTCTTTGTTGAGAAATTGGGATCGAAATATTCGGATTTTTTCACCATTCTACTTTCGAGAGAATTTTTACCTTACAAACCCAATCCTGGATGCTTACTTCATATTGCACAACAATTGAATTTGCAATCGCCAGCGAACATTTTGATGGTTGGCGACTCTTTCCACGATATTTTGTGTGCAAAAAACGCAGGAGCTTATTCTTGCCTCTACACTTCAGAAACACACTGGACTGAAACGCACACGAATTGTGTTGAAGAATATCAACCTGATTTCATTTGCCATGATTTACGTCATTTGGTTCACATTTTAAACTACATGTCTAGTTTGTAACAGGAGTTGATGTGTGTTTATTCGTTCTTGCATCATTTTGACGAGTTCAGCAATAGGGTTCCACAAACCTTAATTAACGTCATTACTTAATTGTGAAATATGGCCACGTCGAAAAAAATTACACTAGCTCTATGATATCATTTCCATAATTCTATTTTTTAAATCGTTCAGTGAGATGGGTTTGTATAAAACATCATCAAAGCCTTGAGATAAAAGTTGTTCTTTCGTTTCCCATGTGTTGGCAGTGATGGCGAAAATTGGAACTCGTTTTTCACCATTCTCTCGTTGTTTTTCAAAATTTCGAATCATTTCACATGATTCTCTTCCTCTAAAATTATTGAAATTTCATTCAATTACCATTGAGGTTCAACAATGCAATAAAGTGCCATTATTGAAAATTATTGAAATTCCATTCAATTATAATTGAGGTTCGTTAAATAACACTTACGTCATGACAGGCATGAAACAATCCAATAAAACCAAAGAATATTCCTTCTTTTTGAATTTGTTGAAACAATCCAATCCATCATTTGCAGTGTCAATATCTTTGAATCCAATAATTTTCAACATGTTCACCAGTATTTTTCGATTCACTGCATTATCATCTGCCATGAGTACTGATTTTGCCGATAATTCGGCAACGGAATTTCGTCTTTGGGATATAACTTTGTACGGTTCAACAGTTACATGCTCCTCTTCGTCCAAAATGCCAACAATATCAGCAAAATGTATGGGTTTGGATAGATATTTTTTGTTCGGGTGAGACCTTGTGGTTCCTCTAAACAATGTTGGGATGATTTTGACATTAGGAATGTTCTCAACTTGGTGATAAATCGTATCATAGCTACCATCTCCACAGAAGATATACCTCGGCAAATTAGGGTCACTAGACTGTACATGATTGAAATACTCTATTGGCGAAGCGTACTGATATACATCAACCACCCTTTTAAAAATGGTCAAGTAGGATTTGAGGGCGTCTCTGAAGCAATCATCGTCGTCTATTATTACAGCAACACATTCCTTGGAGGTATCTTCAATGATTCGAGGTAAGTTGTGTGCATGAGTTGGTTCGTTTGTTTCCTTTTTGAGAGCCACGCCTTTTACTACCTCAAAAGGTATAATAACAGTCAAGGTCGTACCTTTGGAAACGGTGCTTGCAATGAATATTTTTCCATTCATTTTCTCAACCAAAAGTTTCGTAATGCTGAGACCTAATCCATTCCTGTTAGTATTGATAAGACTGCTTCCACCATTGTTTGTGCTTGCATTTTGAGGTGCAGTTTTGAAATAAAAGTCAAATTTGTGCGTGACATCCGTATTGGGATCAATAGTGTGATAAGGTTGAAATAATTTTCCAATTTGATCTTGAGCAATTCCACATCCACTGTCAATACATTCAAATTTCACGTAGACCTTACTAGAATCTATCTTTTCAAACTTGTCTACAAGTTCTTCATCGTTCAAACTACTGCAATTCACTCTCACAAAACCTTGAGATGTGTATTTGATGGCATTTGAAATGATATTCATCAATATTTGACTCACTCGAACGGAATCTCCCTTCAAATTCAATGGAACTTTTGAAGCATCGAAAAATGAATTCAGAGAAAGGTTTTTTCCTTGTGCTTCCAATGAGAATACTCCTGTCATTGATTCAAACAATGAAAGAATGTTGAATTCTTCATTCTTCAATTTGATCTTTCCCATTTCAAGTGAACTCATTTGCAATGATGATGATAAAATGTGTAATAAAAGAGATGCACTGGATTGAATGTCTCCAATCAATTCAGAGATGGCACTATCTTTTTTGAAACAATGTTCACAACTTTTCATGCAAACTCCATCATGAAATTTGTGGTTCAACACTTCCACAGTGGCCATTATTCCTTGCAATGAATTCCTTGCTTCATGACTCAAATTTGCAATGAATTGGGTCTTTTCTGCATTCAAAATCTTCTCCTTTGAGAACTCGATTACATTTTCCGTATACTCTTCATTTCTTTTCTTGGCAAAGGAAGTGAACAAAAACGCGCCTATCCAAACCAAATGCTGCAAAACAAATACTTCTACAAGTCGGTGATAGAATAATGTAATTTCATAAGGTTTCATGTGCTCCTTCTCTTGCATAAATGAAACTACCATTCCTACAAGAATTGACCCCATCAGACCATATCCATGAACAATGAATAACATGTTGCTGTAAAAACAGTTGTTTGCTGCAAATAACATCCTCACAAGTCCAAATGCATGATAAGGAATAAAAGGGCCATAGTAAAAATACATTAAAAATTGTATGGACATCACCAAAGGAAGCCTAATCATATTCAACACAGTGAAGCCTTTTAGAGTCGTTATAAACCTCATCGATCCAAAATTAAAGGAGAAATGTAATAAGAATTCAGAAAGAGTGAGTACAATAAAAGTCGAAAGCCCCCTTGTCCAACAAAACGTGCAGCCAAAGAGAAATGGGATCAAAATCAAATTCGGTCCTAGTTTGTTGAGATCTTTCTGGCGTCCGAGTGCTTGTTTCAAAATTTCAGCGTTCTTTTCTTGCTCCGAAGGTTTCAGAGTTTCCATCTTGTACTAATGATGATGACAAAACCAATTACGATAGTTATATATTTACTTCGTTAGAGTAGCGTTCGTTAGAGTGCCGCTTTGAGAAGGGCTTTCAATTAGTATGCCGCTACCAATTCGACTGCTCCGATGAATCGAGGACAAATTTTTTTTGCAGCTGCGAGAGATAAAAGAGAGCTCAGTTCTTTGGAAAGACGGTCAAACTTTTGCTGACCACCGTTTTGGATCATCAACTTGAGGCTGCACTTACAGGAGGACCTCCATAACTTTTTGCTTGAGGTCATTGAGAGTGATGGGTTTGTATAAAACATCATCAAAGCCTTGAGATAAAAGTTGTTCTTTCGTTTCCCATGTGTTGGCAGTGATGGCGAAAATTGGAACTCGTTTTTCACCATTCTCTCGTTGTTTGTCAAAATTTCGAATCATTTCACATGATTCTCTTCCTCTAAAATTATTGAAATTTCATTCAATTATCATTAACGTTCATTATTGTTCAACAATGCAATACCATTGAAATTCCATTCAATTATAATTGAGGTTCGTTAAATAACACTTACGTCATGACAGGCATGAAACAATCCAATAAAACCAAAGAATATTCCTTCGTTTTGAATTTGTTGAAACAATCCAATCCATCACTTGCAGTGTCAATATCTTTGAAACCAATAATTTTCAACATGTTCACCAATATTTTTCGATTCACTGCATTATCATCAGCCAATAGTACTGATCTTACAGAGAAATCATCTGTATGTGCTTTGTGTTCATTCGTATCCCTGAGTGCTTCCTCGTCCGACTTGCCTTCTCTCAAAACTTCAACCAAATCATGAAAGTGTACTGGCTTTGACAGATAAGTCTTGTCATTAAATGATCGTGTAGCTCCTCTTAAAATAGTTGGAATAATTTGAATATTATGTTGTTCGCCTTTCCCATTTAGCAAGGCGTGTGAAATTTTCTGCAAGTCTCCTTCCATGCAAAATATCAGAGTACGAACATTGTTAATGGAAGGTTTTGACGCGTGATCCCAGTCAACAGAGAATTGTTGAAAAGTGTCAAATTCTAAAACAGTATTAACCCTCTTGAACAATCCTAAATATTGCTTTAAGGTTTCCCTAAAGTACCTATTTTCATCTATAACAACGGCCATAATTTTATCGCTGGTAGATAAAGAATCGTGGAGTATTTGAGATGTGTTCAAAGGCCATTTTTCCTGAGAACCTTCATTTGGAGGGGCTTTGACTCCCTCCATTGGAAGAATTACAGTGACTGTAGTCCCTTTAGATGGCTCACTTACAATTTCTATTTTTCCATTCATTTTCTCCACAAGTAATTTCGTAATATTCAATCCCAATCCATTTCTATTGGTGTTAATCAAACTACTTCCTGCATTATTATCACTACTAATGTTGGACGCTGTCTTGAAATAAAAATCGAATCTATGCGTGACATCCGTGTTGGGATCAATAGTGTGATAAGGTTGAAATAATTTTCCAATTTGATCTTGAGCAATTCCACATCCACTGTCAATACATTCAAATTTCACGTAGACCTTACTAGAATCTATCTTTTCAAACTTGTCTACAAGTTCTTCATCGTTCAAACTACTGCAATTCACTCTCACAAAACCTTGAGATGTGTATTTGATGGCATTTGAAATGATATTCATCAATATTTGACTCACTCGAACGGAATCTCCCTTCAAATTCAATGGAACTTTTGAAGCATCGAAAAATGAATTCAGAGAAAGGTTTTTTCCTTGTGCTTCCAATGAGAATACTCCTGTCATTGATTCAAACAATGAAAGAATGTTGAATTCTTCATTCTTCAATTTGATCTTTCCCATTTCAAGTGAACTCATTTGCAATGATGATGATAAAATGTGTAATAAAAGAGATGCACTGGATTGAATGTCTCCAATCAATTCAGAGATGGCACTATCTTTTTTGAAACAATGTTCACAGCTTTTCATGCAAATTCCATCATGAAATTTGTGTTTCAACACTTCCACAGTGGCCATTATTCCTTGCAATGAATTTCTTGCTTCGTGACTCAAATTTGCTATAAATTGAGTCTTCTCGTTATTGAGGTATTTCTCCTTTGCAATAACAATTTGATTCTCTGTAAATTCTTCATTTCTTTTTTTGAGATAGTGAGAAAATAAAACCGACCCCATCCATACTAAATATTCTAAAACAATCACCTCAATCATTTTCTGTGAAAACATGTTCTCCTCACACTTTGAAAACTTATGCCTCTCTAGTAAATATGAATAGTACATTCCTCCAACTGTTGAAGTCAAATTTCCTAACCCATGTAACAGTAACAATCTTACATCATAGTAACAATTGTGGGAGGCAAATAAAATTCGGAAAACCGAAAAAACATGGTACGGTACCAGAGGTCCATAAAACCAATACATGAAAAATTGTACGCTCATGACGATGGGAATTCGAAAAATGTTGATCACTGAAAATTGTGTCAAGTTAGCAGCAAATCGTTGAATGATAATGTTGAGTAATATTTGTGAGGAGATTTCAATGAAGGTGAGTGCAAGAAATGGCTGCAATCCTCGCTCCCAACAAAACACTAATCCATAGAGAGTGGGTACTATTGATAGGATAGCTCCGATTTTGTTTGATTCTTTTTCAGGATGGAGCAATTGTTTGAAAATTCGATCTTCTTCATCCTCGTTGTTGATGAGCGTAGCAGATGTGGTTGTTTTTGATGGCAAGGAGTTCTGGCGTTCCCAACTACCACTTCGCTGGTGTAACATTCCTTTATTTGGTTCATTCGGGCTACGTCTCAGTGTTTTTGTTACATTAGCTTTTTGTTGTTCGCCCAGCAAAAGCTGCTTTGTCTTTGTTGAAGGACAAAGGCTTCTGCTGGAGCTATAATGAATAATAAAACGACTTGAGGTATGTTGTTGTGATTAGAAAAATACGGTGTAATTGTGGTCGGAAGAAATAAATAGGTGAACAATTTTAAACGTGTTCCAATTTTTGGACGAACTTTTTTTGTGATGAAAAATGCTTGACATTTTATTGCATGTCTTGAGACGAAGCCACCACCTGGCTCAGCTGGGAATACGAAACGAGGTTTTTTGTTTTCTTTGCAAATACGTAAAAAGGAGGTGACAACAACTGATAATTTCCAACAATCACAGCAATTTGTTTTTGATAAAGCTTGGTGCTGGTTGTTGATGAAAATTGTCCAATTAATTTAAATTTGAATGGATCCGTCTGATTTGGTGCCACAAATATTTTAAATGAGTTAATTGGTTCAGAATGTCGAGATGCATTTTCATTGTTCTCATTGAAATTGCGAACCTCTACGGTTGCATTGCTCAAAGAAATATGATTAGTCTTAATTTCAAATTCTACGGGCTTTTTAAGCAAAAATGCCGCAATATGATTTTGAGCATGAATTAATGAGTCGTGTGTTTGAATAATGGTAAAACTGATGTCGTCGGTTAATGTAAGTCGTTCTGTTAAGTTTGGCAAAACTTCACTTGTTTCAATATGGAAAACAGGAAGTGAAATGTTGTAGTAATTGGAAATGCTTGTCTCCATGAAATCGGTGGCAAATCCGGCCCTATAGTCATGTCTTGACTGATGGTATGATTGACGGATGGAGTTGACACGATGTTGTAAACATCGCAATTGTAAGTCTTTCGCACAAATTAAATCTTGATCTGTAAAACTATAAGAAATGGATGTCACGCTTTCTCTAGCTTGCTTTCTTTCATTATTAAAGTCAACAAATTGTTTTTCAGTCATTCTCATCAAAATTTGTTGGTTAATTTGACTAGGGGCATCACAATATTTCCTCTTTCTATCGTTATTGTATGAAAGATATACACATTCTTTTTTCACTAATTTGATTTTCATGTTTGAGTAACTTCTATGATAGTCCAATACTGTGGTTCTTTTTGAATAATCACGTGACTCTCCGAAAAATCCTTCAAGAGAACGTGTTCCCAATAAAGACAAATCAAAAACTGCATCTTGTGGAATAATTCTGATCAATTTCTGAATTGTTTTGATGTTATGGATAATGATGTTTTTTGTGAGGGTTCCGGATAATGTAAAATTATTATTCTTATTGGAAATAATGACGTCTTGGAAAACGGTATCCCACTCATTCAAATAGTCCAAATTTTCCTTAAGAACTTGCAACACTTCGTGCAAATTGTGTGAAGATGTTCCATCATGATTTTTGTCATCGTAAACATGAAATAAATCATGTATCGCTTTTAAGTACTTATAGAATCCTAAATATCGATAGTTGGTTCTCTCGTTCAATAATCGTAATTTTTCAAGTAACTGTAAATTGCATACATCACGTAATACATCCTCAGATTGATCATCATATTTGATAAACGAGCTCCGTTTAACTATTTTACACCACTCTAAAGGTTGTTGTCTATATATTTCATCGAGTGTGTTCAATTCAAATCGTTGTAAAATAGAACAAGAAATTTTGGTGACAGCTATGTCTTGATTGCTAAAATTTGCCACACACACTTTACCAATGTTAGTATGAAGGGTTTCACTCAACAACGTAACACTTAATTCGTTGTCATTGCTGCTATGATAGAAAGAAATGCCTCCAGAGTTAAAATTCCGTGGTTCTTTTTCTTTCCATTCAAATGAAATTGTGTCTTTGTCATTCACTATGAAGGAAAGTGGTATGTTGGTCGCTTGTGTTCTTTGAATAACAATTTTCATCAAATGGCAACCGTTTCCGTTGTCGTTGGAAGAAATACAAGCAGAGGAATGGCGTGCAATTTGAAGGTTTGGAGCACCTACTTTAGTGGCAACCGGATATAATTTTGGTCTCCCATTAATTGCATTCCTCATGTTTTTGCAATGGTGACTGTAGCAAAAATGATGTAGTTCATTTGGGCTCGATGTGAAATATTTGTAATTAGCAGACCCTGCATCTGACACAGTACAGACGATGTTTCGAGTATATGTGTCACGAAATTCAGAAATCGTGTCTCTAATGGTTTGTTCAGTTTCAGTAGTGCATACTTTGAAGTTTCCAGGAATTCGAACTTCACCGTTAATACTGCAATATAAAGTTTGAACAATTTTTTCAGCTAAAAAACCCTTGGGTGGAAAATTCGGACTCTGAGCTAGTGCAGTACAATCACTAATCTTCAATGGACCTTCATTGGCACCGTATACAAGCCCAAGCTTGGTATTGATTCCTAAATGCGGTGTTACATCTACTGCATCAATTTGAACAAGACCAAAATTTTGATTTTCAATAACCTTCATTTTTTCTACTAGCTTATCAAAGTCATCTTTGTCTAGTTTAGTATTCCCTTCTCCATATGATGCGGTGTGAAAATGATGGTCGAGTGTGGATGAACAAGGTAGGACTAAGTTACATCTTTCAGAAGAGGGTTCAAATTCTTGTCCTCGTTTCAACCCTCTCGCCAATGCTTCATACGCATTGTATCCCATGATAACCAATAAATCTTGAGCAAAACAAAGAACAGATGGGCTCCATCTATGGCCTCTACTGTCTTTGCAAATTAATTGTGAAAAAGCATCACGAAGATATGTGAAAAAGAAAGTTCGAGGTACTAATTTGCGACTACCTAACACCTGAAAAAACAATTTTTTCAATTCTTGAATATCCTCATCAAATATATCACATTCCGAATAATAACTATCATCATCGTTATTTTGTGATTTAAAATCAGCATGGTCTACAAAATTATGAGAGATGGTGTCGGACTTGGTATTTACAATTGATGAGTGTGTTGGAATAAATTTGTTGTTAATTAGTTGTTGCAGCATGTAATACGGTGCTGTTTGTTCTTTTGTTGAATATGACAACGTGATGTAGTCTTCAGCAAAACCATGATCCAGGATTTTATGTAATTCAATAACGCCGACATTTTTTTCTGGTTCGAGTAATTTCATGATGGTTGAACTAGAATAACGTTGTGACGTTGTTGAGGTTTGAGGTGGGTCTTCGCAAGCTGTACTTGTTTTGGAGTGTTTACGTTTTTGACGAATTCGCATCAGCTCGTCATGACACTCTTTCAATTTCAAATAGCCTTGAAAATGTAGTTTGTTGATCCATTCTGATGTTAACTCTTGATTTTGTCTTTGATTTTGAAATTTTGGGTCAGAGTAAATGTTATAGATAGCACTATCCTCGTCCGGGTCAATGCAATCAGTAACATATTGTGCAATCTTTGTTGAATTGTCAACCTGGAATTTGCAACAGTATAGAACAAATGGGACTCGTTTGTTGTGTGTGATGAGGTATGAGAAATATAGTTCGAGATGGCGATGGATGGTATTAAAATCCTTGCGATGAAATCCACATTGATCAATAATATCTTCTATTAAATGTTCGACATTAATATATTGATGGACTGCGAATAGCATTGTTTTGATGGCAACATGATATTCCGGTCTCAACAGACCGACAAAGGCGTTTCGTTCATGTTTTAACATTTTTATTGAAAAAACCTCCAGCAAACACCAGAACAAAACTTCGACAGCCTGCTCGACCTTTTTTAAAATGGTTAGGATTCTAAAAAATAAAGTGCTTTCCAAATGCTATTGTAACACTATTTCTGGGAGTTGGGAACGCCAGATAGGCTGGTTGCCTACGAAGCTTTTTCTATCTGGCTCACCCTCCCTGAACATTACGCCTAATCAGTTCAATAGCACACCAAACTGCTCTCAACATGCCCAAACGAACGTTTTCCCTAATGCGGATCGAGCACAGATTAATTCACCAAGCGGCACCAGTAACAATGATTTCTTCTCACGATTAATCTTGTCACAGCAACAACAGCAAGCTGTGGATACAAAAGCCTCATTAGTCACTTCTCCCCGTACTCCCAGAGTAACCTCTCCAAGAGGTTTCAGTATCAATAGATCAGGAAGATCTTCATCTGCCTCCTATAATTACAGACGAGCATCCATGAGCAGTGAAAGCTTGATGTCTTCATTCAGATCTCCTTCCAACCATAACAATAATTTTGATCCTATGGTTATTGGAACTCTGATTGCATCATTGAGCAACAATAACAATACCAACAACAATATGAATGCCATGAATGGAAACAACATGATGAATGCAACCGCTGCGAACAACATGATGTTCCAAAACTCAATGTCTGGTTTCTTAAGCAATACCAATTCTAACCAAAATAACACTTGTATCAGTAATAATCAAGGCAACAACATGTCCTATCCTCCACAGGTAGTATCACCTCAACAAATACCATCTCAACTTTCTTTCCTTTTTCAGCAACAAGCTCAACCTCAATCCATGAATGTAAATACGTCATCCCTCTCCTGTACACAACCAATGACCATTGTACAACATAAGCAAAATCGTCCTCAACAACTCTTCCTGTCAAGAAGCTACTCTCCTGGAACAGATGTGTGCACAGACAATTCCATTACTCCAAGATCCATGCATTCAACAGATAGTGAGCTTAATTCCTTCTCGCATCTAATGCTTGTAGATAGTGAATCATCTACTCCAAGACAAGGCTATTCCCAAGCACAGAATATGGAGTCGACAAGTATGAATGAAGAGATCAATGCCTGTCTCGACGACATTAGAGCCTTCATGGATGAAAATTCATTCCTTCCTGACGAATTCAGAACTTTTGAGTTCCCTGCACAGACACATCAAGCGAATTCGGCTCAACCACAAAATGAACACCTACCTCAAACAGAATATTGTTTCTTCAATACCTCGACCATGAATGAGAACAAATCCAACGAAGATGTTGCCCTGCAACAGAGTGCACACGATGTAGCATCAATCCCTCCTGTTTTCAACAACAACAATAATCCCTCTCAACAACTCTCTCAACCAGCAGCACAAACAAATCCAACAGAGCAAGATGAAATTGATGAAATTGAACAATTTCTTTCATTGTTTGCTTGATCAGTCGTTGTTGTAAATATTATAAATCAAAGGGCGTATGCCCAAGTTTTGATTGGATTTGATTTTGAAAAATCATCATTAAAAAAAATGAATTCTCTTCGTTCCGCTTCAATCAGAGCTTTACACTTGAGAAAATCGTGTTTGATCGGGTATTGCACAAGAGGCATGGCTTTCAACACAGATCTCTCAATCAATCATCACACTAGCTCTTCAACAATGAAAATCAAATTCTTTCCGATCATAACCTGTACGAACCGAAGAGCTTTCTGTAAAAACTTCTCACTTCACAATAACAACACTGTTGAAGACAGCCAAGCTAAAAATGGCGAAGAGGTAGAAACAAACAGTGACTATTTTGCTTGCTTGGCGTCCGTTGTGGATTCATGTGAAAAATCAGAAAATCAGGACGCTTTGTTTTCTTTATTGAAAGAGCTGCTAGACAAGAAGGATATGGAATCTTTGAAAATGGTGTATTTCATGCTTATGAAAGAGGTTCGTTTCAAGATGTAACATTTTGCTAACTGACAGCTCTGTACAGAACTTAGTTAAACAATCTATGTCATTTACACTTACTTCTGAAACATTATTCGGTCTCATTTACGAGAGTAGGTCAAACGTTAGCTTAGAAGAAATTAGAAAACATTACATTAATTCTGGAAACAATTTACTCGAGACATGTTTGCACTTCTTGCAGCCTTGTATGGTAAAATATAACCAGCAAATCAGTGTAAAAAATTTGGAGAGACGATACATCAAACAAGTGAGGTATTTGATTATCTAAAAAGGCTCTCAAATACCGATAACAAGTTGAAGAAGTCAGTAACAAAACAAAAGATAGATATTGCTCTAGAGCTGCTAAAACAAATTAGGAAGTATAAGGAGCTGAAATTGGTTATCAAAATATTATCTAAAGAGTTACCAACGATAACAGGACTTAAGAGAGCTGAGTGGTTGACAATTTTAGCAAAGGCTATCGAGAAGTCAAAGCTTAACTCTAATGTAAAATTAACCTACTCTCAAATTTTTTCATACATTGATACCTATACCAAAACAAAAGACCCAAGTACGATTTATGATTTTCTATGCACCCGAGGATCTCTTTCTTCCCTATCTAATGGAACATCTCCTTTAGGCATTGGCTCCATAGTATCACCAATGTTAGCAAAACCTATGAAGCAAATAGATGCAGATTTTTTGACAAAGTTAAAGAACGAAGGAGAATCTCAAATAATTTGTGAACGCAAATACGATGGAGAGCGCTTGTTGTTGCATTTTGATGCATCAACAAATCAAGTTTTGAGTTTCTCTAGAAATAGAAAAGCAACAGATTTACTAAAACATTACCCAGTTGAAAAAGAGTCGTTGATGCAATCCATACTATCACAGAATAACAAAAGAAGCTTCATTCTGGACTGTGAATATATTATTTGTGACAAAGATTCTGGAAAAGTGGCCAGCTTCCAAGAATTTCAAAATAGAGCCAAGTTAGCATCATCAATGAACCCTTTGATTCGAGCATTTGATATCCTTTTTCTGGATGATCAATCTCTAACCAACTCTCCCTTACAGCACAGAAGAAATATTCTGGAAGATATTGTATCAAACATTGACAATTCAGTTCTTAAAATGTCTGAGGCAAAAGTATTTGATATTCATTCTACGGATTTGGAAAAGATTGTGGATGATATTTATGACACAATGAATGAATCTCTAGCTTCCAACTGCGAAGGGCTCATCATCAAATGCCTCTCTTCAAGTTATGAATTTGGTAAGAGAGGATGGTACAAATTGAAAAAGGAGTACATTAAGGAAGGTCTTTACGATACAATGGATCTAATTGTTCTTGGAGCAAAGAAAGGAAACGGTAAAAGGTCAGGCGTGTTTGGATCCTTCTTGATGGGAGCTATCGACACAAAAACTGGTAAAATTTGTACTGTTTGCTTTGTTGGATCAGGATTATCCAACAAGTTGCTTGAACTGTTGACAAACGAATCCCTCAAACATTACATTCCAACTCCTCTAATCTCTGATGAACGGGACCTCGAAAGCAAATACGGTGTAGTTGTTCCTAAAAGTGCATTCAAATCTATTGACTGCTGGTTCGTACCGCAACTTGTATGTGAAGTGTCTGGTGCAGACATTACCAAGTCCAACGCCACAAGCTCTGGCTTGGGCATACGTTTTCCTGTGTTCGTAAAAACACGAGAGGATAAGACACCTGAAATGGCCACCACACTTGAAGACCTCCAGGAAATGCGCAAAGCCCAACAATCAAAAATACTTCCCAGTATCGATGAACCATAAATTTTGCAACAGTTTGTCATTTTAGCATGTCTTCGGAGCGCAGAACTGATTTTAAGAGACGATGCCTCCAAAAGTTTCGTGTGCTCGAATGATGATACTACATCAACATTTAACTACAGCTGGAATTACCGTCCGAATTTAATGTAGACAACCATGAGCTGACTTGCACTTCAAACACCAAGCAATGACTTGTAACAGAATTTTGTTGCCTTTGATATTCTTATTGGCTCGTGCAAGTAAATTTCGACATTCACACCACACAACAGGCTGTCGACATAAAAAATGAACCAATCTCTTACTTTGAAGATTATTCCCTTCCTCGATGTACATCTCATGTTTCCTTTGCTTGAATTCCTCGAGCAAAATGAGGTACGTGTTGTTATTATTATCATGGTTATACTCAATTGTATTCACATTATTAACATCATGATGATTGTCCAAAATAATCTAAAATAATATTCGGGTGATGATGCTCACACCTTCAATGGCTTGACATTGCTATGCTTTATCATCATTTGGAAACTTGTATATTCTCCGACGTATTTTATCAACTCTCTACAATGTAGATTTATCCAAAACAACAAGTACAACTTGCTGCTTTTGAATTAAGTAAAAAGACCAAGATGTTGGACTTCCAAAAGAAAAAACAAGAAGAACTCGGTGCTATTAGTGAAGCAGGTATCACTCCAATCGACTATCAAAAAGAGGAGAAGGAGATTATGGATCAAATCGAGAATTATAAACAAGTATGCGAGCCTCTTCTTACCAAATTGAAAGACTATAATCAAAACAAGGAATCTATCAAGGAGTCCTTGCAAGTTTATCTTTCAGGCGATAATAGAATTAAACCTGAAATGTTGGACAAGCTCTATGACTATGCAAAGTTCATTTATGAAACAGGAGATTATGAAACTGCTGCAGCATTGTTATCTGATGTTAAACAACTCTATGGAGAAGTTAATATCGACAAGGCATACATGACCGCTTGGGGTAAATTAGCAAGCGAATTAATGTGCAAGGAATGGGAAAGTGCTAGTGCTGCATTAAATGATTTGAGAGAATTGATGGAGAACAGATTCCAACAAATGTTACAACATGAAAGATCATCAGCAAATGCTGCTGCTTCCTCAACTGCTCCAGTTACCACAGCAATCACAAAAAGTGGTGTTAAGAGCGTTGAATTGGATCTCATCAATGCTAGATGCTGGTTCATTCATTGGTCCCTCTTTGTTGCTTTCTTTGATCAAGCTAATGGATACAAGGTATTCTTAGACCTATTTTTCCCTTATCCAGCTGGAACTTCTCACCCACAAACAGATCTTACATCTAACAAGTACATTTCTGCACTCTTCCAAAGTAATTGCTCCTATATTCTTCGTTATTTGGCTGTTATCATAATTTTGAAGAAACGCAACAAGACCTATTTGAATGGATTGGTAAAGTTTATGGAACAACATTTGATTATTAGATCCGATTTTCAACAACAAGATGAACTCTTGAGTGATCCTGTTATTCAATTTATTTATCAATTGAATGTCAACCATGACTTTAAAGCTGCTTATGACACCCTAATGACATGTGAAAATATTCTCAAGAATGATTATTTTACTGCATCACATGTTAAGGAATTTATGAATCAAGGCAAAAATATGATTTTTGAAAGCTATGCTAAGGTTTCACATGTGTTCGCTTACGGAGATGCTTCAAAGACTGATTTCCCACTTGATGAAGAATTTATCAATTCAGCTATCAATTCATTGAAGATCCAAGCAACAGTAGATACTGAACATCACCGTGTGACGGGGAAGAAGCATTTGCCAAACATCTATCAACAAATTTTGGAGAGGACAGAAGAATCAGCTCAAAAAACTCATAACATTGCTCTCAATGTTAAGAATCTTCAAGCTCAAAGACAATCTAAACATTAAAGGTAGCTAATATTTATTTGCAACTAATTATTGAAGTTCTGAAAGATTCTCATTTGATTTTGTTGCATTGTACCAGCTGAAGTGGGGAGAACGTAGGGTTGTTGGTGATTTTGTTGATGGCTTGCGCTGTTGTTGCTGGGTTGCATCATGTATTGCCTTGGGTGATTGAGAGATTGATGTTGAACTGAAGGGTTTGTGGCATTCATTTGAGGACTGTTGTGTTGCACGTTGACGAAGTTGGAAAATCCATGATGATGTTGTGAAGACTGGTTCAAAGCAGAGATAATAGTGCTATGTGAAGGCTGTGTTTGTTGATTATAAGCAATGGTTTGGGCTGGAATTTGATGTTGTGATTGGCTATTACCATCTTCATAATTTTCCTCGTATTCTTGACTATTTTCATGGTCCTCATACTCTTCATCATTGTGAGTACTTGGGGCAGGATAGGTATTTTTCAGCCGTATTTCCTCTCTGTTCACTAGAAAGGGCATTGATGAAGGAGATACTCTACCATTGGCTTCCCCATTAACGTTTAAGGAATTAAATGGAACATATCTCAGCGAAGCGTCCGTAGCCATAAAAGTTTTTCCCTTGTCTAAAGAAACCTTTACCTCAACTTCTTCATCTGCATTTCCGTCAGGTGTTTCACAAACTATTGTGTTGTCCTTGCTTGGGGAAACGTAAACGCATCGAGCTCGTTTATCCCCAAAGTACACGTAAACGTTGTTTGGAGCGACAATTTGCTGATTGATTAACACTTTTACCAATTGTCCACCTTGAACAATGCTATACCTAGGGCTGACTTTCAGCACTTTTGAAATCTTACTACGACTATGATCAATCTTTTGTTGACGCTTTTGATTTCCTCGGTCAGTAATTGTTTCAAAATATGAAGAATCAACATGAGCTACAGGTAATTTGTCAGGAGAAAGCAATGTAAATCTAACGAAGAATTTTCTACCGTTCATATGTGAAGCTTCGTCAATAATTATGTTATCAAAATGCATGTCCACACGTTTTGAATCTCCTCGCAAATTTACCTTACTCTTTGATAACAGAACAGGTTCCACAATATCCTTGAGTACTTCCTTTTGCTTAGTTTTATAACCTAACAGAGAAACTTTCATAGAGTAAAATTGGTATCTAGGAATGCCAGAAATTCTAATGCTGATAATATGTCTTGGAAGTGGTTTCTTATTTTGTTTTCCTCCTGGTTGAGGATTGGGTGGAGGTAAATCGAAACCTTCTTCTATCATTAACAATCCATCAGTGTCTATTGTTAAGGATCCTGTTGCTGAAGAGCTGTCAGGTATAGTAACTATACGAGACTTTTCTTTTGCTTCAGTGCCATTGTTTCCAGAATCATTGCTTTGACTGTGATATGAGGACGCAGGTGAGTTCAATGGTTTAATGACATGCAGTGATGAAGAAGGATTTGGTGACTTGGTATATGCAGATCCTTGTTGTTGAAGAGATGGTAGAGGTTGTTGAGGTTGAGGATGTGACGCTTGATGGTCAAAAGAGGAGTGATGATGATCAGTAGTAAATGTAGAATTGGATGGTGGTTGCACTGGAGGAGGTTGTTGATGATTGTGATATGGAACAGAATCTTCAACAGTTGCGATCATAGAAGGAAGGGTTCATTTTGCTGCATATTATCTACATTTGATGCTGAGCTAGGAAATGATGACGAGTTTGAAAAGAGTGCATTAGGAGTACTCAAGAATGTAGGAGTTGGAAGATTAAATGGCATGTGAATGTCACTGGCTGATGTTAACGGAGGAAATTGCATTGACGATGCTTTTGAAATGTTTCCACTATTGCTTCCTTGTAACAGAAGGGAGCAAGCTCCATTTGCGCTGTTGGTGTTGGTATTTGTTCCTGATAATGTTCCACCTGTTGTTGCTGAGATGTATCGTATTGAAGAAGGAGGAACGCCTGAAGGAGAATGACCTAAAATGCTGGTAATGCTGCTATTGTTGGTATTAAGGTGACTGCTTGAATTGTGAGCCTGTTGAGTATGAGAAAAATCAGAAATATAGGGTGCCAAAGTAGTGGATGGTGAATGTTGCAGTGGAGAGGCTTCATGGAAACGGTGTGGATCCATGCTCAAGGGTGTTCCTGCAGCACTTGGCGAAGTCTCAATAATTCCTCTCGACAATGAATTGGTGAGAGGAGAGTTCAAATCGAAAATAGTTGCAAATTTGGACGATGATTGTGAGGGCTGAAGTAATTGATCGACGTCGAGTTCCTTTTTGACAAGGTCCTTTTTGCGATTACTGTTAGAGGGCGGACGAGAGCTCATGGGTGCTGTTGAAGTTGACGGTAATTGTTGTGAGGTAATATTGTGTGTTGATGATGTTACAGTGGCGAGCGAAGGCAACATGAGAGGATGCAAATATTCTCTTAAGTTGCTTCAATGCAGAGATGGCAAGTGTTGCTTTGTTGTTGTTGTGATGTTAATGGAAGAAAACTATTTTAGCCGACAAGCCGTGAGACGGGGCAATCAGTTGGAAACAATTTCTGTTCGGCACTTTGAGTGAAGAGTCTTTTGATAGTATGATGATTTGTTATTCGTGTTCTACTAAATTGTTGGAGAGGTGAGTCCTTGTCGGAACGTAGAGTGTTGGCCTGTTGTTGTGATGATGGCGTTGATGATGATGAAAATTATAAATTCAACAAGATATTGCAGATAACGATGTAATATTAAAAAGGCTTCCAACAATACTATTTGAATCGATAGAGACAATACCAAAAGAAGGCCAAATTCAAACAATCGGCACGGATCAACGTTGTTCTTCTCTCAAGAGAACTTGTGGTTCGCTTTGAAGAACTTGTCTGAGAAGATTGAATTCAGAAGCGACGTACGGACGTTATGGGAGAAGTGCAGTGATTGAGAGATCACTCGAAACGAACTTGTTTTTCGCAGAGATTATTTTTTGAAATGAAAATGCAAAACCTTGGATTGGCTGTGCGCAGAATACTCTTTAGTGCTGTGATGAAATTTGAAACATTGCAATCAAAAGGAATTCAGAGAGAGAGGATACAGTCTCGTATGAGAACATGAGTGTTGAAGTTGGGGAGATCTCCCCATTCATTTAACAACATTGTTAGCATATTTTGATCAGCTTTTCCCGTCTCTCGATTAGTTTCCCAACACTAAGCTCAGAATTGGTTGTAGGACTCTTGTCTGGTTCTTGTGTTTCTATTTGCAAGGCAACAACAACAGACACACAAACCAATGAAACATGCGACACAAAGGAAGAATAGGCAAATAACAATGACTACTGCGGCAATGATTCCACTGGCAACAGTTCCTGGATTTTCATAAACAACAACCATATCTTGAACTTGGTTTTGGGAATCTAATTCGCAAGAAGGAGTGAATGTCTCAATATTGTTATTATTCAATCCACATGTGACAAAGGCAAAGTTGAATGCAATTTTGGCTGTTGAATCTTTCAAAACAATGTTGGCACAAACAAGGGCATCAATTTTGCCTTTGGATGTCAATACTGCATTATACAATGAGCTCATAGGTCTTTTGATAAATGATTTGAGAGTGAAGGCGTCATCTGATCGAAGAGGATTACTGATGGTGATACTATCTCCTGTGCTGGTTAATTGAGCAAATGGAAATCTCAGTGCGTTACATGATGAATCAAAGTATTGAATGTCTCCAATCCTCCAAACACCACTCTCGAAGGTATCGAGTGTGTATCGCTTGGAAACATCCGAAAGAAGTAAATCTTTGAAATCATTGGCTGCAAGTTTTTCATAATCGGTGAGAGGTGTGGATGTGTTATTATTCTGTACTGGCTCTCCATGAATTTTCCCGGCCCAGTAGATGACAGCAGTCAATGTAACAACGATGCAGAGCAAATGTCTCATGTCTATTTTTTTTGAAGTGAATTTGACCGAGAGAGAGGTTATGTTTAATGGAATGGCGATAAAATATTCTGGTCGTCTGGTTTGATTTCATTGATTTAGTCATAAGTACTGATGCTAATTTTCCACTCTACTGCCTATGTGTGGGTTGTTGGCAATCTCGCTTAGCTCAGCATGCCTAGATGCAAAGTTACTATTCCACAGAAGTACTGAGCTGTCCGTTCCTCCAGTAGCGAAGAGTGAACCGTCCATAGAAAATCTTGCACATGTCGTTGAGCCAACATGGCCCGATATTGTGTACATTAATTGTGCATGCATTAAATTCCATATTTTAACATTGTTGTCTTCACCAGTGCTGATCAAGTAATTGCCTGACTTGTGGAAATCTATGGAAGAGACTGGAAATTGGTGACCATCGTACTTCTGCAAGGGTCTGCCCGAATACCTCAAATCAAAAATTCGAATCGTGTGGTCTTTTGAGCAACTTGCTAAACACGTTCCATCAGGAGAAAATCGAACCTTATTTACAAAGTCTGTGTGTTGTTTCAAGTCCACAATACACTTGGCACTACCACTGTCAAACAGCTTGATAACTTTGTCTTTACCTCCAGTTGCCACCACTCTTCCATCATACGAAATGTCACAGCTCAGTGGTGCTTGAGAATGTCCTAAAAAACAACTCACAAATTGTTGATATTGTAAAGACCAAAGCTGTTCAGGAAACGGATATTAATACCATTGAGATTGATATTTCTATTGATACTTCAAAGTTGAGACATACCTTTGCTGTGTTGTCAGATGAGCAGCTCAATAAAAACTGGCTCGTATAATCGAAGGCGATATCGTTAACAGTTCCCTCATGTGCTTTAATTAAAACAGAGTGATGAGGTCTTTGCAGTGCTATCTCCGCTGTGTCGTCTCCGATACCAAGATGCATCAATCGAACAGTTCTGTCATTGCCTCCTGTGGCAATCAAATGGGTGAACGCACCATTAAAAATCTTTGGAGCAAATTTTACACAAAATACACCGCCCAGCTCATGATGTACGTATTTAAGGGGAAAGAAATTTCCTTTGATTTTCCAGAGAAATAAACTTGAGTCGTAGGAAACTGATGCCAATCTGGAACCATCAGGACTAAAATCTAGTGATGTTATAGCATCTGTGTGTCCTTTAAATGTTGAGTGTAGAGAAGGATCACAATCCTTTCTCGTCAGTTTGTAATTATCAGGCAAATGCAGCTGTTTCATTTGATCTCTGTACCTAGAAATGCGGTTCCATAAATTATCGTGACCATGTTCGTTGATGTGATTCCATAATACGTTATCTTCATCAGGTATCACTTTATCCTCAAATAACGTTTCATGTTTTGATTCAGCATCTATTAAATGTTTATCCTTATTCTTTTTTTTAGATTTCGGAGGTTCCAATTTCGACACCTTCAGATGATGCCTTTTTGTTGTTGTTGCTGCTGATGTTGTCGTTCGGAAACTTGTATCGGCCACTTTGTCGTTGCCAACGAGTTTTAATTTCAGTGCTTGAGAAATGGCCGAAGTTGTTGGATCTGCTTGCATTTTTTGCGGTTGCAACGTACAAAATGGCGCCAAACAGACTCAATCAATGTTCATGGGCACGATGGATCAGATGAGACTTTGCTTCGTTCTTCTAGTATCAAAATGGGAGGCTATCAATTACAATTAATAGGTGGGTACATGCCAAGATGCTCTCAAAAGCTCCATTTCTATTTTAAATTTTGTACAAGTCAAAAATGTGTGCACTGCATAATCTCGAAGAATCTGCCCATCGACGAGAGCACAAAGAAGAGACTCCCCCGACCACGTCATCAACCCGAAACATGAAGAAGGAACATGATACGACACGAAAGGAGTTGATGAGGAATACCCCAACAATCGAGAATGTCGAGAATACAACAACAGAACTCTCAGAGAAGCTTTCTCATGTTCTTCATGCATCTAACAAAGCTGCTGATGACTCACAATGCAATCCAGAACAGACATGGGATGCATATCATTTGCATTTACCTCCGGAAATATTAGCTAAAATATTCTCGTACGTTGCTTGTGAGCCCATCTTTCTGTATTGCTTTTCTTCTCTACCGAACGTTTGTAAAGTATTTAGGAGAGTTTTACAACGAGGTTTAGGTTATCACGACGATGAGGCTACTGACAAAAAGGATCAAGAGATTGAACTTTCGTTCTCCACAAACATCAAATCAAGTTTTCAACATAATTTAATTGTCGATTGGTTGAACTTTCCACTTCTTCAAAAAGTCATCAATTCTAAAAGATTGGAGACAATTTTTCAAAATACGTCCCGTATTTCTTGCTTGGACCTTTCGAATCAAAGAAGCATGTTTCAATCATTGCTTTCCAAAAATTTATTGGACGATTTTCTCTTATTAATAGAAAATTTATATTTGAAGTGTAACAATATTAAGAGAATTTACTTGTGTGGATGCTTTTCCATTGAAGAATCCAAAGAGATGACAACTTTCACAATCAAATTGATTAATCTTCATAGAAAATACTCAAAAGAAAGCTGTGATAGTTGCTACATTGATGTTAGCCCACATTTCCTTCCTTCCATCTTATCGAATGAGGCCACAGAATATTTATCATACAACCTGGCTGTCATAGAATTGCAAAATGAGTTTCCAGATGTTCAAGTAGTGGATTGGTATGATTTATTATTCAATCCTATCGAAACAGACTTGGAGTTTCTTGAAAGAATCAAATCTGTTGACTCTGTAAATATACCACACGTGAATGTAAGAGGATGGTCCCTTCTTCACAGCGCAATTTTAAATGGCTATTACAGAAGTGTCCAATATTTACTCAGTTTACCCCACGTTAATGTAGATATTTGTAGTAATGCTAGCTTCTCTAACGATGAAACTTTAAAAGTGCCAACACCAGAGGATGAAGATGAGTCACCAAAAACACACAAATCCATTCCTTCTCTTGAGTTTAGATTAAAATACAAAGGCACTCCACTTTTCTTTGCAATGTATAGATATGCAACTAGTGATAAATCAATAAGTGGAAACAAAGATATGGAGGTTATGGACATGCTCTTGCATAGAGGAGCTTCATATAACATTACAGACAATTACAGAAGATCATTCTTGCTCATAGCCATTAGTTACAACTTTCCTCTAACATTTATCAATTATATTTTGGATCACTGCAACCAGATATTCATGTGCGACTCTAAACACAACAACGTGCTGCACCAACTATTTTTCTCACCGGCTCTCATCAAGGACGTTCTCAAAACTAGGAAATTAATGGAAACAATATTTTCATTAGCTCCTTCCTTATTCTACCAATGTAATTCAGCCAACCATTTACCAATCCAAATACCGTTTGTCTTTAACAATTTCAAAAACTTTTTAAGCAAAGAATGTGGAGTCGAGCTTGTTAGAGCCATAAGTCATTTCATAGAATGTACAAAGAAGTATGGAGGAGTTGATATGGCCAATACTTTCATTGAGATGGCTATTGAGGATTGTCTCAAAATTATTAATGATGGAAAGCTTTCAAAAAAGAAAACTCTGGTTGTTATTAACAAGATATTTATTGAATTATTGGATATGAAAATCAAAGTGAGTCTCATTGATCCTGAAGATGTGAATGCTATCAGAAATGAGTGCATGCGGCTTGATGAGACAGGCGTAAATATTCTGCACAGAATGAAAAAGGCAGATTGTGTGAAAGCTTTCTTCAAATACCTTGGCTTAGAGAAGGTATCTTATTATTTTTATATTAACACTCCAGATTCCAATGGAAACACATTACTACATCACTTAATAGCGGAAAGTGAGTCTGAATTTCAGATTGGAAACGAGAGTGATAGAATTGTTGAGGAACTGCAAGGAGACGTTACATATCGAAACAAAGTTGGAGAGACTCCACTTTCACTTGCAGCCAAGAGAGGCTATTATTCGTGTGTCCAGTAAGTGTCAAGTATGGGATGACGAATCAATTTTTTATGTTCACATTTGTTCGGAACAATAATTTATAGTTTTATGCTTTCAAATCAACAGACAAGCCACGTCTCTGAAAAACAAATCATTGATCACAATGACAACATTTTATGCATTTTGAGAAGTTCAAGAAACGATACACCCAAAGACAGGCGTCCGTGTTACTCCATCACCTCATGTATTAAGCTCATTCAAACACAAAACGAAATGCTTATTCAAAACTTGAGACATCCCAAAGATTTTGACCATGTTTATGACGAAATATTGAAAGGAGATAGCTACTCAGACGAAACAAGTAGCAGCACTTCGAGTAGCAGAACCTCTTCACAATTGAGCCTTATGGATATGATCAAACTGAGTGAGGAAAAAAAGGAAAGCAAAAAACAATCTCAAAAGGCCGCTAAAAGAAAGAAAAAGAAGGATGCCAAACAAAAAGATTTTGTAATTATATTGTAGATAGAATTTGTAACATAAACAAATCTCATTGAGCAATTTAAGGTGTAACGTCGGATTTTGTAAAACGATCTTTGTTGACGCCACTATTATCTTCCGTTTAAACCCAAAAATAACTTTTTCGAATAACTTAATGTAAAAGTGCCAATTCGAAAACAAATATTTCGAATTACTTTAATATCATAAAAAATTAAGTCGTTCACAGCATGAACTTTCTTGTACAGAGCCATTCCAGCCGTTCGACGTCAAAATCTCCTACAGCGACTCGTGTGTGTTAGTTAGTGACCAACACCGAATTTTGTTGTTTAATTTATAGGAGTACCTTGATTCCGTTCTTTGCAAAACACCAAGATACATGTGTGTGGAAGAGAACTTTAACAACGGTGAACATGATGCCCTCCTTGTTGTCTGTGAAAAAACTTGTTCAGGAGATACAAGGTCAGTGATTAAGTTTAGCGTGGAAAAAGCACTTCAAGGCTCACCATCCAACAAGAATTGTCTTGAAGAGATGTGTGAGAGGACTCAAGATAAATTTGAAAATTGCAATGTTCTGGAAGGACTGGCATTTCTGCATTCAACAGGTCAAGTGTATGTTTGCGATTCCCGTGGAGAGTCGATTCATGTTTTGAAATTGGACAACGGTGAATATATACAAGAGATTGAGATAGATGTAAGTCTTGGGGCAATTTGTTTTAACCATGTTGAGCAGTACATGTTCATCAGCCAATACAGCAACAGGACACCTCATGGTATACAAATGCGTAAGAGCCGGGATCCAAGCAAGTGCATTTCATCTTTTGGTTCAAAAACCGGTCAAGGCCTTGGACAGTTCTTTAGACCTTGTTTTATAGTGAACGGGCTAAAGGAGAACAGTGTTCTTGTTAGTGACTATTCCAGAATTCATTGACATTGAACACAGCTTCAATCTCGTGTTGAAATGTGACAAAGGTATTTGTTGCAACCTTTACACGAATGAACTGCTTGAGTGTAAACCAGGGAGATTATTATTTTTGAATAACTGTCGGCCTTAACTCTAACATGACACTATTCCTTTCTTCGTATGCAACCACTAATGAAAATATTGGTCCACAAACGGATTCGAAAAAAGAAACAATAAAAAAAAATGAGCAGCACAACACCATCATCGCTCGTGTTTCGTGGAATTGTGTTGAATTTCTTGAACCCACTCAATAATGAACATCAAAAGCTATTGCTTGGAAGAAAAATCATGATCAATTCGGATCATCATTTAATGGAACTTGTGCGAGACAAGTTAAACGAAGTCGGAACATTATCAGGTGTACAATTTGATTTATCGGGAGCTTTGTTTGAATATGAAAATCCGAATAATCGAGAATCCTATCTTCGATATCATAGTCTTGATGATATTGCTGCGTTTACGGACAAGCCTATCCAAATCAAAATATCATCCATCAGCGTCATGAAAAAGCAAGAAAAGGTAATCTTGGAATCAGATCATCACGCACCTTCCAACAGTAGTGATGTAGTGGATCAAAGCATGTCTGGACTCACTCAACGTTTGACGTTGTGTGCTAATGATGAGTTTAGCGAGTATTCAGAACAATCGGAAGACAATGCAGTTTATGACACAGAATCGTTAGAAAATAATGCATTAAGCATTCAACGCGTTTCAAGATGGAATGGAAGATATGAACCAAGAAATGTTGTTGGTAGGTTTTGTGTTGAGATGATATATTGAAATAGTAACCATGGAACATGAAATGTTTTGATTTTACAAACAGGTTCTGGAGGATTTGGACAAGGTTTGTATAATTTTGAATGATTTTAAATGATATAATTATTATTTTTTTCATGTGAATTCATGAATGATTTTTATGTTTTGAATCAATGATCACAGTTTATCTGTGCAATGAATATGCATTCAATGGCACACACAAGGGAACGGTTGCAGTCAAATTAATTCCATTGCTGGGATCAGTAGAAGATTTCAATAAGAAAATTAAGGTAGAGTATTGAAAATCATGTCATCATTTCAATCTCCTTCACCTTACTCAACTGATAATTAGGAAGCAATTCTCATGTTAAAACTGAGACACGAAAATTTGGTACCTGCTCTGGATATCTTTGAAATTTATAATAGAGACACTCTTGAGAATTCGCTTGGAATTGTCACACCATTTTATATCAATGGAGATTTAATGAAGCAATTGAATTCACAAATCGAGAAAAAAGAATGTCTACCAGAAGAAATTATTTATTCCATAATGAAAGATTTGCTTACAGCACTTAACTACCTCCACACAGATGTTGGTATTGCACACAGAGACATTAAACCGGCCAATATTTTCTTAGAGAAAATCAATTTACAAAAAAAGACTGTGAAAGCAGTAATTGGAGACTTTGGAGTTGCAAGAGAGATGCCAAACTCAGACATGAGCTTAAATGGCACCATGTGTGGCAGCCCTCTGTTTGTGTCGCCTGAGGTACGTTACAATTTCTATGATATATTGATACAAATATTCCATTCAGGTCATATTAGGAAAATATAATTTAAAATGTGATCTTTATAGCCTTGGAGTAGTTCTCTATCAAATGTTAAGTTTAGATCTGGAATCAAATTTAATCAAAACTTGCTTCTCCAAGTTCCCTCTTACATCACTAATGGAAGCCAGCAATGCATCTATCATTAAAGATTTCACTGACCCCATGATTATGAGAAATTATGCAAAAGAGACTACCACATTGAAAAGGTTAAAAGGTAAATATTTATTGTATTGACTCAGATTTCATAATCAAATAATTTATAATTTACAGAGATGATGTACTTAATGTTGACATATAACTACAAAAAGAGGCCCAGTGCTAAATATTTCTTGGAGCAATTAGAAAAAAAGGGCATTCGAAAATTGTTTGGATTCAAAAATTAGGACTTGGTTATGAGATGATACATGTCCTACTCCTCACTATTGTTTCTTTTGGTTTCTCTTCTTTAGGCTTCTCTTCCTTACTTGGATTGCCATAATTAATTATTGGAGCAACAATCACCTTTGTTGCGCCATCTAGCTGCCCTTGAGGAAGTTGGACTCCGGCAAGCAAAGCAGCCAGTTTAATGAATGAGATATTTACCATGTCACCTGTTTTTGCTGAAACAAAATACGACTGCAAACCATTACGAGACGTCCACTCGTCGTGCATTTCCCGCTTGACCTTCCTCTCGTGACTAAGATCACATTTGTTAGCAAATACACAAATTAAAGGATCTTTAGGCTTGTCTGTTTTTCTCTTTCCTTCGTAATTTTCAGAAAATATATGTTTTACATATTTCAACCATTCATTCAAATTTTGAAAGCTCTCCGGATTTGTAATGTCATAGGTCAAGATGACAGCGTCAGATCCGTAAATATAGCTTGCCAAAATTTTTGATCCTAACGCCTGACCCTCTAAACATGCGTTGAGGTAAACATCACTTTTAGTGACCATACTTACCAATGTCCCAAATTTGAAATGTCACTTCAATTTTCTTTAGCTTTCCTTGTTCATCCTTATTATTAGTTTTTTGCAACGGGCCTTCAGCAACAATGGACACATTTTTAATGAACCAATCAACTCCGACTGTCCTCACATACGATTGTTGAAATTCATCTTCGGTGAACCTTCGGATCGTTGATGATTTTCCCACTGTACCATCTAATCAATTTTAGAACAGCTTTTACGCTTGTCACTCGCCTTCTACCTACCTCCAACAATTATTACTTTGTATTGATGTTTTTCTTCTTCCTCGTCCTCACTATCCATTCCGTCATCTGTTTTGGCAACGTCTTCCAAGATTGTCAGCTCCTTCTCAAGAGGCTTGTTGTTTTCCGATTGCAAAAGTAGGCTCGAATCAGGATGAGATCGTGATGAGGCAACTGATGGTGTTGTAGCAACGGATGTCGTTTGTTGTTGCATTTTTTCGATGGAGGACAAAAGTAGTTGTAAAAATTAGCGGGATCATTTACATGTCAAAGTTGGTGTGACAATATTGGTTTCGGTTGTTGAAAATATCATCGATGAGAGGAGAAACGATTGCCACAAGAATAGGTCGAATGGAAAATTCGTGGACCACCAATCCACTCACCCTATGACGCAACTCAGTTTTACAAAAAAAATGGAAGCATTCATTCATCAAGTACGAGGCGTTTTTGTGTTGGATCAAAACGGAAAACGATTATTGTCAAAATACTACTCAAATGATCTGAAGAGCAATTTAAGAAAACAATTAGATTTAGAAGATAATGTATCCAACAAGACCATTAAAAGCAAAACGCCTTCTTCCGGAGAGTGTGATATAATAATGATCGATAGCTATAATATTGTTTTTCAAAACGTACAAGATATTTACTTTTTTGTTGTTGGAGCTGGCTACGAAAATGAATTGGTATTATCGGAAGTGTTATCGGGACTAATCGATGGTTTGATGATGCTCTTTAGAAATCAATTGACCAAGAGAACTTTCCTTGAAAATTTTGATTTGATTGTTTTAGCTTTGGATGAGGTTTTAGAAGATGGTATAATCATTGAAACGGACTCATCAGCAATTGCTCAAAAGGTTGCTGCCGTTGAAACAGGAGCCGATGCTGCAAGTGGTGTTGAAGGAAGCGAGACCATCACGCAAGTCTTCAAATCAGCTCGAGAACAGCTCTCTGAGATGGCTAGTTCATTCTTCCAATTTTAAAGTTGGCCAACTTTTCGGTTTAGAGAGCATATATGTCATCATCACACACCTATAGTTGAATGAATATTCTTTGTACAAATTAAATCTTTACTTTTTCATGTTCTTGATTGGCATACCATCGCAATTCAGTCAATTTGCATTTGGTTTCAAGTACCAGCCAAAAAAATTGAACACACAACCTTCGTTCATCATTCAGCAGTGGAGGAGGTGCAGACAAAATTTCCCGTCTCTAGTCGATCCACACACAGCCTACTTCCCAACTAAATTTTGAAATACCATGAAAAAGGAAGATACCCCATCGTCCGAAGTACTTATTGATATTGAGGACACATCAACAACGATTGTTGAATCCGATATTAAATTTACCACAGCACCACTTCCCGATACATCTGTTGTACCAAAACAAAGTTTTCTAACGAACAAGAATACAGTTAATTTTCTTGCAGGTGGTATTTCGGGAAGCATTGCGAGCGTAGTAACTCAGCCTCTGGACGTATTGAAAACTCGATTTCAAAGCTCTGCTAAAATTTACAACGATGCAGCAATGAAACAGAACTTCCTTCTCAAAATTATTGATTCTTTAAAAATTACAGCGAAAACTGAAGGAATTCATGGATTATTTAGAGGATTAATACCCAATATTGCTGGCATTTTCCCATCAAGAGCAATTTATTTTGCAACTTATTCAGGAACTAAGGATTTGATGAGCAAATATTGTGGACTCTCCTCCGAAAGTCCTCTTGTTCATATTGCCAGTGCTGCAGCATGTGGTGTTGTGGTACCAGCAGTGATGAACCCAATGTTTTTAGTGAAAACTAGGATTCAATTAGATTTATACAAACCCAATTCGTCACGTGGGAACAACACACCGAATTATAATGGATACATGGATTGCATCAGCAGAATTTACAGAGATGAAGGAGTGAAAGGTTTTTACAAAGGTCTGACAGCTTCGTTTCTTGGAATTTTTGAAACTGCAATTTATTTTGTCTTGTATGAACAAGTGAAACGTATGGCCTTAAAATCAACCAATAATTCAGAAGGAGAAGCTCCAAAATTCACACCTCTTACTTACATTACAGTGAGTGGTGGATGTAAATTGGTGGCTAGCGCCATCACTTATCCTCATGAGGTGGTGAGAACTAGAATGAGAGAGATTGTCGATGGAAAATGTAGATATGATAAGGGCATGATTAATGCGTTCAAAACAATAGCAATAGAAGAAGGAACAAGAGGTCTATATTCTGGAATGGGAGCTCACCTCATTAGAGTTGTACCCAATACTGCTATCATGTTCCTCTCGTTTGAATTCATAACTCACTTTATGGAAAAACATTATGGAACCGGAAAGACAACACAATAATTGTTTACTTGATTAATTAAGTCATATTCACACTCTAACATGAAATTTCTCAAGGACCTAATTGATCTTATTCCTCTCATTAAAAGCTTATGCAGAACGAATGAACCATCAATCAACCACAAAAAAATGTTTCAAAAATCATTGCTGAATATTCTCGGAATTTCTTTTGTATTGACAAGTCTTGCCTTGATGGCTTCGGCAAGTGACGATTCGACATCATCGTCTGGTGCAAGTGTCAAAGTAGTTTATGTGGAGAAAGATGGAAGCACAAGAGTCGAAGATTATGACTATTTGTTCAGGTATGGATCGAGTGATATTGATCTTGCACCGATATATTGTCATCATCTAAATTTATCGGCCAATAATTGACGATCAAATCATTTGGAAATTTAAATATTATGATGACGCACGACAATCATCAAATTCCATGACCGATGCTTTGATGGACATGAAAACAGCTCTGCTTTTACTCAACTCATTTGTCACTTGGTGGCTTTTATTTTACCAGCATATGCATCATTCAAGGCTATTAGATCACCACAATCCAATGATGACAAGCAATGGTTGTAAGTAATCGAGTCAGTGCAATTGACAATTTTTCTACATATTATTCAGAATTTATTGGATTATTTATGCTCTCATTCACGTGTTTGAGTATTACTTGTTGGTAGTTGTTGTCTTCATTCCATTTTATTGGGAAATTAAATTCTTTTTCGTAATTTGGGTAAGTGCTAGATGAAATACTTTCTTGGTTGACCATTTATTTCACCAATGTTAATGTTGCAAACATGCATTACTCTTTCAACTGCAGCTTATTGCACCACAAACAAGAGGTGCCACATTCCTTTATACGAAATATGTGGAACCATTCCTTAATAAGCATGAAAAACAAATTGATGAACAAGTGTCCAGCGTTCAAAAGAGAGCCAGCGTTGCAGTTCAAGGTTTGGCAAAGCAAGTTGTACACTCAGTCATCAATGGAACCTTTGAGGAAAAGTAGATATTTGCTTTTAGAATAATAAATTGGAGTTATTTTGTTTCATCCTATTGTTTTATGGGACTTTTCAATACAAAATACTTTTAAGGCCCAACAAGATTCTGCTGTTCGAATTGGAGAATTAGAGGCAACTTCAGGGGAACCATCTTTTAGCTTCATCATAAAAAAATTGGGATACTTGACACCATATTTTGTCATTACGAGAAGATTTTTGTTCCGATACGACGAGGTTGTCTCTGTGATTCAAACATTGTAAATCATTCAGAATGTGTTTATAATCTCAGAGTAACTGGCTCCAAATCATATTTATTCTTTTTTCTAACTATTTCATCGGAACTGACAGTATCATTTATCCTTGTTTACAAGTAAATCATATCATCCACAACAACAACAACCACCACATTCACACACAATAGTAATACTGAGATCAAACAATGAGTGATGATACTTCTCTATTACTCCCTCTCAACCATTCTCCTTTACTGCAATGGGGCATCATTTCTATTTGTATTGCACTGACGGTTAGCAATTTCATTCTATTTTGTTGTTTGATCTATGTCGTTGTGAGATCTCACCGATCTTCATCTCAAATCATTATCAAGAAAGAAAGTTTGTGGGACAAGCTCATGTGTTGCAAAAATGGAAAACGAAAAAAGTCTCAACGACGACTTATTACATCTCAATCTTCTCAACATGAATATTATGGAAGAATGGATGAAGACGACAGCACGAATTTAAGGAAAATTAGCTCAATTGAGCAGCAGAACGACGGTCATGATTTAACCACACTGAGCGTTATGGGAAAGAATTACACAGGAAATCAAAATAATGATCAAAACGTATTGATGGAGGATGGAGACACATTAACAGTCTCGAATACTATTTCAATTTCACCTCCAGTTTCACGAAGTCGATCAGGATCAAAACATTTGGAAAAGATTCAACCTGTGGATCATCCTGAAAATTTACTCTACAACGATTTATCTAAGGAACTCAATGATGCGATTGTGAAGGTATCTCCTCAACTTCGCAATATGAGCATCATGAGTGAGGAGTTGGAATTAATTGACCAAATTGGGTAAGTGTCTTCAACATTGATTCAGAATTGATAATGACCAACCACTAACAACCATGACTCAATACAGAGTGGGAAGCAGTGGAATCGTCTACAAGGCCAAGTACATGGGTGTACTTGTAGCTGTTAAACAATGTTTAATTTGTGACTTGTTGGAAGATCCTCTTAAAGAGTACATGAAAGAAACTCAAATTCTGAGCTCAATAAGGCATCCAAATATTGTACAGTTTATTGGGGCAACTATTAAGCCTCCTTTCTTTTATATTGTGACAGAGTATTGCTCTCGAGGTAGTGTGGACAAGATTATCAAGACCAGCTATTCTAATTACAATAACATTCGTAATGCCAATTTAGACACTACATCTAAAAAGACATCATCTGCAAAGACGCCAGCAACTGACTCACAACTGGCGAGACTTTCTGTAGATGCAAAAACAAATCAAGCAAGGCCATCCATCCTGTTAAACAATCATTTTAAATCTGGACTTAGCCTCAGAAAGAAGATTAAATTACTTTTAGACGCAGCCAATGGCTTGAATATGTTAAAGTCTAAAAACATTATTCACAGAGATGTAAAGGTATGTAGTGCAATATTACATGGCCCTTTGAATTGAGATTGCTGTTTTTGGATTATTACTCTATAGATTTCCAACTTTTTAGTTACAAATGACTGGACGTTGAAATTATCGGACTTTGGAACTGCTTTTCATTGCTTAATGAATAAGCAAAAACGTGGCACGAAAGTAGGAACCATTGAAATATGTGCACCAGAGGTTCTATTGGATGGTCACTATTCCTTTAAATCAGATGTTTATAGCTTTGGAATATGTGTTTATGAATTTATATTTGAGAAGGAAATATATCCAAACATGAACGTGTACGAAATTACACACAAAGTAATTCACGATGAATTGAGACCTCCCATTCCAACATCTCAAGAACTGAGAGAAATGTTTTTTGGAGACATTACAAATATTGAATATGAAATTGTGAAAGATGTCATCTTGAAGCTCATAGTGAAATGTTGGTCAAAGCTTGAAAACGATCGACCGGAATGGGATGAAATTTGTCTTCTCTTAAGAGGTTGTTTATCCAAACTCTCAAAATCATCAACAAGTAATAGCAGCCCTTCTGATTTGCCAGATGATTTGTAATTTAAGGGATGCATGGATTGTTCTCTCAAATTTCAAAGTAGAGGCCTTAACAGTTGACACATCATATCTGTCTTGGAGCTTTTCACAGCTTCCTTTCATGCAAGCAGCTATTTCTTACTGCTAATGGACATTGAAGCTTGTTAATGGAAAGTCTTGAACAGATTGCAGTACACAATGTGCTTTGAAACTGTGTCGTTTAACATTGTTATACAAACACACAATTAACTGTAGCTTGATTTTGATCCAACCAGAAAACTTTGAGAATTGGCACATGAGAAAATCTCACTCTTTTGCCTCACGCTACAGTTTCACTTTCCACAATTACTGTTGGTCTCACTATTGACCTCCAGTTTCCTATTAAATCGGTGACGTGAATAAACAAACGATATCCATTTTTGATTGAAGCATCACCAAATTACCGAAACCCCTACGCCACTTGTTGGGTCACAACATAATTGTGTTAAAAGCATCAACATCTGAGCACCCCACAGACGCTTTGATTACGTGAGAATGAAACTGTCTGTTGCGAAACAGCATTGATATTGAAGCTGTCATTCACAAACTTGTGGCTCACTTCATCAAAAAAAAACAAACACTTGTAACATATTAAATTACACAACAGGATGCCAACTGGACAAATCGTTTCTTCCAGTACATCCAAGCTGGAGGGATTTACCATCAATCCATCACTAATCAAAACATCCACACTGGTTCAAACGATTCGTAAGTGTTTGATTCTTATTGCGACCGATCGATTTTTTAACAATTGATTGTTCACCGTGATTGTTCCTTCATGCGAACCACTCATTTCTTCACTCGCATGCAACGTTGATTGGATTCTATTCACTACTCTCACTGTATAATGTCATCCCTATGTGTCGAATCATCATATCGATGATCATCACATTGCCTTATATATCCTTACCACCTGCATCTGATGAAAATCCAATTCATCTTCAAACCATATGGTTGAATGAAACTCTCTCTGACAACAATCTCTGTTCATTCACATCCAACCAAAACTCTCAACAGTTGGACTTTTCATTGGTGGAGTGGTGATTGCCTCTGTGGTCGCCACAGTCATTCTCGTGAGTGTTGGTGTCGGTTATCAAGCACCAACGCCCAAGCCAGACTTTGCAGAAACTTTCAAACGAACTCCCATTACCATCAACGTTTTAATGAATGATGTCGATCCTAGAGGTGGTAATTTAACAGTTCAATCCATCAAGACCTCTCCATTGAATGGTTCAGTGAAGATTGTCAGTTCGAGTAGTGTCGTTTATCAATCGAATGGTACCTTCAGTGGTAATGATTCGTTTGTGTATGTGGTTTCCAATGGATATTTACAAGCTGAAGCATTGGTGACGATTCATGTGTTGAATCGACCACCTCATGCCATTCCTTTAGAATTTCAAGTGGAGAAGAATTCAAAACCAATCGAATTGAATTTCTTGACCTATGTGAATGAGAATGGAGGATCAATCTATGATTTGGACTCTTTCGATTTGTTAACTATCACAGACGTGAGTGGAGGTGTGTTACAACCTTCTGACACTTTGAAAAACGTTTCAAGTGATATTCTCCAATTGGGTAGTGTGAAACGTCTCAGTTCTGGAATTTCCTACTCTCCAACCAAATACTTTATTGGAACTGAAAGTTATAACTATACTGTGAGCGATGGAGTGGCTACTTCTTCGAGTACTCTTAAAATTGTCGTTACCAATGGAGCTCCAGTTGCCAAAGATGATGCTTACTATGTTCCAAAATACATGTCAGCCAGTTTGAACGTTCTCTCCAATGACAATGATCCCAATGAAGATCCAATCACTATTGAATCAGTCACTTCGGTTGGTGTTGCCAGTGCCAGCATTGAACAACCTGAAAAGAAGACCATTCGTTACTTGACTTCGAGTACAGTTTCAACTTCATATTCTGATAGTTTTGAATATATCATTACAGACGGTGAGAAATCATCAAGTGCTGTCGTGTTTATTAAGGTATTCAATTCTCCTCCTTTGATTAATGACTTTTCAACCACTGTGAAAAAGAATTCAGTGAATAATTTAATTCCTGTCAATTATACAGAGAGTGATATTTTGGACTCGGTGGTGATGAGTTCCATTACTCCATCCCCTTCCGTGATTGGTTCTTCTTTGATTACCTCAAAATCTTCTTCTATGATCAGAGCTCCTTGCTGCGATTGGAGAAGTGTCGTGAGAAATGATTATACCATTCAATTTAATCCTTTGGCAAATCAAATCTATACTCAAAATTTCCAAATTGTCATGGAAGATGGTGAAAGCAAATCTAGAACTGCTACTTATTCCATTCAAGTGGTCAATGATCCTCCAACTGCAAATCCAGATGGAACTTATTGCATTAAGAATAGTGTCGCCATCTTGAATGTCATTGCCAATGATGTCGATGTCAATCCAGGTGATACTGCTCAAATTCGATTGAGTACTGGATGGACCAAAACTTCATCCAACGGAGGTTCACTCATTCCACTCAATGCCACTCACGTTCGATATACTGCACCAATTGGTTTCACTGGTGATGATACCATTTCATATGAAATTACCGATCAAACCATGAATCAAGCAACCAATCAATGGGATGCTTCGAGTTTTGCCACTGGTACTATCCTCGTTCATGTGGTTCCAGAAAATTATACCAATCAAGCTCCAACTTGTTCGGGTGGAATTTCACACACCTTATTGAAAGGAGCTTCCTATGATTTCAAATCCAAGATGGCTGCTGTGAGTACAGATCCAGAAGGAAAGACTCTCACCTACTCCATTACCAACGCAGGTGCTTTATCGAGCATTGGAAGTGTGACTGGAGCAACCACTTTCAAAGCTGCTCAAAAGAATAGTGGAACTCAGGTTGCTGCCTTCACTGTGAGTGATATTTATGGATTGACTGCTCAGTGTCCACTCACTGTGACCGTTCAAAATACGGCACCAGTGGCTCGTGATGCCTCTTACACGTTTGTCATTTCACAGAGTAATCTTGTACATACCATTAGTTATTTGGCAGATGGATATGCTTCAGATGCTGATGCTCAAGATGTATTGAGTTTGAGTATTGTGAGCTCTACGAATTGTTTATCCACCATTGCTTCCAGTGTTACCATTTCTGGAAATGTCATTTCACTCACGAGAAAAGTCACCTCAGGTTCATGTGTACTCACAGTCAAAGTTACCGATGATGATGGAACCAATCCACTCAGTTCGAACAATGCTGCCATTACCATCAATCTCTCCTCTCTGAATCCAATTGCTCGTAACGACGCTTTCAGTATTGATCAAGGTCAAACCATTCGAATTCCAGTCACCAAGATTTTACAAAACGACACGGATGAATATGGTCTCAATGGAATGAGTTTTGTTTCAGTACAGTGTCCAGATGCTTCCTATTGTCACCGTGTCCCTCGTGTCATTAATGTGAACGGTGAGACCTTTGTCGAAGTGGATTCCGATCAAAATTCATGTCAAGCCGATAAATTCCAATACACGGCAAGAACTGCTTCTGGAACGACACGAAATGCCGATGTCTTTATTGAATTCAAGAATTGCATTTGTAAGAGCAAGATTGATTTCATGTTTGTCATTGATGCTTCTGGTTCTATTGGTACCACCAATTTCGAAAAGATTCGAACATTGGGTCCACAAATTGTCTCTCGAATGCAATTAGGCGAAGATGCCATCAAGGTTGGAATTGCTCGATTCCATGACTCATCCACATTGGCTCTCCCACTCACGACTTCACTAACCTCTATTAAGAACACCTTTGCGAATATGCCCTATGAAGCAGGATGGACAGCTCAATTGGCTGGCATTCGTGAAGCGTTCAATGAATTGGCAAGAAATGGAAGAACCGATGCTGAGAAGGTCATGTACATCTTGACCGATGGATTGGCCAACAAACCATGCAGTTGCAATGAATGTTCCAATTTCTGGGGTCAAAAACCAAGTTTATATCCTTACACGGTTCAAAAATTGATCATTGAAAATACCAAACTGTCAGAATCACAGAAACAACAAGAGTACAAGAATCGATGTAATTATCAATTACCATACACTCCTGGAGATCCTAATAATTTCCCATTCTATACCTATACTTGTTCTCAATGTTCATGGGATGATTATTCAAGTTCTTGTTTGCCATGTGCCGATGCTGTACCCATTGCTCAAAAGATTAATAGTTGGAAGAGAAATGCAACTGGAATTGTTCCTCCAGATCTCGATAATCCATTCAATGGATATAATATCCAATGGAAGATTATTGCCATGGGTGTCGGTGAAGCATTGAGTAATCCTTTGGGTTCTCGTGAATTGAGAGGAATGAATTACAATGCTGACAAGACGATCAATGTTCCATGGGATGATTTGCAAAAGACATATTCTGAAATTGTGGATCAAACTTGTAACTCGAGAGTGATTGAATTGGATTGAGTGGTGATTTGCTATATATTCCAACAACAACATGTGAATAAACAACAACAACAACAACAGTAACAACAACAACAATACTTATGCTTTGAAATGGTTTTATACAGTTCTCGTCGGGCCATCCACCAATTGTTCTATAAGAATGAACAATAACGAGCAGTTTCTAGACGTGGAGTGGTTCGGTTATGAATTAAGCTAGGTACTGTTACAAGTGTTTGATTATTCTGTCGACAGGTTCACACGATCTTGGATTTCGGTTTTTACAAAGCAAGTGCATTGTTTTTCAAAGTAAGGACATGCAACAAGATCATCATCTCCATCGACCGTCTCTCTGTTTTTCATCATTGTTTCTTTTCCATACGAAACAAAAAACCCAAATTCCTCTCAACGTACAAAAAATCACACCTGTACGCCCAATGGAGACATCGACTGACATTTTCGATTCAGTTTGTTGACAACACAGACGTCAAATTTCCCTCCAGAAACACACAACATTTTATCTTTTTGAAAAAACAAGAACGAGAAGCCACAATTCCGATTGTTATTCATTCAATCCACAGTATCAACAACAACACCCTTTCTTTGTCAAACACACATTTTGAATCATGAGAAATGTCGTTGGAGATTCATTGTCAACAACCTCTTTATGAGATGAACAACAACAACTTGGCGAAACAAAAGCAGCAACAACAACACGACACCACACCAATACCTCCTCAGCCACAACGTCAACAGATCATTGGCTTTCATGTTGAGACCATGTTGTTGAAAAATTCAAATCCACAATCCGATACAAGTGATCATGGTCGGAATGTGAATACTAGTTTGGGCGAAGAGAAGAAAATAATGAACGGAATTTTGGAAACGAGGATCACGAATTTAGAAAAAAGATATTCTTCATCCTCTTCTTCTGAAAGCGAATTCTTTTTTAGACATCATGATGGAATTTTGACTTGTGACAGCGATACCACTGACACGAGCGAACACTTGGACCTTGATGATGATGAATTTACTCATTCTTCATCCATTCAAATGGTTTGGGATCAAACTCCAATTAAGCAGGTGGATTCTTCATTCTCTGATAGAAATAGTATTCATATTCATTTTAACATGTTCTCCATCGATCATTTTCATCAACATGCACGAAATTTCAATAACGAGAACATTGTCTCTGAATTGATGGATAATTGTACACCACGAAAACCAGGACAAGATGTTAAAAAAATTACCATTCATGTGGAAAGTGATGAGAGTAGTATGAGTGAAAACGACCAAATTGGTAATGATGATGACACTTTTTGTAGTAATGATGAAAATGAAGACCATCATGATGATGATGAGAAGGATCATTCGATTCAATGTACCAATTCGTCATCATCTCCTTTGAATCATTTAAATTCTACATTGAAGAAACAATTGAAATTGAAGCTTAATACATTGTCAATTCCACAACAACAAACAAGTGTTGAAGCTAACCACACACAAAATTCCACCTCTCTCTATGAGAATAATATTCCTACGAACTTTAATATTGAAAATTATCAAAATCTCTCAACTCCCAATGTGACACAAAATTCTGCCAAAACATCTGCCACGACGCTCACAACAAGTTCCAACACCATTCTTACAACTTCAGTTACTTCAACCAGTGAAATTTCAACATTTGAAAACGAACGAAGATTTACCTTTGATGCCAATGATATTATTAAGGCAGTTTTTGAAGGAAAGTATGATGAACATGTTCAAAAACTATTACAACAAGATGCCTCGAAATATCTTACACAATTAGTGAAAAAGAAAACAACTGCAAAGGATGAGATTTTAACATATTTAGAGAGCTCTTCACAATTACCAAAAACGCAATGGACTGCTGCCTCATTTACTTCACTACACGTGAATGATGAACAACAACAATGTATTGAAATTTCCACAGAATCGAGTCCTAACGCCACCATCGATCATGGCATGAAGGTCAACCATAATGAGCAAGTTTTTCAAAATCACGATGATTCTCCTCTCAACAAGTTGAATAATGTCATTACAGAAAAGAAGAAACTTCTCACACGTGCAAATTCAACCATAATTCCACAACATCATTCGAGTGAAAATGATCGACCTCTTAACACGGATGTGAGACATCGACGAAAAATCACAAATATTGGATCTGGAATGATTCCAACAAATTTCAATGACATTGTGTCATGGAGCCCAATTTCACCAAAAACTCCAAAAAGTGCTCGATCGAACTTTGAAACAATGAACCAAATTTCATCCAACTCACACAATCGATCAACATTGAACCTTCATGACTATTATTCAAATTCGAGTGATTCATTACTATCAAGATCTAATCCTGGCCAAAATCGACGACACGGTTCCTCTAACTCGGATGATATATATCGAGTGACCATTTTGGGAGATTTAGGAGTTGGGAAAACAAGTATTATTCATCGATTTATTAAGGGAACTTTTTCAAACGAGTACAACTCGACACAATTCGAAGATATTTATCACAAACCTTTGATGTTTTTACAATATCAAGAATTGAAACTTTTGGAAATTTTAGACACTTCGGCACTTCACATTCGTCACTACAAGAACAAATCGAATCAACACTCCATGCCAGTGATGAATTCTGGAGATTGTTATGTGAATCATCATTCGCTTAATGTACCTACTAGTAGTAGTAGTACGAAGAACAAGTTGTCACCACGACAACCACCATGTACTGCAACAGCCATGAACATGCTTTCATCAAATTCTGAAAGTGTGACCTTGACTGCCAATAAGGATTGTCATGACAACTCTCCTGGAACATTGTCAATGGCGGAACCAAGACCTCCACGTATTGAAATTCCATCAAGCTTTTTGAGCGGTTACATTGTCAAATGTGATGCATATGTGTTGGTGTTTAGTATGGACGATGTGAATAGTTACAAATATTGCAAAGATATTTACAAATCGATTGTTGGAGAGAAGATGCTCTCAAGATCTAAATCGAGTTCACATGTTGCAACACCAAATTCTGAAAGTAACGTTGCAACACCAAGGACAGTGGCTAGAAGTGACATTCCACTCGTATTGGTTGGTAATAAGGGAGATGTAAGCAACGAGGAGCGAGTAATTGACCCACAAATGATTTGGGAAGACGTCCATACATATCTCTCGTTTGGTTCGAATTGTTCTTTCATTGAAACGAGTGCCAAAACAGGGCCTGTCGATGCCATCTTTGAAGCGCTTGTCAATAGAATATGTATGAGAGAAGCACCAGCCTCTTCATCGAAAATACAATCCTCTCCAAGAGATCCCCTTAAATCGCGAAATAAAAAGTGTGTCATCCTGTAGGATTTTGTTATCTAACAAAGCTTGGTTGAACGAATCGTACTAGTGAGAGAATTTTCCTTAATCCTCACAACAATAAATGAAATTTAAAGGTTTTTTTATTATAATTGGTTGTTTAGAGCTTCTTAATTCTGTTCTTTTGTTCATTGAGGGATCTCTTGCTCAATTTACCGCCACCCCACTTGGTGTTGATTGTTCTGAATCTTTCAACGAAGGCACCTCTGACAGCTTCGACAATCTTGGAGAATTGGTCTCTGTCTTCCTTCTTGACTTCAGTCAAAGCAACAGCAGCAGCATTCTTCATGTGCACCAATTGGCCCAATCTGGACTTTGACTTGACAATAACGTATGGAATATCGAGCTTCTTACACAAAGCAGGAAGGAACAAAACGAGTTCGATTGGTTCAACATCGTGAGCAATAACAACCAATGAAGCTTGCTTTCTTTCGACGGCCTTGACAACTTCGTTAATACCAGAAACGAGAGTTGGTTCGGACTTCTTTGGAGTAGCTGCCTTTCCTTCAACCTTGTCCTTAGCTGCTTGTCTCAATCTTTCCTTCTTTTGTGTTGGATCTTCTGGCTTGTACTTGGCAAGGAATTGAACAACAGTGTGAGCCAAAGGTTTATCAGCAACCATTCTGAATTGATTGATTGCAGGTGGAATCTTGAGTCTCTTCATCAAAACTCTCTTTTGACGTTGAAGACGGACATAGACTGGCCACTTTACGAATCTGGTCAAGTCCATCTTGGCTGGCAAATCTCTTCCAATACCAATGTCCTTTGGTCTAGGGGTGATCAAGTTTTTGAAATCACCCTTTTGGATTCTCTTGGCGGAGGATTTGATAACCTTCTTGGCCTTCTTCTCTGTTGATTGTGGGTTCTTTGGAGGCTGTTATGAAAAATTAGTGATACGAATGGGAACAATAGATTTGGATGGTCAGAGGCTTTGTTGAACAAAAAATGATACAAACCATTGTGAATGTTTTGGCGTATTTTTTTCTTCAAAATTTTTCAAATTTTCTGGTTAACCAGAAAATATAGTTTACAATGAAGGACGTTTTTGTTTGTTGGAGTGCTGCTGAATGGATCTTCGTTTGCTCTTAATAACAACACAATAAAAACACAAAGCAATGCATGTAGAGACATATTCAAACAACGTCTTTCAATGTCCCGAACGAGTTGCAAAGAATGTGGTACAATGCTGCATTCAGCCAACTTCGTAAACAACAAGCAGGAAGAAATACTCTCAGCTTACCAAGTGTTGTTTGACACAAAACACACTTGATCAATTCTCGTGATTACTCCGTTCTTCTTGTTCAAGAGTTGTAACGTCAAGCTCAGCAACGATGCAACACAAGTCGACTTGATTGTCTCGTCAAATTTGATGGATCGCACTCAGGAAAATTCACAAACAAAAAATACTCATCGAACCATGGTTTCTCAAACTGAATTCGAACAAGCTGCTGCAACTATTAAGACTATTACTTCCGGACCAACCAACGAAGAATTGTTGTTGCTCTATTCTTTGGTATGTTTGTTTGAATTGTATGAACTAATGATCTCATATGTCAAATTGTTATGATATTGCAATCGATTTGAATGATCCTTTGTTGTGTGTGATTGAACACTTGTATTGATTTAACACTCTATAGTACAAGCAAGGTACGTTTTATACTGGGTGTGAGCAATATTTTCATCTGACGGATCATTATTGATCATGTCCTGATGATGTACGAAATCATCCGTCAATCGTTTCCTTTTAATACTACACACAAATTTCCTCTCGATAGCTACTGTTGGTGACGTCAACACTGAACAACCAAGCATCTTCAACATGAAGGAAAGAGCCAAGTGGTAAGTATTCATTCTATGAAGCCTTGTCTTGTTAATGAATGATCAATGCTGTTGCTTTGCAATCTAAAAGGGATGCTTGGAAGGAAAAGGAAGGTATGTCCAAGGAGGATGCCATGGAGCAATACGTTGCTTTGGTCAATGAGTTGGTTCAAAAGTATAAGAAATAAATTTGATTTGAGCTTTTGTTCTCCAAACAAGTGTCAGTTGTTGTGTTCTTGTTTTGTCCTAGCTCAGAGTTGCCACAAAAGTTCCCTGCTCATTGTTGAAAAAGTTTTTGGGGAATATTGAAATTTATTAAACATGATAAAATTTAATTATTCTTGAACTACAGATAAGGCAACGCCTGATAGACCTTCATCATTCAATGTTCTATCTAAAGTGTTGTCGACATTCTTTTGTTTTTGAGTCTTGTCCAAGTACGTGACAACAAAAGATGTAATGGAACTTCCTTGCAATTTTTGTCTACACACTGCATAAATTGCTGCAAGAGGAGCATTCTTAAGAATCTTAATAACCTCTCTTTTTCCATCTGGAAATCTAATTTGAATTCTGGTGGTATCTCCTTGCTCTGTAAGATAATCTGAAACGTTTATCTTCTTATCTGCAGGTTCAACAATAGGCTGAGAGGTTGGCTGTTGAGTGGTAGTGTTAGAGGTAGTTGTTTGAGAGGGATTTTCAATAATTTGAACATCTTCGTCGGCTGAGGTATTCATCTTTGTGGCTTCCTCAATCGAGGCTTGAATAGCTGCTCTTAATTGTTCGTCTTCGTCATCCATAGTTTCGGTGTTGATAGGACGGTTTTGAGAAGAAACTGTTGGAATCTGAACATGTTCAAAAGGATTGGGTGCATGAAGAGTACTGGGTGAAGGAGAAGGAAGGTGATCCAATAAAGAATGGCTGTCTACAAAATTCTGAAGACTGTCAACCATGGTTGATGCGTCAATAAATTTTCCAGCCCATGTTTTTACATTCTCTCCAGTTCTAGGATCAATGACACAAACAAATGGATAACTAAACACTTGATATCTACCCTTGAAAAATGTAGCCTGGTTTGTACCTTCATCAGCTTGCCACAAAATAAAGAATGGAGAAAGTACAGCCTGGACAAGTTCGTTACCCCAAGTGTCTCTATTCATTCGATGACAATCAAACACATCATCCTTTTGTATCTCAACAATCAACCACTTGCCTTCCATTTCTGCTGTTTGTTTAGCCTCTTCAAAAGTGCCTTTGAATACAATTTCTGGCTTTTTGAACATTTCCGAAAATTCATCACCAGAATTCGTTAGTCTTGATGCAGATTGGAATTGTTGGTTTTGTCCTCTTTGATTATAGCTGTTAAAATTTTGCATATAGGATGGATAATTGTAGTTACTACTACCAAAGCCTTGATAATCATGTTGATGTTGGAATGAATCGTAAAGCCTTGATGCTTGCTGCGGGATAGGTGATCTAATTTCATCGGAAGTGGTTTTTGTTGTTGTGGCAGATGATCTAGAGGAAGGCTGGTGTTGATTTGAAAAGAATAGCTCGACAGCAGTTTGCAAGTCAAAGTTTGCAGCCTCTAGATAATGTTGTGCGCTTTCTGGATCGGTCTCACCAGTCACTGACAAGAAGGACATTAACAAATCGTCTTCCATTTTTTTTGTGTTGTTATTTTTGGCTGAAGTTTTCCAGCCCAATTTTGTTAAGAAGCTCATTAGATAACAAGGATGAAGTGGTTGTGTTTGGTTGATGATAGAAACAAGGTGGGTTTGTTTTTTTGTTAAATGAATCTCAACTCGTCTTCTTTTTCTCAATCTCACCCCAAAATTGTGGTTTTTCCCAAAATCCCAAAGATTACTCATTTAAATTGAAGGTACCTTATTGACGTAACCATGTGCTACATAAGGCCGTAATTCTAACGAAACAGTATATGGGAGATGCTGACAAATTAACCTTGAAATGCATGATTTTTACTCGAGAATAAGACCTCCTCTTTTATTGTCCGAGTGAAACCTCAATAAAGGCGAGCAATATAAGAAACATAAGACTTGTAATATAATTCGAACATCACTCACAAGACCAACGCACAGATCTTGCATTGAGAGCTCTTTCTTAAAAAGACTCGGTGGCATTTTGAGTGATTTAGATGCCCATCTTTCAAATTATTCAGCTACCACGTTGGACTTCAGGTACTGTTCGGCTGTTTATCTCATCTTTCTTGTTGTTGTGAATACTTGTGCTTCGGATAGGATGGCCAACAAAGGTGAGGGTAGACGAAACCACAACTTTCAAGTACCTCCAGCATGCGACCAACGAGAACGATCCCTTTGGGATTAACGAAAAAAATGGCTTCTCAAGAATACTCTATCGACTCAAGTGCTGTCATTGCTGCTTTGGCTCCTGGTCTCCTCACAAAATGTGAGAAAGAGAACGCTGATTTTTTGCAATGTAAATCAAAGAGTGAAAATCCTGAAGGTAAATTGGCCTTCTCTTATTTCATCAATTGATGACTTTTCAATCATCGGCATCATTTTACTATTTCTTTTTTTCTTTCATCATAATACGGATAGATTGTTTGAAGGAGAGTATTAATTGCCGTAAATGTGCTTTTGGGCTTGCTACAGAGTATTTGAATTCACCATGCCAACAAAAGTTCTCATCACTTGTTGATTGTTTGAGAACCCGTGAATATGATTACAAGGGTAACGTATTTCCGAATTATTGTTGATGATAATTTCTGATTATTATTTGTATTATTATTCGAAATTACTGATTTACAACAATGTAAATCTTGGCTCCTTCCTCAATGCACGGGCTATAGACTGCTACAAGCAAAGAGTTTCGTTCGAAAGTTGTGCTCATCATTCATTGGGAGTGAACTTTCGTCCACCAGTGAATCCAAAAATTGAGTAGGACTGAATCACCAACAATAACAATTATTTAATAATTTCTCTTCAACAATATTTCATTGTTATATCCCAATCTCCACTAAATTATATAATGTAATTCCTCCTCATATTAAAACGGGTATTTTCACCATCAATGATTGCTTCAGCACAAATTGCCTGGGTTACATCATCATGACCCGGTCATCACAAAATCACAACAATAAAAAATAGGACACATCGCTGTACCACTTTGAACTTGTTGCATTCATCAACTACAACAGCATGTTTGGGTTTTTCAAAGGTTCCAACAACAAACCAAGTACTCCTAAAAAACAAACACCTCCTACTGCTGAATACGAACCTCCCTTTTCAAAGAAAGACAATGATACATCGGGAGGACAAGGAGCATCAACAGCGTCTCACCTCACTAACAACAACAGTAACGGCAGTAACGCAATAGAACAAAATGATGATTCATTATTTGGAGGAATGAGCGTTCACACTCATTCGTACGGAAATACATCAACATATTCTACGTATGTAATTCATTATCCAATTGTTTAATTTGGCAATTCATACGTCATTCTCACTGTTTTTCATACAACCAAATCAACACTGTTCATAATTGTAATTACAGTACTTCAAGCGACTCAAAGAAGTCGTCAACAAGCGTCGGAAGTTCTTCTCAATCCCATGAAACCTCTAAATTTTCCTTTATTAATAACGACGATACAACAGAGGAATCAAACCATGTTTCTTCCTCTGCAACAACACCAATTGCAGACGAAGACGATTACAGTCAAACTCCAACCCAAATCAAAATTAATACAGCCAACAAACAAAAGCCATCCCGAAGAAGAAAAGAACCCTCAAACAATATTGCAAAAAACAATCCATCTAAAAAGGTTGATGACGATATAAAGGAATTGGAGGATTCTAGAAAGGAGGCGGAATATAATCACTCAAAGAAGCCAGTTGAAAAGCTTACACCTTCTGTGACTGCCACACCTGTTCCTGCTTCTCGAGAAACCGTCACAAACAACAGTGTAAGCAGTGATAATGATGATTCAACTATTTCTACATTTTTATCAAAGAATCCATCACCAATTAGCACAACAAATGGCAATTCTTCGGTCGCCACTCCAATCACCAATACTGGATCAGATGATTTGGATTTTACCACTGTACAAGTGAAGCCCCGTAGCAGGAATTTAGATCGAACAAACTCAACAGATATTTATTCTCCCTCTCTCAATGGATCTAGCAGTCCTTCGGTTAGTAAGAGCTCATCGACACCTCTCGAAGAGCCACCGATCAAGAGCAACAGAGATCAGCAATCAAATTCTCCTTCTGTAAAAATTCAAGAAAATATTAGAGAGGATGATGAAAAAGATGTGATTGACGGAGATTGGTTAAATATCAAATCAACAGTTAATTCTTCACTAACCAAATTCAGTAGCAAAATATCATCAATTTTTGAAGAAGAACGTAAGAAGGTTCAAGAAAAAAGGGAAAATCAATTTTCAATTTTACAGGAAAGAATACAATCGTTGGAGCAGGAATTAGACAAACTTACAGAGATGGAAGATTTCGAGGCTGCGGATAAAATTGAACAAGAACTAAAAGTTTTGAGAAACAAAGTTGAGGATATTCAGGTCAAAGAAAAGAACAATGATGGTTATATTGGAAATATTGGTAAAATACTTGGAGATATGAAGAAGGAAATTTCCATAGTGTACTCTCGTGTTGATTTCTCGTTTTCGACATCCAAAAAGGACTATGATGACTTTGTAAAGAAGAATAACCCTCTTCGAGATTTACGTCGTGAACGTCTGGAATCAGAGACAAATCGTATCAAAAGAATGGGAGAAAGTATTAATTTGGAGGAGAAAGAATTCCAAAAGAGGAAGAGTAGAATCACAGAACAAATTGAATCCTCCACACGAGATATGAGAATTCAACAGGATGCGCTCACTGAACAAAACAATGTTATTTCCAAAGAAATTGAAGAATTGGAAAGAAAATTGAGAGAAAAACGATCTCAACAAAAATCAATTTTAGCACAGCTTGATGATGTCACAGACAAAATTAAGAAGTATGAGGAGGAGTTTAATGATCAACTTAAGCTCATAGCTAATGATGAGCACCAATTCCAAAAGAGAAAACAAAACTATTTAGAGGACGTAGAAGCTTTCGAAAAACTTTCTGAGAATCTCAACAAGGATTTGGCTTTAATTGAGTCTAAGGAGACTAAAAAGTATCAGAGAATGATGGATAAGCGGCAGTATAAAGACTATTTACAAACACAACAAGTTAGAATTGGTCAAATTATTGAGATTATTGAGGGCATTGAAACGTTGGAAGATTTTTCGTCATCAAATGACGATAGATCTCAACTCATTAAGGAGTTAGGCGCACTCACCCAACAAATATCTACACTTAAATCTAATCTTGCTTCAATAACTCTAGAATTGGACAACTCAACTCAACAATTGCAAAGAGCCAACGACAGACTTCCAAAAATTCAAGCTGATAAATTGGAATATGCAAAGAATCGTAAATTTAAAGAGGCAGCCCAATGTAAAGAAGAGAGTGATAAACTCACCAAGTTAATACAAGAACTTGAAACAAATATTCCAAACCTCAAAAAGGAACAGCAGCAAGTAGAAGAAGAAAGAGACTTACTGGTTCAAAAATTAGAAACATCTCATAAGAGGCTTGAACAATTTGACACTATTGACTCTAAACGAGTGATAAGAGCATGTTTGAAGAGGATTAACTTTTTACAAAGCAACAAGTCCAAGTTATTGGATGTAGAAACTCCAGATCAACTTCAATTAAGGTTTGATGTGATTGATGAATTGCTTTTGTTTTTCAATTATCAAGTCGAGCAATTACGGGCAATTACTGGACTTTCAGACAGTGAATTCGAACAGATTCAACAATTAGCTTTGAATCCTGCTCTCGAAGCTGCAGAGGAGGAGAGACTAGCTATAGCTGTTCAGGACATTGCCAGTGGTTTGACTGACGAGGAAAAGCTTGCAAATGCAAGAGAAACTCTTCGCATGTTGCAAGAAACTGAAAATAAGTTAAATGATGACTTGAATGCAGCTGCAGAAAAGGAAGAGTTTGACATGTGTGAAGTGTTAGATAAACAAATAGAGGAAACACGAGAAAAGATCACAGCTATCAATCTGGAAATCAGCGTTCTTGAACAGAAAGTAGCACAAATCGTGGCTCCAGAAACCACTTTAGAAACAAATCAAGAACAACAACCCGTAGAAATGGCATCTACTGTACAGACATCACAAGAAAACGAAGAACAAGGTTCCTCCTCTTTTGACTTTTTAAATAAGGACGAGAGTATTGTGATTTTCGAAAAAGTGCGAAAAAAAATCGAGTAAAATCGAAAACGACTTGCTCAAATTCGGTCAACCATCATTTTTTGGACGTTTCTTCCCGAAAACGATTTTGCTTGATGTTGACGAGATACGATGTTGATGCTATTCGTGCAAAGTCGAAAAAATCGATTACGATCGACCTGAATCGATTACCTCAACACGATTCATTTCTCAACGTCGATGTTTTTCGTCCAAAATCGAAAAAATCAATTATGATCGACCTGAATCGATTTTCTTGATCGTCAGAGTTGAAAAAATCGATCATGAAGAACCTTTAATCAAATAAACTCTGATAATTTGCTTCTATTTGATTTTTCTCCTCTTCCTCTTTTTGTCTAATCTTCTCTTTCTTTACCTCAATCAATTTTGCAACTTCATTCACCAATTTGGTCAAAGGTTTTACATACTGTTCCTCTTGTTTAGCAATATCTTCTTCTTGTTTTTTAAATCTCTCAAGTAACTCCTCCTTTTCTTTCTGAATTTTCAATAATTGATCTGCAATAACTTTTGAATTATTTTCTTCCATGTCTTTCGATCTGAATGTTCTGATTCGCTGTCACTACTGTCACCTTGAATTTGTGAAGCCAATGATTGTTTTTTGTTGGAGTGAGCAGAAATCTCTTTTTCAATCTCGTTAACAATCCATTTCTTGTTTTCTTGAATGAAAGTATCAAAAAAATCTTTCACACGTTTGTCATCTTTTGGGGCGTTGCATGTTGCTGGTAAACCATCTTTGTATTTTCTTGAACCTTTAGCAGTAGGAAATGTGAAATTTGTATTTTTTTTTGTTTCTAATTGGAGCTTCTTGAAAACTTTGCTTGCTGCTTTTGAATTTGTCATTCCATGAGAATAGAGCTCATTTGAACAAATAGGTAATGTGGTTGCGAGTATTTCGCAAAAACGATCAAACGTGTTCCACTTTGTTTTGTCTTTGCCCATTTTTTTTCAGTGAGAAAACCGTTGTTATTGTTTTTTGACGTTGACACAATCGCACAAAAAACAAGACGCCGTTGAGTTTTTTTTATTCCAAAGCAAATCAACGTCGTTCAATTCAACATTTTCGATATGACAACATTAAACAATTCAACATAATCGAGCAGAATTGTTTTTCTCAACAATTTCTTATCAATTTTGCTCGAAAAAATCGATTTCCACATGGTAAAAGCAACGCAACATCGATTCACAAACGATGAAAGACGAGTTTTCAAACAAAAAACAGGTGTCCAAATATCTCAAAAACTAAGACCATATATCCAAGGTCAAAAATTAGCCCCAGAACAAATTGAGTTCATTAAATTGGTGTGTGGAAAGTATGGAGATAAACCAAAGGTCTTGCAACAAATTTTACCTTTCGCACCTTCAACGATTTACAAATATTGCAATGAAATACAAAAAGAAAAAGCTCTCGGAAGGCCTCCACATTCAGGTAAATCAACCCACCTCTCTGTGTTAAGATTTATTGATATCATATTCAGTGAATATAATACTGTTAATTATGCAGAAGTACGTCAAATAGTTAAAGATTATCTTGATGTTTCAATTTCCATATCTCAGCTCTCCAAAATAACGACAAAATATTTGTTCAGGACATATAAGAAATGTGAAAAAGTATCAGTATATCGAAAAAGCCCAAGAGTACAATCTCAAAGGACTGTGTACAGGCGAACTATTCGAACCTACAAAACAAGAATCATGTTTTTTATTGACGAATCGCATTTCTGTTATGACCATTTGATTAGAACAAGGGCTCACATCAAAATTGGCAACACTTGTCAAAACAGTGCGCACAGAGTGAGTGGAAAACGTTTTTCATTATTGGCATGCATTAACGAGAGAGGAGGTTTGGTTTACTGGGAACTTGTCGATACAACTAACAAAGCAATTGATGCTGATCGATTTAATATATTTCTGACAACATTGAGCAAATTGATCCCAAAAGATTGTATTTTAGTTCTTGACAACGCATCCATTCATAAGGAAAAAGAAGTTCATAGAATAATGAATGGCCAAGGTATTAGTGTGTTTTGGCAAAGCCCATACTCTCCTGACTTCAATCCCATTGAATTGCTTTTCGGATGGATGAAAACACAGTTGAAAAACTATGAACATTCGGTTGACTCTCTCGAAGAGATAATGGAGCAGGTGTTTGATCAAGTTACACCCAAGTTAATCAAATCGTTTGTTCATCATTGCAAGGAAATCTGGCATGATGAGACAAAAACTTAATAAATTTCGAGTTTGATCGAAATCGATTTTGAAGGATTTCGATGTTAATCAACATCAAGTCAAAACGACAACGCATCAATGTCGCTCATTTCGATCTCGAAAAAAATCGCGAAAAAATCGTCGATTTTTTATTCGCACTTTTTCGAAAATCACAATAATGAAACTGAAACTGAGGGCAATGTTGAACAAGCTGTTGATGATGAAGAGGTAGAATATCAAGCTGTAAATGATGAAACAACACAGAGCTCTTTTGATTTTTTGAACAAGGAGGAGAATGTGTCTCTATCTGAGCAAGGAGTTGAACAAACGCCATGCATTATCAACGAGGAGCAATCACACGAAGAAGAAAAATCTTCGTTTGATTTTATGAAAGCAGCAGATACCAACGAAGATGAGCATGATGCTTCACAAGAATATCAAAGCATGGCTGAGAATGGAGAGAACGAGAAATCAAGTTTTGACTTTATCCAATAATTTTCATTTGTGTGTAAATTAAACAATGTACATTTATTCAAAGCAGTCTCCCTTGGAAATTCTTCATAACAAGTAAATTTAACTCAAAAAGTTTACAACTACTGTTAACCATTTGTTTAATACTTGTTGTTGTTTCCGAGCCTGACAGTCGGGTTTGGTGTGTGCAGTTTCTGCCTACGCGTAAGGCACAATACAAAAAAATGTCTGTCCTCTCTCGCGATACAATCTTGAAGGCCATCAAAGAAAAGTAGGTTTTTTGAAAATCAAGCTTGAAAACCCTAACCCGATCCAACACAATGTTTCGGTATTTGTAAAACCGAATGAAAACGGATCATCCTATGGTGCATGATATAACAATACTTTATATTTTCCAACAACATTTCGCATGATGATGACGACAAATTACCCAAACAACTGCAATAGGCAAATTACTGTAACTCCTTTCAACTTGTCTCACTTAGGTCCTGCATCCTACGATCTGTACGTTTAATAGCCAATATTTATTTTTGGTTGCAAAGCTCTAACATTTCATCACAACATCATACAATGCAAACTATTGAATGCCCAATTTTTAAATTGAATTATTAAAGGACTCTATCAGATGAATTTAGAGAATTAACTGTAACTGGAGATGTTATTCCAATTACTGACGATGTAGACTACAAACAATATTCCAAAGCTGTAAAAATTCCAAAAGGTGAAGCTTACATCTTGCAACCAGGAAAGACTGTTTTGGGTATCACAGAGGAAGTAATTGCTCTCTCGCCAGGATTTTGCGGGTTGCTTGAGGGAAGATCAAGATTTGCGCGTATGGGTCTTGCCATTCACATAACTGCTGGTTTCATGCAGCCAGGTATTAACAACAAACAAGTTCTGGAAATTTTCAACGCAAGGTAAGTCGATTGTAGGATTTAACAATGCAAGAACACAATTTCAATAATGACAGCCCCAATCCTCTTGCACTATACCCTGGAACTCATGTTTGTCAATTTGTGTTTTTGAAGTTGGAAGGAAAGGCCATTTACACAGGACGTTTTGCAAACCAATCTCTGGAATAAACCATTCATTTGTGACCTTATTCGTCTATATTCGTCTACCACAATTCAAATCGTTGGGAAAAAGTGCACGTCTAGTAAAAAACAGTTACAGCGAACGGGAATCGAACCCATGACCTTAAGCGTGTTAGGCTTACGATCTAACCAACTGATCTACCGCTGCTTACATTAGATATAAATTATTTTCTGCTTTAACGCATCAAGATTTTCATTGCAACAAACATAAAGGCAAGCGACAAAATACGATGTTACCCTTTAAAAAATGTTTCACCACAGAAGCCAGTCCTTGTTGATGAAACACTTATCGTCATCATCACTCTCACTTTTCAACGTGGCACGTGTGAGAACATTCTCCACATCGAGAGTTCATTCAGAACAATTGGTGGTTTTCGAAGAAATTCCTCTCTCTCAAATCTCTCCGAAACTTTCCTCTTCAACAACCACGATTGGCCTAGTGACCATCAATAAGCCTGACAAGATGAACGCATTGTGCCCAAAGACAGCTGTTCAATTCAGAGAATTGTTTGAGAGTGATCAAATTTGTAATAACAAGAATTTGGTATGTTCTTATTGGGTGTGAAATATTTCAGATCGTGTGTGTCTAAACTTATTTGACACTTCAATATTAAAATCGGATTTAAACGATAATTTCTGATGGTGATCCCACCAATTGAAAATTCTCACAAAACTAGGGATGTCTTGTCTTGACAGGTGCCAAATCCAACACTCCTGGAAAGAGTGCTTTTAGTGCTGGAGGTGATTTTGATTTCTTATTGGAACGTTGTAATGATCAACCATTCAATAACTCTGCAAGAATGTTACAATTTTATAATTCCTTCTTGACTCCCTTGTTGAAATTGTGTCCTGTTCCAACTGTTTCAGGTAAGATGAGAGAAGATTTTTATTGAAATTAATTTTAAATTTAATTTAATTTAAATTTTTACAATAGCTTTAAACGGACATGCTATTGGAGCTGGTCTAGCCATTGCCTTGGCAACAGATGTTCGATTTGTTGAATCCAATGCCAAATTGGGAGTGAATTTTGTCAACTTGGGTTTGTCACCTGGAATGGCATCCACTTATTTCCTTCCATTTTTACTTGGCCATCAATCAGCAAGTGCTTTGCTTTTAACAGGAGATTTAATCAGTGCACAAAGAGCTCTTGAATTAGGAATGGTCTATGAAGTTGTTGAAGGTGAAGATCAATTGAGAGAGAAGGCAATTGAATTTGCTGCAAAAATTGCAAGAAATCCACCAATTGCCACCAAATTGTGTTTGAAGAATTTAAGAATGCAACAATTGGAAGGTTTGGAAAAGATGATTATTCGTGAAGCAGATGCACAAGCTCAAAGTTATGCAGATCCAATTTTGAAAAAAACTATTGAATCACTCATTCGTAAATCCAATGAAAAGAAGTAAAAAGCAACTGCTGATGATGGAATGGATACTTTTTGAATAAATTTTGTTTGGAAGGGTGCCGTGAAAACATTAACAAGAGATTGAGGACCATAAGATCTATTACAAAAAAATGTCAGAGTCTCATTCCCATCGCACGAGTGATTTATCCAATATTGAACATGCCTATTTTGAATTAAACAAGGCACTGCATTTAAAAATAAAACAATTAGAACAATATGAATTGTGTCTACAGGAAAGAGAACGAGAGTTAAATCGAAGAGAATTGTTACTCATTGAAAAATATGGTTCCGACAAGTGGCTGGAAAGTAATTCACAGACGACACAACCTCGTGATCATTTGGAAAATGATGTTAAAACAACACATGAAAAATCACTCTCGCACCAGAAATTAGTGGACGCTAATGTTTTCACAGTCACTCAATTTGATATTAATTTTACAAGCAACAAGATGAAAACATTTAATTCAAACAGAGGCGTGATTAAACACCATGTGGATGATCAACTCTGTGCCTGTATGGGTCTGATTGAGGAAAATTCATATGACAATTTCGATGTGATAAGATTCCAAGTGAAATTGGGAAATAATTGTGAAGGACTCTATCTTGGATTTGCTTCTCAAGACGATTTCTATTTATCAGGAAAGAATTACTTGACTTGTGCTTGGATGATACAAATCATGTTGAGAGATGAAAAAATACATTTAGTGAAATTTAGTCCTCAACAAGAATTTGAAGGTGGAGAGGAGATTACACTAAGGACACCCGAAGCTTTGAATCGAGTTCAAACTTTGTTTGGATTGAAGCTTGAAATGAATTATCATGTGAAAAAGGGAATTATAGAATTGAGTGTGCACGATGGAGAATCCATGATAATTTTTGATGGATTATTGGAGCACACTCGTATTCGACTGTTTCCAGCATTTGAGACTCGACAGACCAATTGTCAATTTGAATTTGATTCATCCGATCATGACTTGCGTGAATGATCATATTGGTCATTTAAGGATTGAATTTCTTTGTAAGGATGAACTTAATGTTCCCAACCATTCATGATCCATTCATTCACTTGCAAATGTTCCCAGAAGAAGAGGTTGATCCTGAAAAAATGAAAGTCCGTGCGGTTTGGTTGTTACTAACAGTAGCGTTCGTGGTGAAGGGTTTAGTACGACCAAGCGAAGGTTTACTTTCGAACGTGTCCAATGAGGGAGTACACCACGCGTCAGATGCATTACCGGATGTATTGCTCCCTTCTTCTTTCTTTAATTCTTCTTCTTCGACACTCAGGAATCACCTCAATATAGATCTTGTATTAAGGCATTATAGAACATTACCTCTTTTTCGTGATGGGGTTTCGGAAGAAGAATATTATCAGTCTGCAGCTTATGGAGGAACCTCTCCGAGAGTGAGGTATTCATTATGGGTGGTGGAATCATCTACGAATTCGAATGAAACCTGTATTGGAGTGTTTTGTCCTTCTGTGGCTGCTGCCTTTAAGTATGTAGCTTCTCGAGTGGCGATCTTGATTACTCAGCCAATACCAGAAAAAGTTGAAGTTGTGATTGATATTACATTGAATCATTCTTCTACATCAGCATGCCAGTTTCAACTCTACAATGATTCTAGACTTTTCTATTACGTAAATTTGAAATCAGCATTGTTGTCATCAACGATGGAAGTGAGTTGCCAAAATCAACGACAACCATTCTTTGAAGGTTCCCTAAGAACAGACATATTACAATTTATGGCTCAAGGTATAACATTTACAAATATGACCTTCGTTGTTAATAATTCACCACTTATAGGTTTTTTCAATTGCACCTTGGTCAATGTTAAGTGCTTCACTCTTGGAAATGTTGATAATTTTCCACCAGATCAACGACATGTATTTGTACTGGGTGACACTTATTTACTTGACAGCTCGATTTCATTAAGAAAATATTCATATGGAGAAGTACGAAACGTCCGAAAAGCAAACACGTTTCAACATCTTGGTGATGGTATTCAAATAACATCAGTAGAGGTGGTAAACGTTTATAATTTGACCACAAGTGATAGATTTTTTACTGAAGATGCGTCGTATGTGATCATTGCAAATTCTCTCTTTATTCCAAGAAGCTCTATTTATTGCAGAGGCACAAGAAATTTCATTCTTGTTTCGTCTAGGTTCATTGGTACCTTCAATCTTCCAGGATTCCCTATTGTATCTATATATAATGCAGAGCATATTGAGGTGTATATGGTAGAGGTCCAGGTGGATAGCAGTTGGTTTCAAGCGATTTCTTGCTCCACTTTGATATTGAGATACCTAAAAGTCAACCACTGTTTACGAGACGTAGTTTATATTTATTCTGCCGTACAAGCTAGCGTGGAAATGAGCTCGTTTCATAATGTCAAAGGGACCGTATTGACATTCGACCAGGCTGTTGGATACCAGGTTGAAAACTGTAACTTTAGCTACACGACATCCAAGAAGTCAGTTATATTTATTACAGAAAATCCCTTATCGAACATCTTTGACACAGACATCCCGCGTAACATGATTGTCAACTCCACTTTTTTTCATAATAAGGGTGCTGTTAGCAGTGGAATATTCATAAGCGGCATTGGAAGAGTATTTGTGACCAATTGTACGTTTGATGAATCGGTAGGTGACAGTGGAGGATCCATTGTTTACCAGTCTTCAGCCGAAGAAAATATTTATGGCTCCATGAGCGATATGCATTTTGCATTGAGTTTGATAGTTGAGGAGTGTCTATTTCGTAACAATACTGTCCGTTGCGAAAACTGTTTGTCATCTGCAGGAATTACGACCAATTCAGATTTGATCCTTCGAAAGTCAGAGTTCAGAGGAGGTAGATCGAAATACGGAGCAGCCATTGTTGTGAACGAATTTTCTTTATTTGACAGTAATAGAGTGTTTATTGACAACACTTCTATCTTTGTGGATAATATTGCGAAATTTGGAGCAAATATATATACTCGAGGAAGAGTACAAGTTATTGGCAACTATTCTGCTGCAATCGCTACTCTTTCGTCCCAATGCTCGAAAATTTCTATTGTTGGAATCACTTTGACGCATCTAATGCCAGGGCAAATGGTTAGTATTTCTCTTGTAGCCCTAGACATTTATGGTAACAAATTGAGCACTCCATACATTCCTTTGATTCTCTCTGGTAGCAATCCTGACATTGTTGCTGTTCCTCAAGACTTGAATACCTTCAATATTGATTTATATTGGGAAGACAGACGCCTTGATGATAAGGCAGATGAAGACTTTGTTCTTACCATTCTGTTCGATCAAGTTTCAGTCACTCTACCACTTACGCTTGTCGCTTGCAAAAATACGTTCGTCAAAAGAAATTTTAAATGTGAAGATCAAACAGCGCTCATTTCAACCCTTTCAGTGGTTGGAATCACAGCGATTTTCATGGCGTTGTTAGTTTCTATTCTTGTTTTGTTGTACTATCGAACGAAGAGAACCTCAAAATTGCTGGCTAAAAGAAAACAAGCTGAGATTGAAATGGAACGCTGTCTCATTGATAAAAGAATGGTGTTTGATGAAGATGAATCGCACCAATCGCAAATTAGTATCAAATCAAGTTCCAATATTATTGTTGCTACTGAGGATATTAAGGTAAGTTGCTGTGGTTGAAAAGTATGCGTGAGATGCAAACACACAATTATTCCGTTAGCTCATCAAGAAGATTGGAGAAGGTGCTCAAGGCCTAGTTTACCACGCTTCTTGGAAAGGTATTGACGTTGCGGTTAAGACCGTGAAAATTGGAGATGACGACGAACTTGATGACAACAGTGAATTTGAAAGAGAAGCAGCATTGCTTAGTAGTTTGAGACACCCTAATATTTTAACATTTTACGGAATTTGCGTTCCAAATAGGGCCCAAAAATTTATGGTCGTGGAGTATTTGAGAGGAGGATCACTTGAAAAATTAATTTCTAATTGCAGATTTGGAAAAGAAACACTCGGGTTGAAATCAAAAATTAATATTCTTCTTGGAATAGCAAGAGGAATGCGATATCTTCATGGACTAAAGCCTCAGATGATCGTACATCGAGATCTAAAGCCAGGAAATATCTTGTTGGATGAAAATCTCTCAGTAAGAGTATGTGATTTTGGATTATCAAGAGCTGTTGGCTCTAACGCCACCCAGGCAACTATGACATGCAATATTGGAACATTGCTTTACTGTCCCCCAGAGACTTTTAATGATAATGTTCAGGAAGGACATCTCTCCAAGGAGGATCGGTTAAGAAATGCCACAAAAATAGATGTCTACAGTTTTGCTGTCATCATGTGGTCTCTCTTCTTTGAAGAAAGTCCTTATGGAAATTGCAACTCGCAAAAGATGAATTATTTTAAAGATATCAAGAAGGAGCAAGACAGCAATGCTCACACCCTCAACATTCTTTCCCTAGTCCTGAAAGGTATTCGACCTTTCATTCCGTTCGGCACTCATGAGCAAATGTATGAATGGCTTCAAGAATTTTATTTTACAAGGGAGCAAGCGTACTCGCCGTTGGTTGTCGCTCAATGTGTGGAGCGGTATATGAATTTGATGAAGCAGTGTTGGAATCAAATGCCATCCTTAAGGCCATCCTTTGATTCCATTGTGGTCGATTTGTATGAAATGGAAACCATGTTGCAATAGTGCAGCACAAAGGACAACTGTGTCGGAAATTTCGAGCAGGAGGTTACTCTTTGCACTTGCTCTCAGAATAATTCAAGAGAATTTATTGAGACCCTTACCAGAGACTCTGTATTCACTGTTAACAATGATTTTGAAAGCAAATCAAGGAACGGAGGGCACCATCATTTGGCACCAAAAGCACACCAACATTCCAATCAACAATGGATTTTGACACAATTCAACTTTTATTAGGGAAATCAAGAGCCAAGACAAGAAGAGTTGCAAAATACCAACAATCAAAGTTGGGATCCCATCAGAAGCCAAGAGAATGAATGACGGCTTCATTATGCTCAGAAAAAAATGGCCAAGAATTACTCAGAAAAGTCCATCCCATTTCTTCAGACACAAGATTCTTCGCTTGAAATGGATACCGATTTGGGGCAGAGGTATTACTCGGCTCGTCATCTGGAATCCTCATCAACGATTGATCTTAATCTGCAACACTACGCTACCACTACAACTACCGAGCAACCTTCCTCAATCAATTATGCAGAGAGGGTCAAGAAGATTTTATGGAAGATTTTCAAAGCAACGCTCGGAAACAGAAGATTGAGGCTATTTCTGTATAGGCTGTTGAAAATAATCACAGTCACATATATTCAAGCTAATCACGTATTGGGATCTTCGGAGACTTCTGCTATAAGATTTGCCTTGAAAATCATTGCATATATTTTCATGGTGTTTTTGTGTATCATCACAATCAGTAGATATGCGCGGGAACTAACTGCAGTCAGTAAGAAAAAGCCTCTTTCCATATGGCTCAATTGGATGGAAGCCTTACTTTTCAGTCTGTACATTGTGTTTTCCCTACTCACAGCAGTGTTTCATATCATGTTTGCAGCCTCATGGTATGAAGTGGAGCGGATAAAACCTAACCACGATAAGGCTCTTCGTCAGCAATTTTCTGTGTTTATCGTATTTGTACTCCTTTACGTGTATAATGCGATGGAAATGGGTCATCATTATATTCATTCGGGACATAGTGTTTCTCTTTTCCTCACTCAAGCAAAACCTATACCAAGAAGAGAGACCAAGATATTACTACAGGAAACAAGTCCAAGTGCTAACATTACCCACCCTTATTTGCAATCATTGGATATGATGGGCCTGCATGATGTTAATGAAGAGAAATATCGTTTCAACAACAGACAAGATCTTTCGAGAAGCAGGTATTTCGCTGATGAAGATGATGAAGAGGATGAAGACAACTATATTCCAACAACCATACGAAACCAACAGCTATGGAGACGCCAGCTCAACATTGGGACTATTTCAACTCTGGCCAGTACACTCTAACTCGTCGAAACAGCAGCACGTGCTAAAAACATGCTCTTCCTAATGACATAGAGTTGCTTTGAGGATCCTTTCTCACAAAGGCTACACAATCTCCTTTCGATAGTCTCTCTTTGAATTCTTCCATGTCATTCACTAGGTACACGTTGTGGCTACATTCTTTACAAAATGCCATTTTGACTTGAGATGCTGATACTTTGATTGCCAACTCTTCGAATTTCAATGGACATTTATAAATATATTCACATCCTTCTATGAATTTCTGATCATAATGAGAGGTAGCAAATTCAGGCATTTCCAAACTAAAACTTGAGCTAGTTGTGTCCCGTTGTAATGGCAGTTTTTTTGGTTCATAAATCTTCAAATGTAAAATCCTTCGCCTGAAGATTGAGACGACACATAGTTAATTACAAACCCGATAGGTTCACGAATGAATAACATTGCCACCATGATCAAGACACTCACCTCAACACGTGCAACCAATTGTTGACATTCAGCGTTTTTTTAAATTTCGGAAAGAACTGGCACACTAACGGTTTATAAACTTCTCGTTGTGTCACATCAAATAGATGGTCTTTTTCATCCTTTTTATATGTAAATTCATTCATAGATAACAGTGGCTTGGAATAATTTTTTGGTTTAAAATCTTTGGTCAAGGTTTGATTGAAACATAATTTCAGAAAGAATTTGTTTGTCATGGACAAGTGAAAAATTTCTGTGAGCGAAAGTTCTTTCAAAATGACAATCCATAGATCATGTGGAAGCTCGGTAATGCTGATGCTGTGAGTGGTTCCTTGTTCGTTCTCGTCACTCTTGTTCAGAGGGTACATTTTTTTGAATTTGTTGCCAAAACCATTCAAGTTCGGACCAACATTCACAATCTGGGGCATCTATTTCAAATCCAACAACAAGACCGTTCAGAACAAAAAAATTCTCAGGCAGCATCCTCAAAGAACATCATCACAGCAACTCTTTTGAACTTTTTCAAACGGAAGAGGTCCCTTGAAAACAAGTATTTGTTGTTATTTCAGATTTAAGTACAATTAGTGTACATACGTGCTTTGGCAAATTCCGATTCAAAAGAAATATTATTCTCGGTTCATCATAATTACTAATTCTCTTCCCATTCAGAAATGATAATAACACCAACGATATTACAAGAGATTGGATATCTTCTCTTTTCATATTTGAGCAGTGTTTCCATTATATTCATCAACAAGCATATATATAATGACAAGAAGGTTGCCGGAACATTGCTCATGTCTTTGCATTTCTTCTCCAATTTTGTTATTGCTGGAGGTTTATTCTTTGCGCACCAACTTTTCAAAAACGTGGGCTTTTTCTCTCTTTTCAAATCCAAGTTTTTGAGCGTTAGGACTGGAATAATGATAAGCCTGAACGTTGCTTCTGCAATATTTGTCGGAAATTTGAGCTTGATACATAATTCAATTACTGTTTACCAATTGGCAAAATTAATGGTTATTCCTTGCATACTCGCCATCAATTTTGTGTGGCTGAAAACTTATGTTGACTCAAAAACCTTTATTTCGCTAATGTCAATTGTGGTCGGAATGTGCTTTGTCATTTATGGAGACTTTTATTTGAATCTTACAGGATCGATCATTGCTCTGATGGCCATACTTTTTGGAGCCACATCACAAATTGTAAGTTTCTCACGATCTGAACAACTGGAACGCTTAAACAATCAAACAGGCAATCAATTATTACTGCAAAGAATATGATATCAATGGATTTGAATTATTATTCAACCACTCTATTTATTCTTCAATATTTTTGGCCATTTTAGCCTTTCCTGTTGATGGTGTAGAATCAATTTCACATAGTATGAACAGATTTCTGACTGATCCCTCTTTCTTTGTAAGTAGTGAGCGTAACTAACAGGTAGCTGAATTTTATTCGCAATGTTGTACAGAACGTCATTATTATTTCATGTTTTGCTGCTTTTATTGTCAATGTTGCTGGTTATTTAGTAATTGGAAAATTATCTCCCCTTACGTAAGTATTGCAGCTTTAGAGCTTAATAGATTTACAAAATTTTAATGATAATAGGTTTCAAGTGCTTGGCCATGCTAAGACCATTTCAATTTTAATTGGAGGATTTTTGTTCTTTGATCAAGAAAATGAATTGAATCCAATCAAGCTTTTTGGTATCTTAATAGCCTTGGCTGGAACTATTGCATACTCCTACATTAAATACCAGCAAGAAATCAAGAAGGACCAGTCTACAAGTACCAGCAGCGTCAGCACTAGCGAAAATGTTGCAAAGCATGAACCTTTGCCTCAATCAGAACAAGAAGCAGATGATCTTGAGGCCAATCTCGAAAAGCAATCCTCAACAGAACAGCCAACAAATGAAGTTGTGACAACAACTGTCGAGGAACTGCCCGTACAAGAAAGCAAGAAATAATTAATTACAATGAAAATTCGCATCTTGTAATAATTACAGAAATTTAAAATGTTTTCTATGTGAAGGATATTCTTTTGGAAAGTTCTTATCGAGAAAAAGTTTCCATTCAATTTCGTCCTTGCAATCCATATCTGTGAGAAACTCAGTACTGCACCCAGCAGTTTTCAATGCATTTGAGTAGTGTTCTTGCATTCTCTTATTTAAATAATCTCGTTGTACCTGACTCAATTGATTTGAATACCAATTTAGTGGCATTCGCTTTTCTGGATTCATTTCATGCTTGGTAGATTCATAATATTGCATCATGTTGTTATATCCTCTAGTTATAATTCTTTCAGAGAGAGCCTGATTAATAATTTGCTCAAAACAACTTTCTTTCCTTGGCGCCAAGAAAAATCGAGAAAACATAAAGCCCATAATCGACCCTGCAGCCACAAAACGAAGCGTTTGTCTTCCATTTGTGATATTACCAAAGTTGTAGGCAAACGAAAATCCATTTCCCAGCGCTGCTCCACAGAAGGTACCCACAATTGAAATATATCTTTTGAATTGCATGCAATCTTCATAATTATAGGTCATTGGAGCATGTATACTATAATCAGCATTATCCATTGCATCTAAATATTCCTGCTTGTTATATTTATAAACTCTTGAATAAAAGTCGTGAGTCATTCTATCGGGTAGTTGTGAATTTTCATTGATATATTTATGGGGATTGCTAATAGCACCATATGTTGAAAAGAATAGTGTCAAACCTTTGAACCAATAGTTAAACCATTCAAAAAGAGAGAATTCTGAACTTGGTGAAACAGCTAGTCTTCGTTGTAGAGAGTGAGGAGAAAAATCATTGTAAATTTCATCACTAGGCTTGTGTAATCGTTGAGATGAATCATTTTTGGTTGTAAAACTTTGAAATTTAAAATCATTTTGTGATGATAATTTTTCAGACTCCTTTCCATCCATCGTGCTCTCCAATTTATTGCTCTTCAACTCAAGAACAGAATTTTCTTGAGAATGAATATTTCCAGAATTACTATTTAATTTTCTCCATCCACTCTCGTTCACCATCTTGGACAATAAAGGCTCAAGAGACTCTTCCGATAATCCATCAAATAACGGATGATAACTTTCCGAAGAAAATATTACATTTCGTGTGTTATGATCGGAAAGAGTCTCCTCCCACAAGCGTTTCATTTTTTTAAAATTGTCTTTTCATAAACTTGAGAAATCTTTCAAGAATTTTGAATGGAATTACAACTAGGTGGATATAGCGCTAACTGTGGAATATTTAAACTAATCTATTCTTTGGACGAACTCATACTTGTATTTGTTCTTGGAATGATCCATTTAGAGATATTTAGAAGGATGTTTGACGTTGTCATTCGAAAAAGTGCCTCGTGCTTTATTTCAATATATGTAGCGACAGGATGCAAAACCTCCCGTTCAATATAAACTTTTTAATCAGACCATCAACACTTTTTCACCTTTCTTTCCATATTTGGCTTATTTAAGGATTTCATCGTGACAATTAAGACACAAGACTAGATCCATTGGCTTCATGAGGAAATGAACCAACATTGTATCCTCAGAACTTTTCATGTCCTTCCATCTCGTTTCGCCTGATACTGAAAACTATAAATTGCTATTCACAGACTCCAACTTTAGAGCAATAAGAAAAAAATCAAAAACATCAACAACAAGATGAAAACATTCACTCTTGTCTTGCTGTTTGCTCTTCTCCTCTTCGCAGCTGTCTACGTTGCTGGAGCTGACACTTACAAGCCAGATCCTTACAGACCAGATTCGTACAGACCTCGTCCTAAAAAGTATTGTCGCAAAAAGTGCGTCTTGCACAAGTATTTGCGTGGAAAATGTCTCAAACACAGAGTTGTAGGTCGTAAAAAGTATTGTGACAAGTATGCAGTTGTTGGAAAGGGACGTTGCAAAAAGTACAAAAAGTATTGGAAGTGTGACAAGTACAGCAAGCCATACACTAAGTGTGTGAAACGCAAGTACAAAAAGTATTGTGCCAAACATAGATCTTACAAAGTCTGTGATTCTTATGGAACTCGTAAATATTGTAAGAGACATGCTCGTAAAAAGTATTGTGCCTACACCAAAAAGTATAAGAAGTGCACTGCTTGGGGTAAGAAGAAGATTTGTAAAGGATATAAAAAGTACCCAATTAAGAAGTGTTACAAGAAGAAGAAGTGTGACAAGTATGTCGATTCCTATGCTCCAAGAAAATGCAGATATGTTCGTAAATGCCGTGTCATTGGATACAAGAAGAAGTGCTACAAGAAGAAGACTCGCCATTACTGTAAAAGATACAAGTATGGTTCGAAATGTGTCAGATACAAGTATAAGAAGTATTGTGCCAAACATGGATATAAGAGATATTGCAAGCATCACAAATATGTGAAGAAGTGTTGTCATTACAAGAAGAAGAAGTATTGTTATCGTAAAAAGACCTATCCTGCCAAGTGTATCCATAAAAAGCATTACAAGATTTGTAAAAAGAGATCTAAGGGAAGAAGAGTCTGTAAAAGTTACAAATACACCAAAGGTAGAAAGATTTGTAAGAGACGTGCACCTGGAAAGAGAATTTGTAAATTAAAGAAGAAGGTGTGTAAGAAAAGAAAGCAAAGAAAGGTCGACATTTACAAATAATTGATGAAAGGAAGGTTAAAAGCTTTCACAAATGTAAAGTAAACTATTCCTTCATGTACAGTTTCTGATTACAATTTTAAGGGATGGGCTTGTTGCTGTGCACGAATCGAGGCACTGTCAAATGTCATCGTTTTTCTCTTGACGCAAAAAAATGCGCATTTTCGCTACCAAGAAGGTGTGTACCACAACATCTCTCAACAATGTTGATTTTCATCCACAACCAACCTATTCATCATCATCACGTATTTTCATCATTACTATTTTCTAAAATTTTCAAACACATTACAACTCGAGTAGAAAACTGACACTCCAACTGGCTCACCCGTCGCCTCCTCTCCACTCTCCGCCGGAGGATCCTTTCCAAGAAACTCACCAAGTACTGGAAATTCGTCATCTCCTTATCCTCCAAGTGTCTCTCCTGTGAGTTCTGGATATAAATCAGATCCAGCGAGTCCAGCAAGTCCTGGAGGTTATTTATTTAATGGTACATTACATCCGTTTGATATTTATAGCGAATATAATGATAAGGTGTGGAAAGAAGGATTTTTGATAAAGGAAGGAAGACTTGTGAAGAGTTGGAAGAAGGTGAGTTTGTTTTTTTGAACAACAATAATAATTGTGAATGTGTTGATCGAAATGTATGGATGATCATGCATTTGTGTTGTTATCAATCATTTATCTAATTTGGAATGGTCATTATTGACCACATTTTTGATCTTGTTTTATCATTTATGTTTTTGTTAAACGATTTGTGACACTCACAGCGTTATTTCCAAATCAAAGGTTCTGTATTGACCTACTTTAAAAGCGCCAAAAAGAATGAAAGTGACGTTAAGGGTAGAATGGATTTGAAAGGAGCTCAAGTCTACTATCTCGGAGATGTCTCATCCTATGACAGCTTTTTCCAAACCATACGATTTAACACTGTATTAGAAAATGAAGAATTTGACAGCGATGACGAAGAAGAGGTATCCAATGCCAACAACTCGAGTTTAAATTCTTCAAATGCCAATAACACAACAGGAAATAACGCAGTTGCTATTCAACGAAAATTAGAAAGTAATGCATACAAGTACAAGTTTTGTGTCATTGCTTCAGATCGTGAATTATTTATGGCTGCTGCAAGTATTCAAGATGCCAAAGATTGGGTGAAGAGAATTAGAGCTTGTATTTTTGTTGAAGATTACTTTGTGGATTGTAAAAGTTGTGGTGTGGAACGACCACTCCTCTCGGTGGTCATGTTATTGACCTCTGTTGCTTCTATTGACTCCACAGAAGAAGAGAAAAAGAGCGCTCAACTTGTTGGAGCAGTTGATGATTCAAGGCATTCTGATATTGAAACACTTGTGTTACAACATGAAGATCCATTCACAATTTCTGATTTAAAGGCCTTAACCACCACATGCATTCAAAGTACTAGAGTTAATTTAAAGAGTTTATCAATAACACATTGTGGAATTGGTGACGAACATTTGAGATTATTAGCTCATGGTATGGCTGATAATCAAACCATTGCTTCATTGGACTTGTCACATAACGTCATTTCAGACTTTGGTATTTGTGATTTAATTGATGGGCTCTTTTTAAATGTGACACTGAAAAGACTTTCATTTTCACACAATTCCATCGGAGATGTTGGATGTGTGTATTTGAGTGATTTACTTTTAGGAAACGTCAGTATCAAGAAACTCGACATTTCCTACAACAAAATTGGTGCCAATGGAGCCAAAAGCTTAAGTAAGGCACTCATTAGCAATACCTTATTAAGAGTTCTCGATTTAGGCCATAACAGTATCGGAAATGAAGGATGCTCCTCATTGGCTGAAGGTCTCAAACAAAACAAAACCCTCGAAACTCTCGACCTCTCATTCAACTCCATTGGAAGCGATGGTTTAACACGATTATGCAACGAAGGAATTATTTACAATCGAGGACTTAAGGATTTGAGTTTACATGGAAATTCATTTGATAACGCAGGAGCCAAAAGTTTAGTGAAGGCACTCATTGACCACAAAACGTTGAAACGAGTGGATTGTGGTGAAAATTCACAAATTGGAACGGAAGGAATTATTACATTGGCTCAAACTTTGACCACCAAATATATGGTTGGTAAATTGGTGATGAGAAGTAAGAATGTCAAGCAATAAGAGCGATCATGATAGGTGACACACGAATTGTATCATTGAATACTGAGAACAAGGCTCCTTCTTATCGAGTGTACTTTCGAAAATCATGTACTTTCTAACAATAGAAAACATTATTTTGATCTCAGTGTTGAAAAGGAAATTTATCAAGTAAGGCTTGGTCTATTTACATTTTGTATCTGTCGTCGTCTTGGTGCACTCAAAGATTTGAACATCATCAATGAATCACTTGTCCCAACCTCTTACTCGTGTTAAGAACCTAAAAAAGTTCAACACAAGAGACGAGACAACCTCTCATAAAAATTATATCACTGTGTTGTTGTTGCTTCTGCATACTAGTTATAGTTCGTCACTGCACTCACCTCTCACATGATCCACCCTAAGGGTGCACCTGAGAACCCTTCACTGACCGAGATTTAAGATCTTTGTTGGCGCCCTCTCACACGTTTTGAAAGCGCAAATAACAAACCCATAACGGGATAAATTACCGTTAACATCTGTTTTAGGTGCTCTCTAAAAAAATTGGATCAATACACACTAGCTTTCACACGTGATCATCCTCCGAAGAGTAGAGAGAGGAAGGAAGAATTGATAGATCGGACCAGTGGATCGGTGTAAATCGCACGCAATTATTGTTGTTGTTATAATTAACTTTTTGGACGCACAATCAACTAGTAGTAGTAAATTTGGAACAAATATTCTCAAGAAGAAGAAAATGAAATCAGTCGTCCATGCTGCTGTGGGTGCAGCTGCACAGCTTCATCATCATCATGAATCGGAGAAAATGTTACGAGTATTGTTTTTAGGTAATAGTGAAACAGGAAAGACGAGTATCATTGAAAGGCTCGTTTATGATCAATTTGAAGAGAATTACACGCCAACCATTGGCAGTGATTTCTTGACCTCTCAAAATATTGAATACCGAGACGATACATACAAATTACAATGTAAGTTGATATATTGAACAACTTTGTAGATCAACACCAATCACTGCATTTCATGTCACACACTGCAGTATGGGATAGTGCCGGACTTGAAAAATACCAAGGATTATCTGTATCGTTTTATAGAGACATTGACATTGTGTGTTTGGTGTTTTCCGTTACCGACTTGAAAAGTGCAAACTCTTTAAACAAGTATGTGTCAATATTTATTATTAATTATCATCCTTACACTTGAACTGTGCTTTTCATTTTCCTTATTGTGTGCATTTTCATAGATGGAGAGAAGAATTTTTAATACAGGCAGGAATGTCAGTCACTTCCTCATTTCCGTAAGTTTCATGGCACTTGACATTAATATGCTGACACGCTTTATTTTAATTTCCTTAGATTTGTGGTCATTGGAAATAAGATTGATTGTATGAATGATTTCAATAAGAGACACTGTGAAAAGACAATATCTACTGCTAAGTCTTGGTGCGCTCAATTTGGCTACCCCTATTTGGAAACGAGTGCCAAGAGCGAAACCTCTTCAAACCTAGAAACCCTCATCGTTCCTCAAATCATTGAAAAATATGTGTCAAGTGCAAAACTAGAAAATGAAGAGAATGAACATGATGAAAAATTACTTCCAGAAACTGAAGAGGGAAAACAAAAACGCTCTGGCATTTGTGGCAACTGCTCAATTCTGTAAATTGATTCATTTACAACAGAGAGAATTTATCCTTTTTCTCTAAGCATCTAGGCTTACTCAAAATTACAAGTACTGGATTAACTGCCACAAATGACTTGTCAATCTAGTCATGTATAGGAGTAAAGATTCTTCCCATTATCCTCTGTACATACCACAAATGTGAATGGCAATAGGTAGTGCATCACAGTCGTTATGACTTTCTATCAACAGCATTCCAAACAAGTGTCACTAAATAAATTATTGATACCAACCGACACGGCATACCCTTTTAATCAACATGGATGATCATGGTTTGTACTTCAACCTTCAAGTTACTGTCATCCACTGCGTGCTTCACTCCGAAAAAGGATCGACATCGAATTATTTTTGTGTGATAGGACCATTGTTTTCGCAGTGTAAAATTTCACAACGACAATCAATTAAGCAGAAAATGTCAAGTTTGTGCATTTTCCAAAACTGCCAAAGATACATGTTGGACGACGAGAGAATATTCAAATATCAACCCAGTCGTTGATGGTCGTTCTTATAACCACAGAGAATATTTAGACAAATACCATTTTGTGTTCCCTTATTTGTATTTTACATGCACTGGTGGTGGTGGGTAATAAATCGATGGATAGCTACAAATTTTCATCATGACCACGATGAGGATGAGGTGGTGGTACCATGGCATCACCAAAGGGAAGTGGAGATTTCTAATTCCTTTTTCACTGTGTGCTGGAACTAGCCTCACCGCAAAACACTTTTAAATCTTCATTTTCCATCCAACCATGACCGAACCAACCATGGCAGAGTCCTCTTTGGTTTCATGATCAGTACTATTAATCCTCTTGTTCCAGAGGTACCTCCTCCATACAAGACAAGAGTCCAGATTGTACCCTCAAACCCATCACGACCTTAGAACACACAAGAGACTGTCTGCGCGGATAGGCCGACCTATGGAGATGGAAAAAGCGAGCTTGGCGCATTTTTCAAAAATGAATCATTATCCTCTCTCAAGCAGAACGAACCACAACCCTTACGCGTTCTTTTTGAATCTTGACCAAATGGGCAAGTGCACACACGAGCTCGGACTAGCCACTTGAGATGATGAGGATGATACTCTCGTAAAAAACAATCCTCTCTCTCTCTCTCTCTTGATATTGTTCATGAAGTGAGTTGCACGTACGCGTACCACCGGTGCAAAGTCAACAACAACAACGACAACATTGGAATATTCAGTCTCTCTGTTGGGGGAAAATAATCTTGTTGAACAATATTTAAATTCATAATTTCGTAATAGTCAAAGAACAACTTGGGAATCTCATAGAAACAAGCATTTGCTCGTTTATTTGATGATTTTTTCTGCAATGACATTTGACAGTCAGGACCGGCATGGTAGTGATACTACTACATCATCCTCTTCATTAGATGCTACTAGTACTCATACCAATAATAACAACACCATGCAGCAAAATTACCACCTTGATTCTTCTTTACATCAACATGAAACCTCACCACATGCATTCTCCACAACAACGACCAACCTTGATGCGTCAAATCATAACACAAATAATAATAATAATAACAACCATCATCACCACTCTGCCACATCCACCACGCCACTTTTCCAAACAGAAGAAGAAATACAAACTCCACACCACTCGCTGCATGCAGCTCCAGCAATGCGAAATCATGATTCACAACATGAAGAAGAAGAGAATGAATCGACTCCAATAACAACAACAACAACAACCAATAGCAGTAGCAGCAATGATTCAAGGAGATGGTCTTCATCAACGACGACTTCTCAAACTTCCTCTCTCCAACCTTCTTCCTCATCATCAAATCAAGACGAACAAGACGAAGATGATACATCGACATCGACGACAAGTAGTAGTGTGACAACCTCAATATTTGGATATAGTCCTCGAGTACGACAATTTCATACCTCTCGAACTTCTGGTGGGAATCATCAACGCCATTCTGTGAGTTTCTCGAAAGATGCATGGATGAATCAACACATGTTGAATGCCAATCATCATCATCATGTCATGCATGACCATAATAATAATAACAATTCTTCTAACGATAGTCAACCACAATTACCATCAGAAACAACCACTCATGAATGCTCGAACACCACCACCACGTGTTTCCTAAACGATCACAAGACCCAAAAAAACACTTCATGGTCTCAAATGAACAATCAACAAGCAGCAGCAGAAACTACAACAACAACAAACCTCTCGTCGCCGTCTTCTCCTCGAACTTCCGATTCCTCTTCATCTCTGAATTTTCAAAAAAACAATCTTGTTGCTGCATCTTCATCAACACCATTTGGATCAACGGTATTTCCATGGACAACGAAAAAGGGACAATCGGAAAAGCGTCATTTAAAGTTTTTAAAAGATGCACACGTAGAAGAACGAACTTGGAATTCTGGTTTGTCGTCTTCAAAATCTTCATTCTTCTCTCGAATGAATCATGATACGATCAGAAATAGTAATCATTCGCTGTCAACACCGTCACAAAATCTACATGCCACTCATCTCGATTTACAACGACGATTAAGTCAATGCCTTCCCACAATTTTCACAGATTGGAAACGAGTGATTGATTTTCAATCGACTTGCATGTTGGTGTTAATTATTTTAGATTATACATTCATGATCATTGAAACTTGTGTGAAAAAGGGATGGTTGAATGGATTGATTTTAACAACATTGTGTGTGATTGGATTTACGAGTGTGAAATGGTCATTTCTAAGAGATTTACCTCACTATGTAAATGTTAATACTAGTTCGGTGTGGAAAACGATTGGATCTCTGCAAGAGTTTTCAAGCAATAATGTTGGCACTTCTGATAAGAAAATTCCAAAAGATGAATCTTCATGGGTGGCTTGGTTGTCCTCTTACATGCCCAATCGATTTAGCAGTACTCAATTAGTTTTCCTAAATTTGGTATTGTTCACTTCGAAATTCATGTTAGCCGAATCTAAGAGTGTTGTGACGCCTATGAGCTTATTCTCAATAGCCTCCATTGCAGGTTGTAAATATCGAGATTCATTCATTAGAAATCGAAGGGATATTGAATGGCAACAAACTCAATCCGTTGTAGAGAGTGATGAGGAACCTAAACAGATGCCATCTAACGAAACATCGGCAGATCTTGAAGCAGTATTGTGGTCACAAGTACCTTTCTATTACATTGCTCTCCATTACGTGTGTTATATGGCGTACAAAACATTTCAATTTTTCACAAGCACTGAGAAGCCTCTTACTCTTGAAGAAATTTTAAGAGAATTACTCACTTTGGTGGTTGATTACTTCCCTTCCATTTCCATGGTGTTGATTTTTGGTGGTTTTGTCGTATTTGCCAGTGTCTACATTTCCATTGAATATAAGAAATTGACAGACATTACAAAAAAATTGAGTCAAGCATTGGAAGTGAAGAATAACTTTTTGTCACATGTGAGTCACGAGCTGCGAACTCCATTATTATCTTCCTTGGGAAGCATTGAACTCATGAAAGAAACAAATTTGAGTAATGAACAAGCTGGACATTTAGAAGTCATTCAGGCATCGAATAGTGTTTTACTCACTCTCATTGAAGATATTTTCTTATTTATTGATTTGGATCGAGCTCCAAAGAATATGACTCCAATGAATACTAGGAAAGCATCTGATGACAATCCATCAATTGAACACAAATCCACTAGTGAATTGACAAGATTTCAAGAACATAGTTCCGCTTTTAGTATTTCCAAATCCATTTTGACCATATTGGACATTCTCCAAAATTATTCGAACAAATTCCAAATCAAAATAGAATGCTACATTGACGACAGCATCAAATCATTGATCGTCTTTGCCAATCAAACTCGACTCCAACAGTGCTTGTTAAATATTTTAACCAATGCTGTGAAAGCTTCAAAACCCAATGGTGTTGTGGAATTGTATTGTTCCAAAGTAGATCCTCAACCTCAACTCTCAGAAAAACATCTCTCAAGTATGAATCGAGACATGAGAAATGTGGAATGGTTTGAAATTTCGATTGTGGATCATGGAATTGGAATTCCCAAAGACAAACAAAAATCCATTTTTGAACCTTTTCAACAATTACATAATTTAAATGAAGCGATATGTCCTGGAACAGGTTTGGGACTTTGTACTGCAAAGAGAATTGTAGATCAAATGGGAGGATGGATTGATTTGCAATCAGAGCCCAATGTTGGATCGACTTTCACATTGTACTTACCGTTTCAAGTTGAATCCACTCATGGTCCCATCATGGATACCTTTTTGGAAGATCAAGCAACGAGTACAAGTTCTAGAAGTAGTAGTAGTAGTGATGAATTGACACATTTATCTCATGGTACCTACACATCAAGTTCACAACAAGGTCATGAAGGAGGTGAAATGTTGGCTACAGATAGTTCAGAATCATCATCTTTGAGAAATAACAATGTTCTTCCTTCTCTCAAACTCTCAGAAATTAATTCACCTCTTCATAATGCCATTCAGAGACAATTACAAATTCAAGAAAATTATTTGGAGCAATTTGAAAAGACACAACGAACATTTAATGAGTCACCTCGTCCAAAGAGCGCCAATAGCAAAATCATTGTGGCAGAAGACAATTCTATTAATCGACAAGTACTTTTGAAATTGCTATCAAATCTAGGATTTGGACAAGCGGATGCAGTGTGTGACGGACAGGAATTAGTTGAAGCATTTGATGTGAATAAGCATAAACTCATTCTCACTGACATGCACATGCCTAAAAAGAATGGACTCGAAGCTTCACAAATTATTCGACAAAAGTATCAAGATAAGGTGAAGATCATCATGTTAACAGCGGATGCTCTGACGGATTTCTCGACTGAGCAATATATGAGAACTGTTGATGCTGTGTTGTGTAAACCATGCACGAAACAGAAATTGAAAGAAACCATTGAAACTTTTTTGAAATAAAAAAGAATGGTGACTGCCATTTACTTTCATTTGTTGAGACAAAGCTATCTTAAGGACTTTTCATTGGGGATGATTGAGATGTCTGTAAATTTGCAGTAGTGAGACTGAACAAGCAATAATTTTTGTTTGAATTGCATCTCGTTAAATCCTGTTTGGGTGACAATAATCTAAGATGAAGATCATGCGTTATGAATTCGCCATGTTACAAATTGACAAAAACTTACCGAAGTACCACGACCACATAAAACATGTGAAATCTTCTTATCAAATTTGTAGTCAAGAAGAACAAATTGTCTCACAACGGTTTGTTGACTTTGATTGTAAACAGACATTCCATACCCTTCGTGACAAGGTGCTCTTATTCCTAAAGTCGGCGTCATTTCAGTAATGATCAAAACTAGTTTAAAACTTACCCAATTGTCTTTAAAAAAGTCAGTAAATGGTTGTACAAAAATATATCACACAATACATACCCATCACTGTTGAATCCAGAAGCCATTAATGATTACTTCTTACCAAATGAATCAATGTGTGGTGTCTACCTGCAGTCACACGAATTTCTTCACCACATGAAATCACCTCCGTCATTTCATATACTCTTCGCTGAAAACCAAGGCCTAAATTTGAATGAAGAAATTTTATCATTCTTCTAAGTTTTCAATTCAACCACTTACCCAATTGTCTTTAGAAGTTCAGTACATTCAATTTTCACAATTAAAAATTTTCACATGCAACGTACGTACCCATATTGATTATCTCCAACAGCATAAATTCTTGATCCTGTAATAACGATCGTGTACAAGTAACCACATTCTACTCCCGTAATGATATCTTGTGTTGGCATGGAAATCTTACAGAATTTTTCATGAAACTTATCGGTACCAATTTTTTGAGCTAATTGACCTTCAGCGTTAGATCCCAAACTGTTGAAGATTTTTCACAGAAATGATCGCAAGTGATTTCACAGATATGATAGCATTATCATCCATACATGTACTATTGTAATGAAATTCAAATTTCACAAACACGTACCCATAAATTTCATTTTGATCATTCACAACCACAAAATGAGATCTTCCACATGCCAAATATCGAATATTCGTTCCTTCCAATGCTTTACATTTGGTATTCAAATAGGTGAACTTGCCTTTCTCATATGGAAATGTATCTTGTTGTGAAGCTGCCTGTCCAGAAAAATAATAATAAGGATGTTGATTTTCTGCAAGATGTTTTCGTGTCATGATATAAATATCAGTTGAGTTCACAACCATGATTGTGTAATTCAATCCTGATCCAATCAAGGTCACTAAATTTCTCTGATCTTTCAAATTTTTCAAATAAGTGCTATCAAAATGTTTGTCATGACTCAATTTCACACATTTGGTCTCTGATTGAATTAATCCAAATGTATAAATATTTTCTCTATTGGTGACTACACAAACATGATTCGATCCACATGATAAATGGGTAATTTCCTCATTCTTGAAATACTTGACTGGAACTTGCGTAGGAGAATCTACAATAAAAGTTGAAGTCGAAAAATTATTGGTATAATAATAATTATTATTATATCTATGATTATGGAGTCTCATGTGATCTTCTGTAACGGGAAGACCAAATAAATTATCCACATTGAATCCACTCATATACAAACAATTGTCATGAGTCACAAAGGCTGTAAAATCATCACCTGCATCAATGAGTGTAATAAATTTTTGATCTTTTAGAGTTTCTTTGAGACCATGATTGAGAACAAATTCTCTGCTCGGAATCGCATGGCTATTGGATGAGCTAAATAACTGTCCATAGGAATTTTCTCCGCATGTGTAAACGTCGTGTTGTGGGATGGAACGGACCATTATTAGTTTGTGATTTTTTTTTTCGCAGTGACCTGTCAAAAGTTTACAATGAAATAATTTCAAATTGCTGGTCAACAGAAAAGCAAATCCAGCAAAACCATTTCAAATTATTGAGATGTGAAGAGTTTGGTAACAAGGAAGAGGAGGCAGCTCCTTTCACATACTTTCTTAATTCAAGATCATGGAACACTTTTTCAGCCAGCTGTGGATACTGTTTCGAATTTCGTAATTTCGGTGGAAGCATTCGATAGCATTGCGGATTCACATCAAGTATTTGTGAGACAAAATTGGAATCATTGAGAACCAGTTGTTTTAGAGGTTCAATGAACTCTATCATTAAGGAAAGGTTGTAACTTCGGTCTCTGCAAAACTCGAATATAATCTTTCTGCATTCTGGACACAGCTCTTGATTGTTATGGTCATTAAGAATTGGAAAGGCCATAATGAAATAGAATACATTCTTTCTAATCATGTCCACATCTAACACCAACTTCGGATCTTTTTTCACAGTCATCATTTCAACAAAGTAGTTTCGATATTGCAACATGGCTGATATAAACGAATCTTCATGGCGTTCGAATTGTGAACAAATAACTGGAAATACCTCTTTGGTAAACACAAACTCTGGCCTTGTTGGATTATTTGAAAGGAATCGATTGAATTGTTTTAAGGTAATATTGGATAATAAGAAAAGGAGAGTCTTTTGGTCAATGTCATACGTGAGCTTAATGTATTTTCGAATCTGGCTCACATGTCCACAATCAGAAAATGCTTTGATGGCATCCAAATTAATGACTCCGTCACAAATTTTCTCCCATAACGCATCACCATGATCAAGCTGGTGTGATTTAAAGGCAACATAAATCAATTCTGGAGTTTGTCTCAAAGTTAAAGGAAGACAATGAAAAATAGATGGTCTTTCCTGAAGACATTGTTTCACTATTTGATAATCTAGCTCAGCAACAACGTAAGAAGGTAGTTTGGTGATTAATTCAGGGTTTTTTACAACAACCATTGCTACCAAGTCCAAATGTTCTTCATAAAAAGTTTGCGAGCAATTTAGGATGTACCTGGAACTTATTTCTAATAGTTTTGGCATCACTTCTCTTGTTTGTGCAATATGAGGTGGAATGTATTGATGAATATCAGCAATCACATTCGAAACATGGTACTTGTAAGACAGTGATGCGGCTATAGCCTTACACATTAATTCCTTTTCGGAAAATAAATCCTTGTTCGTAATACATCTAAAACATTCCAATCCAAAACATTGTATGGCTTCTCTTTGAGCTTCTTCAGTTTTAAAAATCATGTGATCAACCACTGTCATAGCTTTTGGATGTCGATTTTTAAAGGCCAATTTACAAATTTCTAGATCACTACGAATAGAGGCAGAGTGGACCAATAGAAGCCAGGAACCTTGCTTTGGACGAGAGACCACACTTTTTATCAGCTCTCGGTCTGCTAACCATGTTCTTGGTACATCAATTAAAATCTTTCCTTTAGTTTTGGAAACTAAAAATTCAGCAATGTACATGTTGCTTTCGTACCGGTTGAGTTCTTCTAGTAATTTGGGATTGGGATTAACACAACCATTACACGCCAAAGGATGTGATCTTTGATATTTGTGGTAAGCCATGAGTTCTAGAATGGTCGTTCCGTACAAGAATGCGTAATAAATATCAGTTGATTTTCGTGTTCCAAATTGAGGCAATTCCTCCGTGATGATTCGCTTGGCGTTCAAATATAATTCATAATTTGAAAAAAGAGAATGAAATTTTTGAGATAATAGGATTATTGAAGAATAACATGAAATGGTTAGATAATCAAAAACGGAGAACCATGCAAGGTTGTCCAGTTGAGACATTTTTTTAAGGTTGACCAAAGATGAACTTGATTCTGCAACTCTTTAATAATTCTTAGAGTCTTCCCCAATCTCAGTATCTTCACTTCTAAACGTTCATCCTTGAAATTCTAGAAGTGCATGTTCAAATGAACTTGGAAATCCATACCATCATCATTTCAAAAAAAAAAATTTATGTCGAGCAGTGGCTCCAGTTCTGAATCGCGTTCGGACGAGATGGACTTGTTTGGTGATGTATCGGGTTTAGTTGATGATTTGCAACCATCGGGATCTTCTGTTGTTGTTGATTCCACAAAGGATGAGCCTTTGTTGAAAGAGAAAAAGCTGGTCTACAAGGATATGAATGCTCAAGGCATGAGATCCATCTTTGATCGCGAAGATTATTCTGATTTTAAAATTGTACTCAAACAAATTGGAAGAACCATCTACGTGTACAAGGGAATATTGGCTGCTAGAAGTGAGTTCTTCAAAGCTCTTGTTGAAGGTGGTTTCTCTGAGAAGGATAACAACCAACTTGAAGTAGATGATGAGAGCGAAGAACGGGCGTTAGTGCCATTGTTAGAATTTTGCTATACCGGAGAGATCACCGTTCCTGAGAACGAGGTCCTCAACTATTACTTTATTGCTGATAAGTATCAAGTTGTATCACTCCGATCCAAGTGTGCAGACTTTTTGGTCGGCGGTTTGAAGAGTGAAAATGCTCTGGAAAATTTCATTGAATACTACTCCAAGTTTGAAAGAAATAGTGGCATCGATGATGATTTAACCGATAAGATGATCAAAAGAAGTGTGTTATTTATCTTGAAGACATTCTCAACTCTTTGTAAGAATCCAGAAAAACGAAAAATTCTTCTCTCCATGGATTATGAGATGTTGATGAGATGGTTACGACCATCTGCAGAAGGAAAGGAGATCAAAGGTATCAATTGTGAGCCTTCCACATTTTTGAGATTTGTTTTAGAATGGACCACTCAAGACGTTGCAACAAGATCTCAATATCTTGCCGAGTTGGCATCACTGGAAACAAAACTTGAATACGGATCAGTTCTCATGCTTACCGATGACGGTGGAGAACTACTTTCAATTTACGGGGAGCCAGAGTTTATTTACGAGAAGACTGCTACCGATGTTACTGGATCAAAGATTACCAAGAAAACCTCAAACTATTCCAGTATCTATGTCAACACCATGTTAGGAAGTGTTAATTCAACTGCCATCATTAGATGGAAGGTCAAAATCATTACACTTAACTCATGGATTGGAATGGGTGTTGCCATGAAAGATGTAAGTATTCTTATGAATCTCTTTCATATGATGGAACGATCATTTTGTTCACCACTTGCTGTTCATGAAATTTACTTATCGAATAGGTTGTTGAAAAGAAAAAGCTCACATTCTCGCCATATGATAAACACGGAACATACATGCTTTCTCATAACGGATATATTTGGAATCAATTCATGAAGGGAAGCACAAAATATGAATCTGTTGGATGCTCGTATGGTGTTGGTGACACTGTAATTATAGAACTAATTTGTTCCAAGAAGGAGTTGAATTTCTACAAGAATGACACCACAAACAAATTGGCTACCTTTAGTAATGTCAAGTTACCAGTCTATCCAAGCTTTATGTTGTGCGGGACCGAGAGCGTAGAGTTTTCGTGGGATTTAGAAGAGTCTGAAATTTAAACACTTATCATGATGACTACTAATCGAAAATTGTACACTTTGTTTCCAATCAAACAAAGCAGTAAAGCCAAATGATATGTGTGAAAGCAAGCTTTCATTATTTATTGAAATAAAAGAGAACGTTATTATTGCTTGTTGTTAGATCTGAACATGTAAGGATCAGTTCCTAAGCATCCAACAATATCTTCCAAATAAGACTTGTCAGAAATTCTAGCAAGTTCCTTCTCCACAAAATCAAGTTTCTCATCAATCTTGAGCTTGCCTCGCAAATCCTTGAAATGTGGTTGTTTGGTAAAGTTCAAGAGGTATTCCTTACTCTTTTCAAGTTGTTTCAAAAGCACTTGTTGGCGAGTTGCGAGTCTTTCCTTATACCAGCTACTTTCTACTAACGATTCAAGAGTAAACAATTGTCGGATTTCTGGATCATTAATACTCTTTCCTTCATAGTGTCCATGAGCCATGACATGAAGAACTGCCTTAAGAGGAGGACAAGCTCCTTCAATAGATCCATCTTCAAAGTAATAACGAGCAACATCTCTATAAGTATCCAAAATAATAGAAAGTGATTTGACAAAAACCTCCATCGACTGCTTCTCTGGTTGAAGCATGTCATCTGTGAACACAGAGCCAGGATTGGTAAAGACACGACCAAAGAAGTTTCTCACAAATTTCTTAGTGATACGATAGCCAAGTCTGCTTGCATTCACAACTTTTCCATTATACTCGAAATCGTTCATCTTTTCCAACATTTCATTCTTGATGAGATATTGTGGTTCACGTTCCTCAGGTCTCATTCTACACCAAAGCTCTGGAATGAGAAGGGAAATATCATGGTCCACACGATAGTTAGAACCCAATGTACCAGCGCTTGAGAAGAAGCCATCAGATCCAGTCACCAACATGGAGACAAGAGCAGTGTTCAACTCAGTGATGGGAACAATTGGACAGAAGGGACCCTTTGTTAAGGCACCTTCAGAACCAAATCCTGTGGTTGATGGTGATCTTCCCGTCATTGAACTAATATATTCCATGAATAATTCTGGTAACTCAAAGTAGTGAATTGGATTGTGAACACACAATGGTGGACATCCCTTACTTTCTGGATTGTTTCTTCTTCCAGAAATGACTGCATCTACAGGATAAACCACTGATGTTGAAGGTGAAAGAACTTGATGCAAACGAGTGCACACTTCAGCTAAATAATACTTTCTTGGTTTGGTTAATTCCTCGCTGTTTTGTAAATATCTTGGATTCTTGGAACGTTGATTAGGTCCTACCACTCTGGTATGGGAGGATGCCACACAATAGGTTGGCTTTCCTTCTCTTGCAAACTCTTCAAGAAGATCTCTTTGAGGTTTGGTGTAGGAGAGGAAATTAATATTGTCATCAAGAATTTCCTGAACACCTTGTTGATTCAATGCTTCAAAGTTACAAATGAAAGTGTTAGGGGTGGCCAAATCAGCTTCAGCCTTCTTATCATAACCTCTGATGACACAATCATCTGGTCTTTGGAACAATCTAAACTCGACATTCTTGGAAACCTTGACAGAGAGACCCTTTCGTTGCTTTGCTTGAAGATAGGTGCTTTGCAACTTTTTAACAGGAACTACAACAGATGCAGTAATATCGTCTTCGGTCTGTATCTTGAAAGCAGGAGTGAAGTCTTTTCTTAATTCAAAGGTTCTCCATGAGTTGCTTTCAAAACCAACACGCATGTAATGTCCAACGACTGGCTCTCTGTTATACTTTAAGCTGTTACCGTATGAACCGTTGACCAAGTCGACACTAAACTTTTCCTTCCATTTACCCTCCCAGGATGGCTTGTACAAACTCTTAATAACGAAAAGCAACTGCTTTAAGTATGATGGAATGGAATGTAACCAATGGTTGTATTCGTCGGTAAAGAGTTCGCTTGGGGTCAATAACTTGACAACGCTTCCGAGAGATCTTTCAGAGCTAAGGACTGGACGAGTGTCAACTGTGGATGGGTCCTTAAATCTCTTACTGTAATCCATGTTAATAAGCTTTTCCACTTCCTCGAGATCCTTAACAAAGTTAGCAACAATGACTGGACCTGTAATAATGGCATCAGCAATGGATTTGCTAATTTCACTTTTACCACCGCCACTGATGGTACTTGGTTTGTGACAATAGGTGCCTGTACCAACTGTGCCAATAAGAGAGAATCCTGATTTCTCGCGAATCATTTCGACACGGTATCCTGAAGGGAAGATATAGGTTATAAATGGCTTCAATTTCATTGTGATCTTCTCTCCAGTTTCGTAATGAGACCATGTAATGGTTTGACCGTGCAAAGTAAAGAACGCATCTTCAGGAACATAAATAATGTCTGAGTAAACCTTATCGAGCGCGTAACCCTTCTCTTTTTGGATCTCCATTCTCTTGTTACATCTTTCAATCATTTGTTTGAAAGTATACTGTTCGTCAATGTGGAAATCTTTCAATCTAAAGGTATCTCCCAAGTAGTAAGATGGAAATGCAATTGCACCACCACTATGTTCTTCTTCACAATTACCATACAAATTGCAAGCATAAGTTATTTGTGACTTGACTTCCTTCTTGCAATAGCCAAAGTAATTGTCAGCAATGATGGTCAAAATAACTCCATCGCTGGTTCTTGCAGTGATTTTGAATGCTTCTCCTTCATTGTAACATTCTGTCTCCTTTTCATAACACATGCCTTCTCTCTTTTGTCTTTCGGTAGCTTGTGAAATGTGTGGCAAACCAAGTTCTTTCTTTGTGATCTTGGTCAAATGAGGAGCCAAAATGACACAGCCAGTATGACCTGACCAACGCTTAACATCCAAAGCAGCATCGTTTTCAGTATACCAAGCATGACCAGCATTTCCAAAGATTGATTCAATGAAATCAAGATTAGAAACCAAAGAACCTGGAGCAAAGAATCTACACTCCATGGTCTTTTCCTCAGACTCTCCTGGAACTGCTGGGCTTACGAGTGGACGAAGCATGATTGAAACCCAGCATTTGGCTCTTCTCTCTTCTTCTTGTTGACTGGTATAAGGCAAAACCATGTAAGATTCTGGTGGATGGACAGCAGCTTTCAAGAGGAGAGCCCAAGTGAGTTTTGGAACTTCCTTCTTGTCTGCAGGAATTAACAATCCTCCTTGTGCAATGTGAAAAGATCCTTGTGTGGTTCTTCTGTCGTTAACAGGATTATGCAGCACACCTTGCTTCAGCCTGTAGCTGCAAATTATTTCATTTTCGAAATAATCACCATCCCCAGGAAGTGACAACAATCTTGCCATTCCGGCCCTATCCAACTCCAAAGTATTGGAAGGAAGACGAATGTCATTCATGTCCAAGCTTCCTTTCAAATCTTGAGCATAGGAATCGATAAAATTCTGAATACGTCTATCGATTGGACATTGATAATTTTCTAAAAGACGATTATGTTCCTTGAAAGCATTGAGAAGTGGATCAGTAATTTGCAACAACTTATCAATCTTTCCGAACAATGGAAGACCTGAATGAAAATATCACATTTCCGGAATGGTGTTGTAAAATTTTCATACAACGACAGTATAAGAAAATCAACCAATATATTTGTGCAACCAAACAAAAGCCTTACCTGAAGCAGAGAGTTTCAAATTTACATATTGTTTCAAAGTTTGGTGATCCTCTTCTTGTTTTTGTAAATCGGTATAGTATCCGATCGCTTCACTCAAATCTCTATCATGGAAAAACGAGCAGTGGGTAGTCATTTTGTGTGTGGGTGATGATAATAATTTTGGTAATAGTGAAACTGTGTTCTAAATGATGATAAACAACGTAGAGAGAATATTTGTTAATACAACACTCGGGCACACAATTTGGTTATTCTTTTTGTTGTTGTTTATCGATGAAGACATTCCTTCACAAGAAAAGGCTTTGCAGAAAAAGAAGCCTTGTAAAATTACCATTTTTGATCTTTACTTGTTGATTTTGTAGTTGTTACTTTTTGTGGGCTTGAAATGCATTGTATTGTACCTATTAATACTAGTACGAATGGGTTGTACAACACTGCATCATCTCCCGTGGAGAGTTTGAATTCTCTAAACAAGGCAATAACAGTAGTGGAGATGCTCAAGAAAAATTTTGCCTGTAATTGTGTTGAAAATGTCTTTAATGAAAAAGAATGAAGGCTCAACGAAGGCACGTAATTCATTGAACTACACATTTATCTTAGAAGATTCATTGATTTAATGATTTAACAAAGAGGTCTTTGTGCAAGAGTTTTCTGAGCAACTGAACTGATTTTGGACTCTGTCAGTTCTCTCACTGACAAAATTGAGCTCTCGAACAATGCATGAACCTGGGCAGTGATCTCTTTGGTGCCAATACAACCATCAAATAAGAAACAAAAAATAACCCAGCACATCACCATGCGCAAACTAATTATTCTGTGTCTTCTTGTATTTGTCTTTGTAGCTGTCGCAGCTCTCTCCGTTGATGGAGCTTTAAACGCCTACCTCAACGGTGGAAAAGGCGTCACATTGGCAGTCAAAGGCAAAGGTAAAGGTAAAGGAAAAGGCAAAGGCCCTGGCAAAGGTAAAGGAAAGGGTAAAGGAAAGAGCTTGGGAAAGAAAGGAAAGCATCATGGTAAAGGAAAGAAAGGAAAGAAAGGTAAGAAAAAACATACGAGCAAGAAGAGCCACAAGAAGTCTCATACAAGAAAATGCCTATCCAAACCATGTGCTATTCGTTGTAGTAGCGGTTTGATGAAAAGCAAGCGAGGATGTCAACTCTGCAAGTGTTGTCCTCCTGTGTTGTGCAAGATGTATTGTCGTAAAGGATTTGCCACAGGCAAGAATGGATGCAAGATCTGCAAATGCCAGAAATAAATATCATGATGATCGTCATGCTTTTGGCATAGTTCAGAAATTTTCAAAATAGTTTTTATTAGACGACAATCGTAATATCTGAGCTGTTTGGTATTGAGAGAATCAAGTAATGATTATATATCCTCTAATTCTGCATATTGCTCTTGTGGATCTAATTGAATGTTACCAGAATGAGAAGGCTTCTTAGTATTGTTGCGATTTTTGAAATACCTATATCCAAAATATCCTCCAACAACTCCCACACATGCACAGCAACATACGAGTAAACTCAAAACTACAATTGCTACCACATTTCTCAACATCATGCTGTTATCACCAGGAGCTGAGTAATAGAAAATGAATTCGGGAATTGATGACTCTTCAAGGCTGCATTTTCCATCATAATCAAAAGTTGGAGCCATACATGAAAGAGAATTCAAATTAATGGCTACTTTGACTGTTTCTAGCTTTTCATCATAATGAAATCGCACACAAGCCGATGATGAAATATTTTCAACCTTAATTCCGCACAAATGATACGAGTCCTTAAGGCCTTTTAAGCATGCTGAAAGCAGAATTCGATCAGCAGGTTGAAAAGGAGCACTAAGTATCATTGAATATGAGTTTGGAATTGTCAAATTAACAAATACAAATGTGTTCTCTACGCAATTTTCATCATAGGTTTCAAAATCACCAGTGTGCCATGTACCTGTTTTGAAATCAGAGTACAAATCATTGGGAGATGACGAGTCTCTAGCTTTCTGAATTTCAGTCATAACTTGAGCATAATGGGGGGCGTGGTACAACTCTGCAGACTCTCGCACCAACGTTTTGAGATTTAATCGTGATGATGTTGTTGGGGAAGCGGAGGCCACTTGAGCCGACCTGTACAAGCAGAGAAGTAAGGCAGCCACCATCATTATCAATGTTGTTGATGATCGTGCCAATGATGCAAAATATACCATGGTGGATTTCAGTCTCTAGATAGGCTTATTATTGTTGTTGGAAAAATAGACAAATGCCCAGGTCACGAGAAAGCCTTGATCGATTTCCTTTTGAGCTTTGAGGAAGTCTTTGTGTTTTTTTGGTGCTGGTGCTGGCCTTTCGTGTTGGCTTCGAATTCGTGTCAGTATTGGTGAGTTCTACGGATGGATCGATTCATTTCATTCGGCCGAATGATTTCAATTAGATATCTATTTGCAATGACAATGATATTTCTTGTGGAAAGATGATGTCAATACCGAGTCATTACTGATCTCGCTAAATACACTTTCAATATAATCCACATTGGAGTAGCCACATTCTTGTTGACATGAGGAGCTTGTGGACATTGATGAATCTTCTGCATCTTCCGAATGTTGTGAACTGACAGTAGTGTCTTTGGATTCACGACATTTACAAAATGTGGCTTGGTGAGAACAATACTGTTTCTCAGATTGTCCTGTTTCAGAATTTGTTGTCACTACTTGATAGGGAACGAGAGAACCTCCATACTTTCCACATTCTTTGTCACAAACCGTTTGTGTTAATCTGTGCTGAGAATTCTTGATGTGTTTCTCTAAGGTTAAGCAAATCCTGTTAGAGAGCTTGTTCTCTCCGATTTCTGTCTTGTCTTGAAGATGATAGTCATAAATCATATTCTTTGAACAAATACATTTCGATTGGCATCCAGAATTCTTTGCTCGCTCAATATCCAAAATATATTCATTGGAACATATCATGTCACAATTTTTCACAGGTTCTTGCTGAGCAGTCATTTGATTCGGACCACAATAACATTCACACTTGTTACATGGAGAATTTGATTCGTGAGCATGTTTGAAAATTCCTCCGAATTTACAATGATATTGACAATCTTGTTGTGATTTGGGTTGTTGATGGAAGTGTGGACATGTGAAATTGTTCTCGTCGTTCGTGTTCCCATTTGACAATGATCGAACAGATCGTGAATGTGTGATTGTGAATTGGTTCAAATCTTCTTCATCATTCATGTTTTTATCTTGATACAGTGGAAGTGTTGTTGTCATTGGGATTTGTGAAGAAATGGGAGCTGGACATTCGGGACAGACACATTTACGACCAAGAACCATGACTCCTCCACATGGACAAGTGGTTGTTGTGGCACACGCTAACAATTCTTGAGCGTTGAGAGACCAGGACGATGATGTCATGAGGAGAGAAGTGACAATGACCGAAAGTGAGAAGAGTATTATCGTTGGGAAGCCATGTGAAAGGAACATTTTTTGTTTGTTTATGGGGATTTTGCATCATGTTTGGTGTTCATCCATTACTATGTATGCGCTCGAGTGAATCTCTATGTGTTTGAAGTTCTCTACCATGTAGTGTTGTGTGATGAAAGGACAAGAACCTCCATGTCAGAGGTTGGTCAAAATTTGTTGTGGCCAATCGCTTTGGTCTTTGATTTTTCATAAGCGGCTCCAAACTGCGTATGCAAAAGTTTACAAAAAAATAGGATCCAAATTTTTTTTTTGACTCGCATTCTGTCACCTGCTCTGACAATTCGATCACTTGCCGTTGTTCATAAAGCTTTTGAAAGAATATTCTGTAACGTTCAACCACACTAAAAAACCAGTACACCATAGAAGTACCTACACCTATACACAACCATGTCTGAACTCAAAAGACCAGCCTCTTCATACATTCTCTTCTGTAATGGTATGTAAACTGCAAACAATCAAAACATGTTTCTAATAAGGATTGCTAATGTTTAATGCTGATATATGGCCACAAAAATATCCCTACCTCGCTTTGATCAACACACAAATATATTGAATAACAACGGTTCTCCGTATCAACAACACACAATGTTATTATTGTTGGTTGATCATCATTCTATTAAATTCGGTTAATGGTGTTTGATCGTTACCTCTCTGATGATTGGGAACGTGCAACGTTTCTTGGTGATGATGAATGGCCTTTTTCATCACTTCTTGTTGTTGTTACTCTCTTCAACAATAGACCACAGAGCTGAAGTTAAGACCCAACTCGGTGATAATGCCAAACCAAAGGATGTCCAAAAGGAATTGAGCAAATTGTGGAACGCTGCTTCCGAGGCAGAGAAGAACAAGTACAAGAAGTTGTACGAGGAGAACAAGGCTGACTACGATAAAAAGGCTGAAGCATTGAAGGTAGTTGAAGAGGACAAGGAAGAACAAGAATCATCAGGAAGAAAGCTCAGAAAACGTCCACCAAAGAAGGTTTCCGAAGAAGAGCCAAAGAAAAAGAAGAAGTCCACCAAGGAAAAGGCTGAGCCTAAACCACGTGGAGTCACTGGATACAACTTGTACATGAAGGAAAACAAGGAAAAGCTCAAGTCAGATAAATTGGAAGGAAAGAAGCTCACAGAAAAGGTGAGAAAGATGTGGAAAGAGTTGTCAGATGATGAGAAGAAGAAGTATAATGAGAGAGCTTCCAAACTTGCACCTGAAAAGAAGGACGAAGGATCTGCCTCAGATGAGTAATTCAATTACTGCGTGTCAACCTCACATTATGATTGCATGACGTTCCTCCCTTGTGTAAATTTCTTCTCCTCACACGTGTGTACAAATAACTCTCTCCTGTTTATGCACATACCGTTCTCCCGCTAGTTCTTCCCCTAGATTCTTCCATCCCTGCTATCAACTCGTCACAAAACATTAAACCATAGTTTCATCAATCATCATTAGTGCTCTTTTATCATGCTCAAAATTGACGTGACTCACTTCCTTAATGATCGTCGAACACTCAATTCAATCGCGCTGTCACGGCAGTTTATGTCTCCATGACCCAAACTTGCGTTTTGTCAAACATCGTTGCAACTCCAACATTAAAAAAAAGAAATCTTTCACAACTCGAACGGCGTATTTGTTCAACACGCTGCATTTCGCTAATCTCTCTCAATCTACTCAACCTTGACGCACCAAAATTGTTGAGCGATTATAAGCATCCTCCTTTAGAACAACCAACCTCTCTCTCAAGACTACGACACTCAACGACTCTTCATCATCATCATGGGTAATCAAGCTCATAAATCAGAAGGAGGTGTTCATTCGCATCATTCCAATACAACCTCTCATTTGCCCCTAAACCATGACTCTCATCACTCTTCAACCAAAGCCACTCTCATCAACTGCTTTGCTCTCGGCGATGAAATGATCTACTACTTGTGGCGATTCTATGATTGCGATAATAATCAAGTTCTCGACAAGAACGAAATGAGAACCTTCTTGACCGAGTTGATCCATACGTTGCACGATGTGTGTTTGAGAAGCGAATTGATGGCCTCTACCGCCACAAGTAATCATTCATCAGATACAACCAAACACCTGTCAGGTGCTGTCATGCCAGAATCATTCTCTGCACCATCTTCTCCAAAGCAAGCTTCTCATGAGGATCAAAAGAAGTTTTTAAATTTAAGTGTCAATGAAAGCACCTCTTCAAACATGGCCTTGTTTACAAGCGAGAGTGAAAGCTTGTCAGAAAATATCCCTCATCCTCAAATTCCCTCAGAAGATAAGAAGAAATCTCGATTTGGATTTTTGTCACGAAAGAAAAAGTCTTCAACCAATAGTTCGACCAATCGAATGTCTGTCGATCTCTCCAAATCTCCCATGTCAGTTCATGAACAACCACCTCCTTTAAAAAGCCAAAATTCTTTGGTGAAAATGCAAATGAATTCAGACATGAATGCCATGAAGAGACGTTCAGTTGCAGTAGTTCCAGCTACTGGTTTGATGCAAACACATAATTTGGAACAAATGTTGACTGGAAATACACATCAAGATGAAATTCGAATCAAGTGGAGAAAAATTAAGGAAGTAAGTTTGCAATTTATTTTAATGAAATTGTTGCTGACTTAACGAATGTAATTTAATTAATTTTGGAATTTTCAATGATTGTTGTATATTACAAATTACTAGAAAATGATGACCAGTATTGATGATATTATTCAAAAAACAGATCTCGATGGAGATGGCAATATTAATTATCAAGAATTTTTAGAGTTTATGAAGCACTATGATGCAAGTGAAATGTTGTCAGATATTGAACCTTCCCAAGTTACTCAACTCTTGTCACAACCATTTAATCTTGCCGATGAAGATGTATCGACCGATACTTCTGCAGCTTCAGAACATGGTCATGAGAATGAAACTAAACGAAAATCTCAATTACTTCAAGTTCTTTCTCATTCAAGTTCTCTTGATTTTTCAGAATCAAGCAAAGCCAAAAAGAAAGAATATTCACAAGGAGATTTGTTCAATGTTGCCGTTTTTGGAAGTATGAAAGAAACTCTCGAATTATTGGAAAGCAATTCTTCAAATATTGACAAGAAAGAATTGAACTCTTGCTTGAGAAAAGCCATTGTCGACAATAATTGCTCCAAAGCTCGATTACTCCTTAAATATGGAGCTCATGTGTGTCACTCATATTCAGACATTGCTGCTACAGAAGAAATGCATGAAAATTTGGACTTGTTGACCTCTAGTTTATTGACTTCACTTCGATCCTACTCTCCCTGTATGGATGGTTCAGAATTAGAAAACTTTACAATAATTTTACGATTATTAATCTCTAAAGGATGGTTCTGCTCAGAACCAAAGGATGAAAATGGAAAGGAATATCCTCCTCTTTCTTCGAATATTATTTATGAAGCCATTCTTTCATATAATGATAGCATGAACATGTACGAAGATGAATTACGAGAGGCACTTTCCGAAACTCGATCCTTTGAAGAATTAGAGCAAGAATATTCCTACAAATTTGAAGAATAATTTTCTCATCCAGAGTCACAACATTATGTAAACCAACAAATTTTAATTTCAACACATTTGAAACTCATTTCTCAAATTGAACTTTTTCACAACTCAAAAAAAATGTCTTCCAAAAACAAATCCAACTCTTCTTCGAAACAACAACAACAACCATCAAAATCCTCGTCATCGTCAAGTCAACAAGTTAAAAATCAACAAGTAAAAACAAAATTGAATCCATCCACACAAGGAACCATATTATCCTCACAGTCAAATTCCACAAATTCCGAATTCGGAAATTATTCTTCATTGACTTCATGTCCCTCTACGAAACAAAGTGCTTGTTGCATTCTCATTCCATCTCAACACAACTCGGACAATGATCAAATTCACACACTCTTTGATCACATACAACACATTCGACAAGAATGGGATAAAAGTTTTTCACGATGGGAACCTCATCTCAATCTCTTGTATCCATTTATTCATAAAAAGAATTTCTTTCAAGCTCGACAATGTATTGAGGACATAGTTCAACAACATGAACTACATGCATTTCAAGTTGATTTTCCTGCTCATCATGTCTATTGTCGAGAATTTTCAAAATTTGTCTTGACAAGTCCTTGTGACACTTCTCAATTAGAAAAATTTCAACAAATCTATCAATTATTGAAAGAAGTATTTCCTCAATGCTCAGCAACTGGTTCACTCCAAGAACAATCATCCTCTTCAAAAGAAAGCACAAATGAAATCTTTCATCCACATTTAACATTGGGACAATTATCAAATTCTAATTTAGCAAATGTGAAATATAAACAATTAGTCCTTCGAAAAGGTAATAATAAGGAAGAAATGAATGAGGAATGGAATGAATTTGAAAAATTGAAACAATCTTGGATGGGAGGATCATTTAAAGCCACAGAAATTGTACTTTTATGGAGAGAAAATGTGGAAGATCCTTTTCATGTGGCCGAAAGAATTTCACTTTTATAGAACAACAACAATATTTGTCAGAATTGAGATGTATCATTTCTCTCGAATAGAGAAGTATTAAGGCTTGTGAAAAAAGACTTGTAGCCATGATGATTCAAATTGCCTGTATCTGCAGATATCTACAAAGAATTGCAATTTTCCAAACTCACTTTCCATTTTTATAAATTATTCCTTCTCACAAACAGTAAACCGTCTTTTTCCATTGTAACACTCCAAATAGGATTGGGTACTGAATCATCTTTCCAAAGCGAAAAACACATGGACGGTTCTCGAGTCACACAAAAAATTGCAACTTCTCTCACTTCACACAATTTTCACACACATAAACACGAATCAACCACAACCACAACTACAATCAACCACATTCTCACACCATGTTGTTATGGTTATTATTGTTACTTTCTTTGCTTTTATTCATCATCAAATTCTACAAGTGGTGTTATCATCACTTGTATCAACCCTACCTGGATTGTCAAATTCATTTACAACATGTGAAAAGTGTTACATCCATTCCGAATAACCCCAATGCTCTTCTTGATACCGTCGTGATTGCTGGTGGTAGCTTTGCTGGTCTCTCGACAGCCATTGTTTTGAGTCCATATTTTAAACAAGTGATTATTGTGGATCGAGGTCACATGATTGAGAATGAATCAATAACAGACTCGAGACAGGGACAACAAGCACACGTGATTGCTTATCGATCGTTATTGATTTGGGATCGATTGTTTCCTGGATTTTTGAAGGAATTGGAGGAATTGGTGAAAACGAACAAATTGTGTCAATTTGTAGCTCCAAACAAGGAATTGAAATATGACTATAAGGGAATGAATATTTCAGACACTTCTGCCATGAGAAAGAATCCAATGGTTGTTGCCACGAGAGGTCAAGTTGAAACAGTATTAAGAAATCGAGTGCGTTCCGAATTAGGAAATGTGAAAATCTATGAAGGTTATTCCATCGCTTCACAAGGTGTTCATTATGAAAAGAAGGGAAATGTTTTGAAAATTACCTCCATCACTGCCACAAAAATTGGTGCTAATAATGAGGATGAGCAATCAAACTCTGTCACATTCCCTTGTGATTTATTTGTGAATTGTGCTGGAGCTGGATCTCATCATTTATTGAAACACATTGAAAAGGATTTGCTTTCTCAACAACAGAACCAACATTCAACATCCTCTCAGACGAGTCTCCTCACTCATTCACGTATTGATTGTAAAATTCGATATCAAACCATTCTATTCGAACCCAAAGAAGGAATTCTAGATCAAGATGGAAAAATTGCACTCAATACGGTCGAGAAAGTGGTCAATCAAAATCGAAAATTAGGAGATATTTTCACAATTGTGTATCACATGTTGTCATATCCGAGACGAAGAGGATTTTTGGCCATGCCTTATTCCAATCATCAATATCTTATTCTCATTGCAACTTATAATCAAAAGATGGATCCCATTGATGAAGAAAATGCAAAAGAACGAGTCATTGAATTTGCACAACAAGCAAGTTCAGAAAATCCATTACTTGAAAAGGATGTTCGACAAGTCATGTCAAAATTCAAAGATCGTGCCGTTCGAGTCATTCCACTCTATGAAAAAAGTGGAAGTGAATTTGTTCATTATGAACATTTAAAGAACAATTTGGAAGGATTTTTAGCCATTGGTGACTCGGTCGCAAGTTTGAATCCCATTTATGGACAAGGTGTGACCATGGCTGCTGAATCTGCCTTACTTGTTCAAGACATGATTCAAAAAGAATTACAAAAGAAAACGAATGAGAATGAGACCTCACTCTTTCAAGCTTCGTTCTGTTCTCGAGTTCAGGATGCACTTTCCAAGTCCTATTTCATTCCATGGCTTCTCTGCTCAACGACGGATTTGAGTTATGATTTTGCAAATTTCACACCGGATTTGAAATTCCAACATTGGATCTCTCCCATCATGTGTTGGTTATTGGATCGATTGTTTCAATCGGCGAGTCAATATTCATGGGCTACCGAATACTTGTTACGAGTGATATTGATGGAACAAGGTTTTCGAAAGGAATTGATGAATCCAGTGTGGATGTTTGGATACTTGTTTTGGAAAGAAACATTGGCTATTGTGTGTGGAGTCGTGGCAACCATGTATTGGATGTATTCATACAGTCTTTTTTAAGTCTTGTTTTTTATGGAATTTTTAATCTTGTTGAATATTCATGAAATATAATGAATTCATACATTCTTAATAAATGATTGAGGTTAAATGTCGAGTGTGTGTGGAACAGTAGTGAAATTTCACTGAACTAGAGTGTGATGATCATGTCCTTCATGCATTGACGACTTGAGAAAAATAAAAAATTGATCGAACTTGTACTGGAAGAAGAGGCCATGTCAAATTTCATCAACAAGTTGGATCAATTACTTCCATTTGATCCAACTCCAAAGGTTGTCATGATCAGCAGCAACACATAACACACCCACAACAACAACAACAAAAAACACAACCACTCGACACTCAACATTCTTCTTTACATTTCAACAACAACATGTATCAATGTGTGAAAAAATCAAATTATTATTTGTGGAATACAGATTTTGAAAAGGCAAAACAATTTTGTGTACCTCATCAACACATTCCAAGAATTGCTCTCACTTATGCTTGTATTAGTATGTATCTCTAGAATTTTTCCTATTAACTTGATGTTGTTCAACCAACACATGTCAAAACTGTCAAAATTCAATTTTTACATTTTCCGAACCATTCAATATCATATCAAACTACTCAGATGGTTTCTTGGCTGGTATTTCTGGAGAATCCTCAGCTCGTGAAGTTGCCTTTTCAGATCTCGAACAAGCAGAACATTCTCTCAAAAATTGTTATTACAAGGAAGATATTTTGAAACTCATCCAACAAGTGAAGGATCTCAATAAGGAATGTATATCTTCTTCTTCCAACAACAAGACAAGTGTCAATTCTGAATCATTGATTGCTACGGAAGATGATTTTGATATCATTGCCAATAAGAATCATTCCAATTATTTAGAATTGGAAGAAATGACTCCCGATCAACAATATTTCAATTATGAATTGGATTTGAAATTGTGTGACGCTGAGAATCACTTGTTGAGAGGTCTTTTGCAATTTATGGGAGGATCGTATTTGAGAGGTTTTTACAATTTTAGAAAATCTTATTTGAAATATAAGGAAGTTTATCATCAAGTGGAAGACTTGAAGAATGAATCGAAACAATCGAACAAATTTGTTCATAGTGATGTCATGTTTGGTTCTTACTTTGGAATGGGGTAAGTTTTAAGATTTTTCGAACGATTCGAATTTGTGATAATTTTCACTGTAAATTTCACACAATGTGACATTTGGCATTTACCAACTAGAATGTTCAATTTCATTATAAGTGTCCTTCCACCTACCCTTGCTAAAATTTTGAGCGTTTTAGGTTTTGACGCTGATCGTGAGCTCGGACTCGATCTCATGACACAATGTTCTCAATACGGAGGTCTCCATTGTGGTCACGCCTCATTCATGTTATGCATTAATTACTTGTTTGTTCCAAGAGCATTCAATGGTCGTCAACAAAATCTCACCAAAGTGAAACCCATTCTCGACATGATTGCTCGAGCTTATCCCAATAGTGTTTATTTCAAATTTGTCATTTCACATTATGATTTGAAGACTGGAAATTTGGAAGGATGTTTGAACAATATTCGACATTGTGTGAATGGAATTCGAGATGGAACATCCTATACTCCATACAATTACTTGACAGAATTGGGAATTGGATTAATGTTGAGCTTGAAATTGGATGAAGCTGAACAAATGTTGACAGAAATTGTTGAAAAACAAGATCACATGTTTGACAGTAAGGGAAATTGTGCCTTGTTCTTGGTGGTGTGTCGAATTTTCAAGGGAGATTTGAAGAGGGCCAATGAATTGATTTCAAAATTATCTAATCATGTCTCCAAGAGTAGCAAACTCCTCACAGAAAAGATTGAACTCTTAAAACATGTGAAAAGTGACGCTGAAAAACAACTGGTCATGGTCTCCTCCTTCTTCCAATTATTGTATTTGAGAAGAGATTTGGCTAATTTGAAACCTCATCATATTGAACCTTTATTTGAGTTATTTAACAAACATACTCAAGGTATTGCCATGGATGAAAAATCCAAAGTTCATGGTGATCTCTGTGCTGGAATGGCTGTGATTCGAGCTCAAGTCTACAATGTTTTAGGTCAACATGATAAGAGTTTACAAGAATTTCACAATGCTCTCTCGTATGAACACAAAATCAAATACGAGAAACAATGGATTGCCTTCTCATATTATGAATTGGCTGAAAATAAGTATTTGAATGAGTACAAGGAACGAACTGCAGGTCAAGATGTTGCTGCTTCATTGAGTGAAAGCAACAAGAAGGAATTAGTCGATTTGTTACATGAGGTGAAGGAACACCTTGTCAAGTGCAACAAGTACAGTGGATATCCATTTGAGGAAGTGTTGCACACTCGAGCCAAGTTGGCTTTGAAACAAGTGGAAGAAGATCTTAAGGCTGTGTCATCCTCTCATTAAAGTGTTATCATGACCACGAGTTTTTCACACAAATTCTTGTTCGATTGAAAATAAATTATCATTCTAAATATTTCATTCTTCCTCTTCTTGAGAATCTCCTTCTAAAGAGTCTTGTTCGGAAATGTCTTCCTGATCTGAAGAGGAATTCAGATCAACCAAGTTGGCTAGAAATTGTTGAGCAATACCAGACTCATTCTTTTTCAACATTTCCAATGCCTTGTCTTGATCTGAATATTTGTACAACATCAAAGCCATCATGCATTGAAAATTTTCAGAGTGTCCTTTTTGTAGCTCTCTTAAGGCCCACGAAAATAAGAGTGACACGTTTTCATGATTATCCAAACCACGTATGGTGAATTTTCGTATAATAGAATTCGAATCATTGCCTCCACGACTCACAACTTCTTCCAAAACATCGACTGAAACTGATGGAGATTGCAATAAGGTTCGAGTTTTGTGTTCTAAATATTCCAAAGAACCTTCTTGCTCGAGAACTTTCAACAAGTACTGATAACAAATGACAATTTCTTCTAAAAACAAGTCATACCAAGCTTGTTCCTTATTATTACTTGATTTCTTTTTGGAAAGGCTGGCCAAATATCTTTGATATTTTGAATTCAATGAAGAATCCTTTTCCAAAATGGAATATAATTTTGATAACATTAATTGCACATACAATGAGGCACAACATAAGAGATTAGCAGCATTTTCCAATTTGGGTAAAATCTTCTTATTCAAATCAGGATAAATATCAACACCATTCGTAAAGTGATTTTTCAAATGTTTTTTCAGAGCCGAATCAATACCAGGAGGTAATTCCAGAGGATTGGATTTGGAACCTAATGATGCTGATCCAGTACATGAAGATGATGATGAAACATTCATGGCTCCTGTCAAGTAATTATTTTCATTCAACATTCCGATCGTGGATGGAGGATAGAGAAACGCATGTTTGAAATCATCATTGAAACATATCCAAAATCCATTGTTTTGTTGTTCTAATTCATCCGTATTGTTGTTGTTGTTGGTGTTTGAATGACTGGACGAAGAAAGAGTAGAATCTACCTGATCTGCTGGATGCTGAGTGCTGTGTCCTGTTTCAGTTGATCCTTCTTCTTGGGATGGTTCGTTTCCTTTTTGTTTTCGTGGTTTTGTGGTTTTGGATCTTGTCTTTTTGGAATTTGATGATTCGAGAATGAGTTGAAGGGAATGCTCGAGAGAAGAAACGCGTTGCGATAAGAGTTGATTGGAGTGTTCGAGTGAAAGGATTCGTTCCTCTAAAGCGGTTGTGGTATCGGAATGCAGGATTTTGAGTTTTTTGGTTTGGGGATGGTTGTTAGAGTCTAGATTATTCTCTTCTTCTTTTTCAAATTCTCTCTTTTCTGCGAATTGTTGTAACATTTTTTCAAATTCTTTGGTTTAAAAGTGTTAAACATCAAGGTACATGAACCAATGTTTTTGCAGAGTTCACCAACGCTTGTACAATAGTGAACCTTGCTTCTGTACATTTTCAAATCATGCTAAGTGAAATTAAATGCTCAATTTGAGCTTGTCTGCCTCAAGGAAAAAATTATTACTCCCCCAAGTGGGCTCGAACCACTGACCTGCAGATTAACAGTCTGACGCTCTACCGACTGAGCTATGGGGGAATCACATGGACATGTTTCATTGTTTATTTTATTCGCTTTCGATGTCATAGTGAATTCACAATAATACAAGATCCAACGAAAGGACCGCTTTCACAATATTATGTCGGTTACACTTACTCCACAAAGTGAATGTATTAAAAACGCTCAAATTTAATATTGATTGTGAAATTTTGAATTTAAAAAAATTATTCTTATCAACAACAATGACAGAAGACTGGGAACAAGCCGAAATTGATAACAAGCCCTTCGCGAATACCAATGAAGCCGAGGATGACTGGGAAGAATTTGATCTTGACGCCGTTGAAAAGAAACAACAAGAAGAGTTAAAGAAAAAGCAAGAGCAACAAGCGGAACTAGAAAAACAAGAAAAATTGAAAAAGCAACAACAAAAGGAAAAGAAGAAGAATGAACGTCCAGTAGCATCGACAACAGCACCATCCTCTGGTTCGGGAGCCGAGAATAAGAAGGCTGAGGGAATGTATTTAGACTATCAAGAAAAGAAATCTTCGTATGATGAAGCAGAGGCTCTAGTTGGCGGAGGAGAATTTGTTAAACCAAAGATTGATTTGTTGCAACCAAAAACTGAAAAGGAATTCCAAGATTTTGGTCGATTGGTTGCTGAAAAGTTGTGCGAATTTGATGTAAGTGTTTGGGATGACGCAAGCATATTATTAACAACAATGTTCATTAATTTATTGTCGGGTGATGAAATTATTTTATTATTATTATTGAAACATCACACAAATTTTCATAATTGTGCTGGTGATGCATTGTTTCCATCACACACGAACAACAACTTTGAAATCGGAATTTGCAATGATGATAATTCCCATCATTAGGAAAGTAAATATTATTTGGATTTGCTGAGATTAATTGTCGAGGAGGCAACTATCAATTTGGACAGTGCTCAGCTCAGAGACTTGGCAAAGCACGTTACAAACGTTTCTAATAAGAGACTGGAAGAAGAAAAGGAAAGAAAAGGTGGAAAGAAGAAGAAGAAGACAAACATTAACTTGGAAAGAGATATTAGCTCTAATGCTGATCCCTTCGCAGATTTGGGTGATGGCACTGGTGGACGTACAAGATATGACGATGATGACTTTATGTAAACACCTTAATATCCGCTCCTCCTATTTATTGTTGGCTTGTGTTGACAACAGCAATGAGATTTTGATTTGCTCTGAGAAACTCGTATGTTATTATTGCTTTTGTTGTTGACATGCTGCGTCCAACTGAGAGAGAAATTAATTTTGCTTTCACAAGTGATAAATAAACCATTCAATGGTAATGTTCATTGCTGTATGATTATGTGTTTAATGATCGCCGTAAGCCTGCTCCAATTTAGTAATTCCTAATACCTTACCTCAACTCGCACCTTAATTGTGAACATACTTCACAAAGGTCAAACTAGTAACTGTAGTTCAGAGGTTCAACTCGTGGTAAACCATGATATCTTTGAAATCGTATGTACTAGGTTCCTCTCTGCGTTGTTGTTGGATTTGTGTTGTGATAGGGTTGTTGTTTATCAAACATCATTGCACCACCTTCATCTATGACAATCTTGTACATATTGGTTGTTGCTGTAGATTGGAGTTGTTTGATTGTCATGATGATTCAGCAAAAATATCAATTTTACAACAACAACATTTAAACATTGAACTCTTGACATTGTGTGTTGTTTAGACGAAAAAGGGCCACACAAAAATGCGGGGTCAGAGACCTTTTATATTTTTTTCTTGGCCAGCTCGGTTAGTTGTAGTTAAATTTTCGTACACAGCGCGCAAAGAGGCCAAAACCAAAAAAAATTTACAATATAAATTTCGCTCAACGGCCGAGCAGGAAAAACGGCACATGACCCCTCACAGTAACTCCTTGCCATCAAAAACAACCACATCTGCTACGCTCATCAACAACGAGGATGAAGAAGATCGAATTTTCAAACAATTGCTCCATCCTGAAAAAGAATCAAACAAAATCGGAGCTATCCTATCAATAGTACCCACTCTCTATGGATTAGTGTTTTGTTGGGAGAGAGGATTGCAGCCATTTCTTGCACTCACCTTCATTGAAATCTCCTCACAAATATTACTCAACATTTTCATTCAACGATTTGCTGCTACCTTGACGCAATTTTCAGTGATCAACATTTTTCGAATTCCCATCGTCATGAGCGTACAATTTTTCATGTATTGGTTTTATGGACCTCTGGTACCGTACCATGTTTTTTCGGTTTTCCGAATTTTATTTGCCTCCCACAATTGTTACTATGATGTAAGATTGTTACTGTTACATGGGTTGGGAAATTTGACTTCAACAGTTGGAGGAATGTACTATTCATATATACTAGAGAGGCATAAGTTTTCAAAGTGTGAGGAGAACATGTTTTCACAGAAAATGATTGAGGTGATTGTTTTAGAATATTTAGTATGGATGGGGTCGGTTTTATTTTCTCACTATCTCAAAAAAAGAAATGAAGAATTTACAGAGAATCAAATTGTTATTGCAAAGGAGAAATACCTCAATAACGAGAAGACTCAATTCATTGCAAATTTGAGTCACGAAGCAAGAAATTCATTGCAAGGAATAATGGCCACTGTGGAAGTGTTGAAGCACAAATTTCATGACGGAGTTTGCATGAAAAGCTGTGAACATTGTTTCAAAAAAGATAGTGCCATCTCTGAATTGATTGGAGACATTCAATCCAGTGCATCTCTTTTATTACACATTTTATCATCATCTTTGCAAATGAGTTCACTTGAAATGGGAAAGATCAAATTGAAGAATGAAGAATTCAACATTCTTTCATTATTTGAATCAATGACAGGAGTATTCTCATTGGAAGCACAAGGAAAGAACCTTTCTTTGAACTCATTTTTCGATGCTTCAAAAGTTCCATTGAATTTGAAGGGAGATTCAGTTCGAGTGAGTCAAATATTGATGAATATCATTTCAAATGCCATCAAATACACATCTCAAGGTTTTGTGAGAGTGAATTGTAGTAGTTTGAACGATGAAGAACTTGTAGACAAGTTTGAAAAGATAGATTCTAGTAAGGTCTACGTGAAATTTGAATGTATTGACAGTGGATGTGGAATTGCTCAAGATCAAATTGGAAAATTATTTCAACCTTATCACACTATTGATCCCAACACCGATGTCACGCACAAATTTGACTTTTATTTCAAAACTGCACCTCAAAATGCAAGCACAAACAATGGTGGAAGCAGTCTTATCAATACTAACAGGAATGGATTAGGTCTCAGCATTACGAAACTTTTGGTTGAGAAAATGAATGGAAAAATATTCATTGCAAGCACCGTTTCCAAAGGTACGACCTTGACTGTTATTATACCTTTTGAGGTAGTAAAAGGTGTGGCTCTCAAAAAGGAAACAAACGAACCAACTCATGCACACAACTTACCTCGAATCATTGAAGATACCTCCAAGGAATGTGTTGCTGTAATAATAGACGACGATGATTGCTTCAGAGACGCCCTCAAATCCTACTTGACCATTTTTAAAAGGGTGGTTGATGTATCTCAGTACGCTTCGCCAATAGAGTATTTCAATCATGTACAGTCTAGTGACCCTAATTTGCCGAGGTATATCTTCTGTGGAGATGGTAGCTATGATACGATTTATCACCAAGTTGAGAACATTCCTAATGTCAAAATCATCCCAACATTGTTTAGAGGAACCACAAGGTCTCACCCGAACAAAAAATATCTATCCAAACCCATACATTTTGCTGATATTGTTGGCATTTTGGACGAAGAGGAGCATGTAACTGTTGAACCGTACAAAGTTATATCCCAAAGACGAAATTCCGTTGCCGAATTATCGGCAAAATCAGTACTCATGGCAGATGATAATGCAGTGAATCGAAAAATACTGGTGAACATGTTGAAAATTATTGGATTCAAAGATATTGACACTGCAAATGATGGATTGGATTGTTTCAACAAATTCAAAAAGAAGGAATATTCTTTGGTTTTATTGGATTGTTTCATGCCTGTCATGACGTAAGTGTTATTTAACGAACCTCAATTATAATTGAATGGAATTTCAATAATTTTCAATAATGGCACTTTATTGCATTGTTGAACCTCAATGGTAATTGAATGAAATTTCAATAATTTTAGAGGAAGAGAATCATGTGAAATGATTCGAAATTTTGAAAAACAACGAGAGAATGGTGAAAAACGAGTTCCAATTTTCGCCATCACTGCCAACACATGGGAAACGAAAGAACAACTTTTATCTCAAGGCTTTGATGATGTTTTATACAAACCCATCTCACTGAACGATTTAAAAAATAGAATTATGGAAATGATATCATAGAGCTAGTGTAATTTTTTTCGACGTGGCCATATTTCACAATTAAGTAATGACGTTAATTAAGGTTTGTGGAACCCTATTGCTGAACTCGTCAAAATGATGCAAGAACGAATAAACACACATCAACTCCTGTTACAAACTAGACATGTAGTTTAAAATGTGAACCAAATGACGTAAATCATGGCAAATGAAATCAGGTTGATATTCTTCAACACAATTCGTGTGCGTTTCAGTCCAGTGTGTTTCTGAAGTGTAGAGGCAAGAATAAGCTCCTGCGTTTTTTGCACACAAAATATCGTGGAAAGAGTCGCCAACCATCAAAATGTTCGCTGGCGATTGCAAATTCAATTGTTGTGCAATATGAAGTAAGCATCCAGGATTGGGTTTGTAAGGTAAAAATTCTCTCGAAAGTAGAATGGTGAAAAAATCCGAATATTTCGATCCCAATTTCTCAACAAAGAACTTTAAGCTTTTTTCTGAATTTCGTGTCACCACAGCAAAATGTCTTGAAATAGGAGCATTTGTTGTGCTTTCATAATGACCGAGTGTTGTCGATGCAGTTTCGACAACTAAATTGGCATCATTCGGCAGCAGATTCGATTTCACCATTTTTAATTTTACGAGCTCATCCAATAACTCAAACAAATGTGGTTGAAATGCAAGTTTTTCGTTCGCTTCTTCCTCGATACGATCAATAATATCAAAAAGTCTCTTCTTTTCCTTCTCATCACTCAATGCATGAATGGTTGTTAATAAATCTTGTGGTAATGGAATTCCTGTTTCCAAGCGCATCTTTTTAAAATCAATACATGGCACGGTGAGCGTTCCGTCCATATCAAACACAACCGATTGAATAGATGGTTTTGGATGGTCCAATGCTTCAAATCGGTTGTGAGCGAAATAATAATCTTGAGAGGGAGTGATATTGGATGTTGAAGAAGAGGAAGTTGAATGGTTTTGAAAGTGATTTGATAAATTATTATTATTATTCACGGAAACAAACACTTTCCGATAGAGTTGATTGAAATGTGTGTGATGATGATTCCAAAGTGAGGATATTTTCATTTTTTTGATTTTTTAATAAAATAATATAATTTTATTTATTAATAATAGGCCTATTCGATAAGTTGATTAATTCAGCTCTATACTTGAATGGAAAATTTTCATTCATTTAATATCATTCATTTGAAACAACATGTTGAATGTTTGTTGTTGTTGAAATGTAACTTTGATCATGGGTGATAATAACTCTCTTCCAAAAAATATGGTTTTGGTTCTCCATCCTTACTTAATCGAATATCTCCTGACCATGACTCTGGAAGTTTGCAATTCGAATAAATGTCACAGGCCCGTGAATAAAATCGACACATGGCGAGCACAAAAGGATTGCTTGTGGTGGTGTCATTCCTAATTTGTTTGGTTAGTTCAAGACATTCATCGAACTTTTTAGATTGAAATAACGACACCACTTGGGAAATTGTAGATTTTTCGAACAAATCTTCGTTTTGGATCATGGTCTTCCATTTCTTGCCTTTTATGGCATATAAATCTCGAGCAATTTGTTTGCCCTTCAAAATAAATTTTCCAATATAAATAATGTAGGCATCTGATATCTGACTGGAACCATTGATAACAGTCTCCGTGACAATGATTCTTGATTTAAATGATCGGGACACTGATTCACAGCGCGAGGCAACATTGGTTGTATCAGAAATAACGGTAGCATCGAGTCTGTCTTCGTATCCAATAGTTCCAAGGCTCACCTTGGATCATTTAAAACCAATGTCGGAAAACAATATTTCAACACGAGTTTAAATAATTTAAATCAATACCTCAATAATAACACCTACCATACCATTGGAAATACCAATTCCCATTTTTACACTGTATACATTTTCAGCGTTGAATTTTTCCAACTCGAATATCATTTCCAATGAAGCTTTCACCGCAGATTGAGGGTCAGGAAACAGCGCCATGATACCATCGCCTGAATTTGATTGAATAATAATAACAAATATCAATTTACATTTCAGATGATTGCAAGGTTACATTCCACATGATTATTTCGAATTCTACAAACCTAATATTTTATCTATGAATCCTCCATACTTGCTAATAGGCGGTGCTATCTATTATGGTCGAAATGTGGTAATGTTATCAACAGAATATTGTGGGGTCGAAAAAATACTTACCTTAAATAGCAGTCGATTGATGAAACTAAACCCTTCTTTGGCTGAAAGAGACTCCATTAATTCTGTAAAACCATAAATATCTGAAAAGAGAACAGTCATTTCTCGTGAGATTGCGTCACCTAGTCTCACTTTGGTCACATGACTCTTTCCAAGGAGCTTTAAAAATTCAGATGGAAGAAATCGAGCGTAGGATTTGTTGATAGAGCTGAAAATTTTAGCATTGTCAATACTAATTGAAATGATTAACTTGGCAGTGTTGATCTTTTCCACGGTGAAAGAGTGTTCGATTTCTCTATTTTCGAGATAGACGCACCCAATCACACTTTTTTCACGAATAATTGGCAAACATAATGCTGAGGCAATATGAGAATTCTCAAAGTATGGATCAAGTTCCGTAGATTGTGAAAAAACTTGCTCATATCTCGTTCGCATTGTCCTATATATCATTTTCAGAGGCAATTTATCAGCGATTTTGTCAATAGATGCCTCTTCATGATTTAGGTGTGGCAGTATGCTCACTTTTGGGTTTAATTCATCATTAAGCTCTGCATCTAGATATAGTGTAGTATTTCTTTTGAGGAGTAGGCAACATCGATTAGAGTCAGTATGTTCGTTTAGCAAAGGTAAAATAGAAATAAATATCTCTTTGAAGTCAACTTCGTTGCTCTCTGCAAATCTGCTCTTAGTAATGGATGTTAATGAAAATTCTTGTTGGACAGTGGAGGCGCTTTTTTCGGAAGAGCTCGTCGACGATGCTACGGATGTACCCATCTCTCGTTCATAGGCATCTATTTGATCCTTGTATTTCTCGCAAATATGGTTAACCATAAGAGATGCACCCATTTCATTGAATTGCTCGTATGCATTGAAAAAATACTTTCCAGAAATGCTGTCAAATAGATTAAGATCTTTGAATAACTCTCCCAATTTTAGGTTGCAAAACTTCACCATAAAGTGGTTTCTTTCTTGGGTGGCAAGTGTCAAACTTTGTGTCAGCAAATTGATAATGCTTCTAGTGTTGTCATGTCCAAACCGTAAATATTCACACCATAGCTTCTCTGCTTTGATCAATGCAAATGGGCTTGGAAAAATCAGTGAATTACATTGGCAAAGCCTTTCCAATCTTTGCAGGACGTCATCAATAATTTTGTCACTTTTTTGCAGTCTCTCCTCTTGATTGGGTATGTGATTCAATAGAATATACTTTTGAAAAGCACAACATACTAAACCTTGAGAAATAACGAGAACCCACTCAGCACACATTCCAAATACTTCTTCTTTAAATTCAAACGTCTGTTCAATGCATGTAAACGACTCTTCCAATTGCTGTTGAAAAAAGAGAGAAATTGCTTTAAACAAGAAGTGCATACATCTAAAAAAGGGATAGTGAATAACATCACAAGTGTATGGAGGGTCAAAACTCTCCGTCTCACCGCAAATGACTCTCTTCATCTCAAGAATCATGTTACTGGTGTCTAGAAGGACACAATTTCCAATTTCCTTAATAATGGCAATGCATTGCTTGCTGAGCTCAATAGAAGTTTTGATATCAGAATTAGCAAAAAAGAAATGGTAGAAGGGGTAATATGTTATGGTAAACACTCCGTATCCTCTATTGTTACACTTGACTGTCAATAGAAAAGCTTCTTCAATCAAATTCCAAACTTCCAAGGCATTGATGTTTGGATACAAAGCAAAGCTCATAATTTTAAGTAAGAGGCATGAGGACCAGTGTTGTGGGTTCTTGTACCGATTTCGTGAGAGCTCTATCGAAGCATCAATAAACATTGTCATTCTAGGCCAAATATCATACGTGCTCCAAAAATGAGAGCAGACGGCGAGTAAAATGGGAGCATCCAGACACAATCCATGTTTCAGTACTTTTTCCATACCTATCAGCATGCAGGTCATAAAAATAAATCTGCTGTTTGGAGTGTGCATGGTGTCCAGTGATTTCATATGGAAGATTGCTGGACAACTCTGAGAAAGCATTTGTATAAAATATATATCCTCTGGATCTGTCATATCAGGCAATTCTAGAACGTCCTTTTTGGTAAATTTAGGAATGATATTCTTTTTCATGTATTTCATCTTGTTGTCGATCCATTCTCGCAGAACATCAACATTTCGATTAGAAGGGACTGTCAAAAACTTCAGTTCTTCAAAAGCTGGAAAAATGTGTGTCGTCAACAATTCAAACACGGCTTCAAACTTTCCTTGGGTCAAATAACTCATCTCTAGATTATAGCAAGCTTCAAAAACATGTAATCTGGTTTTTGCTTTTTGTAAGGCAATATTGAAGATGGAGATTGCAGAATCAACATTGGTCACATATTCGCAATTTCCTTGAATCATGAACAGCTCAAAAGTGGTCTGGTATAGTGGTTCCCCCCAAACATCTTTCTCAAGTTGTAAAATTTCTAGGGACGTGTTAGCGAACACCTTTGCTTGTTCTATTGCACAGCAACTACTTAATGCTTTCTTGGCAGCCATTTTGTTCAATTCTAATAGGCGTCTACGCTTCTCTGGAGAATTAAGAATTTTAGGGTCTTTAGATCTGTGGTTCAAATGAACCACAATGTCAAATATAACCTCTTCTTGAGTAATTTCGCCAGTCTTAACCTTTTGTAAAAGATACTTTCCGTAAGTGTAATGCGTTTTGGCTTTTTCTGTTTCTGATAATGACGAATTTGCCGCGTGTTGTAGCCTATCATGATTGAATTGTAAAGTATGAGAGTCAATGTAGCTGATCCAACCTTCTTTAACTCCGTGATCGAGAATTTCCTTCAGCTCCAAAGCTGAGTACTCATCCTTCTTAATGTTCATTAAGTGAAACAAATGTTGAAACAGGGCTTTGCATCCAATACATGAAGCATACGCTAATGCTTTTTTAGTATCTGGGAGCATACAATCAAACCGAATCAATAAAAAATCAACGACGTTTTGTGAATATTTCACATGATCTATTTCTTCCAAATTCCAAGAAATTGCTTGTAAGGTCCGGTTGAAAAATATTTTTTCTTCCTGGAAGAGTGTAACAAGCATTTGTTTCAAGAAGAATGGATTTCCTTTGGTCTTGGAATACAGTACTTTCGTTAGGTTTTCAGTGTCTCTTGGAGTTCGGTGTAATGATGCTGCGACCAAATAATTGCAATCTTCTTCAGTTAGTTCTGGTACCTCTATGTCCGTTATTGAAGCAATTGACCTAGCTGATTCCAGAAATATATTCAATGGATGGTGGTCGTTGTCTTTCACTTCATTGTCTCGGTATGCGAATATCAAAAGCAAAGGAAAGATTTCACAGGTTCCCAACCCCATCATTTCCTTTAACAACTTCATTGATTCAAAATCTGTCCACTGTACGTCATCAATGAAAATGGTAATAGGCTTGTGCTTCATTTGATTATACGCTTTTAACAAGCAAATGACTGATGCGATGTGAGTTTGAATTTTAAAAACTTGCTTGAGTACACACCTCCTTGAGAAAATAACTTGACTGCTTCCTGGTGTTCCTTCCAAATGAATGCACTAGATCTGCCTTGATAGGAAGGAAATATTAAATTAAAATTAGCAATTGCTTCACCAAGCATCTCGAGCTGTGTAACACTAAGCCATGCAAGAACATAGCTTTTAAATTCAGAAATAAACTCTTCTGTTTCCCCAAGTACAGCCTCGATGATAGAGCTAATGATGGAGGTAAAGGCAAAAAACGGGATGTTCTGATTCTGATCATACTTTGCTTCAAAATACACAATCATGTCCTTGCATCTGTTTCTAAACTCTCGCACAATACTTGTTTTTCCTATTTATACATCATGTTAGACAGAGATATAAATTTTCAAATGAACCTTACCAACACCGCAATATCCTCGTACCATGACTAAAGTTGGTACATTCAGGTCAATCATGGTTTGCAAACGATTGCTCATTTCATCAATAATCAAATCCCTTCCATACACAACGAAAGGAATAGAGATCGTTGTTTGTACATCGTGTTGTCCAGGAATAAAGCTACAGAGGCAAGAATTGTCTTCTTTTTGGATGCATTTTAGAACAATATCAAGATCAGCAATAACACCTTCCATGCAAAAGTATCTCTTTTCAATGGATTTTTGAACCATCTTGTTAATAACAAGCGCGATCGCACGAACCGCTGTTGCGAATGTAGAGTCTTCGTCCGTAATGATACCTCTTCGTTTCAAATTTTGATACAGCGATTCTGGCTGCTTTGTGATGTGAGAGAAAATAAAATCTGAGCTTTTCACACAGCTACTAAACGGATGGTCTTTTGCGATCATTTCGAATAGTATGAATCCAAGGCTGTAAATGTCGCTATAGAACCCTAAGGGTTTCGGAAGACGGCCAGTTGCTTCTGGAGACATGTATCTAGCGTTTCCCTTTGGGTTTGAGGTGTATACATACGGATTGGACAATGGTAATAGCTCGCTGAGGCCAAAATCAATAATTGTTACAGTTGATTGATTCCAAATAATGTTATCAGGAGCCAGATCGCAATGAACTACTCTCATTGTGTGAAGCTGGTCAACACCTCTGCATAGGTTGATAGCTGTTTCTAGAGTCTTTTGGAGAGTGTCCAGGTCTGTTGTTGGTTTTTCCATAGTCAAACATTTCAACGATGATCCAGGTATATATTCTCTCACAATAATGAAATAATCTTTAAGGTAGGCAAGAATTGAGGGAGTTACATTATTAGCTTTCAGATTCTTTTCTAGATATCTAGATATGGAAGCATCTTTTTCCAACTGAGGCACAGACGAAGGAGTTAATGACATCTTTACGGTGTACACTGTGTCGCTGTCCAAAGGAAGAGTCGAGGAGTCTTGATATTCTTGTGGCACATATTTACATGTGATCACAAGAGTTGTGTTACGATCGTAATGAATAATGGGAGATGTAAAATTGTCCACGATAACAGGTAGAAAGAATGGAGGCAGTCCTAGGCTAAATGTAAAGTATTGCTCATGTTTTGGAGACAACTTCACGGTGATGTTGGTTTGCTTCATGGAAGGCCCACCAGAGAAGTGGCTTGCACCAACAATAAGTGGTGGCTCTGCTTGTGTGTCTCGTGCTGCGGCATCATGTTGGTTTTCTTCCGACGTATAATCAAAGGTTGGAGGAATCATTTTTCTGTTGAATTATCAATTCATAGTTCAGCCATTGTGTGTTATTAGTTTGGTTAAAATGATTGGGTCTTCTTTTGGGAAATTCCCTTTGGATTTCCATGTTGGCTCAACGCTTAATTGAAAATTAACTTCCTTCTGTATCAAGAATCAGTCTTCATCATCAGTTACTAGTTGCGGCAAGTTTCTTTGATTGCATGTCCGAACGGCGAATGATTGTTCAATGATGGAACCAGAGATTGCGCGCAGACAGGGCTGACGAAAATCCGGATGTATTCATTTTTAAATGACAATTCTTTTGTATTTGCCCAAATTTGGATCTCACCAACAAAACCATCACATCATTAAATATTAGGAGATGTGATGGCGTGTTATGTGTGTTCTGAATGAATAAATGATGATCGTTATTAGCAGTCAGAATAGCTTTCTCAATAAGAAAACAACCAACATTCTTGCCTTAATCGTGAAATGTTTGAATTTGTTACCCTCAATCGAGATCCCTCTCCTTCCCGAAGACGATCCTCATTCGGAGGAAAGAATAGTTCAAGTAATGCCGTATCCAGTGAATACGCAGCATCTGCTGTTACGGCTCAAGTAAAGATCTCCATCATGGGATCCGAGAAGGTTGGTAAAACAACCTTACTCAACCACTACATACACAAGCAGCATCGAAAAACAATGGGAAATACGAGCATGGATGAAGAGAGTGCTCCCGAGTCGACAGTGTATGACTTTTCCTATGCAACAGTGACTATGAATGTGAATGGAGGACAGCGTCGTAATGGTAGTAGCAGTAATAATTTTTCCTCGTCGTTCGATTCCACACAGCAGCACTCCAAGGTAGGTTGTGCTAATATCAATGACTTCAACTCGCATGTCAACTTTTGATTTTTCACAAACTTCTAAAGGCTTTTTGCTTGTACTTTTCAGAATGCTCAGCTCGTACAGAGTATGCAGAACTGAGACAAATAAGCTATGAGCAAACTGATATTTTCATTGTGTGTTTTCGATTGGACGATGAGAGGTCGTTTGTGGAGGCCATTGATACGTGGATGTCAGAGGCTAAGTACGCAGCTTGTCATGCAGCTCACAACAACATGACCAACAACAGTCAGAGATCGAGACTCGTCCTACTTGGACTAAGATTCGTTGACCATACTGCTGACACGACTCAAACTTTGTTATCTGAATCGGAATTGTATAGTAGTGAACATGAATTGCCAAAAACCCTGGAAGAAAAAGATCATCTTCTCTCTCAAAGAAGAATTTCTTTGGAATTGTCTCCAAGCCTAACGGATGTCATTGATATCAAGACGGAACAAACAGAACAGCCTTGCAAAAGCAATGCTATTAGACCTCGACTCAAATCTTATTCTGCACGAAAAAGTTGTTCTCAACCCGCATGTTGTTCCTCTTTCAATGAGAAGCGAAGAGGGTGTACAGTTCATCTCAATAACCTAAAGAGCGTTGGAGGATGTTTGAATTATACGTTCATGGCTCACGACTCCAATAGAAAGGTTAGTTGGGGAATGATCGAGCAAGGTAGGAAGGAGCTGTTGAATAGAGGAATTGATCATGTGTACTATGAATGTTGTGCCACCAACCAAGGAAACGTTCAATTTGTGATTGAGGAGTGTGTGAGAGAATACTACAACCAACTCGTTGCAAATGCACAAACACATTCTAAAAGATTTTCCAACCGAGTATCGTTGTAAATTCCATCTCATCAGCAGTTGAATAATTTTGTGATTCATCGTTTATCGCAAGTGACAGCCTCATGGATCCGTTGTCTCAAATCGTGTACTGAGATGGGTTTGTATAAAACATCATCAAAACCTTGAGATAAAAGTTGTTCTTTCGTTTCCCATGTGTTGGCAGTGATGGCGAAAATTGGAACTCGTTTTTCACCATTCTCTCGTTGTTTTTCAAAATTTCGAATCATTTCACATGATTCTCTTCCTCTAAAATTATTGAAATTTCATTCAATTATCATTGAGGTTCGTTATTGTTCAACCATGCAATCCATTATTGAAAATTATTGAAATCCCATTCAATTATAATTGAGGTTTGTTGAATAACACTTACGTCATGACAGGCATGAAACAATCCAATAAAACCAAAGAATATTCCTTCTTCTTGAATTTGTTGAAACAATCCAATCCATCATTTGCAGTGTCAATGTCTTTGAAACCAATAATTTTCAGCATGTTCACCAATATTTTTCGATTCACTGCATTATCATCTGCCAAGAGTACTGATTTGTTGGCAAGCTCTCCTAACGAGCTTCTCCTCTTTTCCAGGATGATGTTGTTTTGCTGCTTTACCATTTCTTGGTCATCAAAAATCGCTACTAAATCTCCAAATAGGATGGGCTTAGAGAGATAGTTCATGTTTGGAAATAACCTGCTTGAACCTCGTAAAACTGTAAGAATAATACTAACAGGCTCTCCATCAAGAGCAGTGGATATTTTCTCATACTCGGTTTCATGGCAGAAAACGATATGCATCTCGTCCTTAAAGTTTTTCGTTGTTTCAGAGAAAAGTTCAAGAAATTTGTCTACAGATTCAAATTCCTTAACAGAACGTACTCTCTTAAATATTTCTAAATATGCTTTTAAACAGTCTCTAAAGCTCTTGTGTTCATCAATGATGTACACCATTACCTTCTTTCCTGCTTGAACAGGCTTTTCCAATATTTGAGATACATTTTTGTGTGTTAGTCCTTCACTTCTATCTTCAGAGTGCGCATGGTTTGAAGCTATCTCGAGAGGAATCACAACAGAGATGGTTGTACCTTTTCCTTTGACACTCTCAACAATTATTTTTCCATTCATTTTCTCCACAAGCAATTTCGTAATATTCAATCCCAATCCATTTCTATTGGTGTTAATCAAACTACTTCCTGCATTATTATCACTACTAATGTTGGACGCTGTCTTGAAATAAAAATCGAATCTATGCGTGACATCCGTGTTGGGATCAATAGTGTGATAAGGTTGAAATAATTTTCCAATTTGATCTTGAGCAATTCCACATCCACTGTCAATACATTCAAATTTCACATAACTCTTGTCTTCTTCAATTTCATTGTACAATTCTGAGAGTTCTTTTTCATCAACACATGTACAATTCACTCTCACAAAACCTTGAGATGTGTATTTGATGGCATTTGAAATGATATTCATCAATATTTGACTCACTCGAACTGAATCTCCCTTCAAATTCAATGGAACTTTTGAAGCATCGAAAAATGAATTCAGAGAAAGGTTCTTTCCTTGTGCTTCCAATGAGAATACTCCTGTCATGGATTCAAATAATGAAAGAATGTTGAATTCTTCATTCTTCAATTTGATCTTTCCCATTTCAAGTGAACTCATTTGCAATGATGATGATAAAATGTGTAATAAAAGAGATGCACTGGATTGAATGTCTCCAATCAATTCAGAGATGGCACTATCTTTTTTGAAACAATGTTCACAACTTTTCATGCAAACTCCATCATGAAATTTGTGTTTCAACACTTCCACAGTGGCCATTATTCCTTGCAATGAATTTCTTGCTTCATGACTCAAATTTGCAATGAATTGGGTCTTTTCATTGTTGATAAGTTTTTCTCTTGCAATTGCCATGTCAGTATTATGCTTTTCTTCATATCTCTTTTTCATGAAGAGAGAGAATAGAAACGACCCTAAAAAGATTGTGTAATGTAATGTGAACACTTCTATCAGTCGTTGGTAAAACCTAATTTCCTCATCAGGGGTCAATAAGTGTTTCTCTCTCACAAAGGCTAGGTACATGCCACCCAACGTGGACCCTGACAAGCCTATAGTAATTGTAACAAACAATCGATTATCAAGAAAGGCCGTTCCTGAGGCTATTAAAATTCGAAAAGTTGAGAAAACGTGATAAGGGACAAACGGACCATAACAATAATACATTAATAAATTCATCACGATCATGAACGTCAATCGACAAATATTGCCAGCACAAAATGATTGCAACGTTTTGGCATAGTTAACAATGCATATGTTCAAGATGAGATGAAGAGCAAGCTCCGCTAATGCCAAAGTGAGAAATGTAGTTGGCCCTCGCTCCCAACAGAAGGTTGTTCCGAATAGGATCGGAACAAGAATTAAAAACGTTCCTATTTTGCTAAAATCTCGTTGTTGCCCAAGTAATAGAGCCAGTTTTTCGCTCTCTTCCGAGAAGGCCGGTGCAGTTGTATTCAAGGCTGCATCATTGTCCTCCGTTGTTGCTGTTTGAGCTGATAAATCTTGTTGCATAAAATTGTAGTTCAAAATTAAACCAATCTAGAGCTGGTGTTTCTTGTTGTTGTTGATGAGATGTTGTGGATGCCGATGAAGTGAGTAGTACTAACGAGAATTAGTGTTTTGGAAAATTTTTGGCTGTTGAATTGGCCATTTTTGGTCGCTCATTGCGAAGTGAATAGCAGTCATGCTGTTGTAGGGATGATTTATTCACTTCTCTCCGCGGATGCATGGTGTAGTAATGTACGGGTTACTTTCCCATCGATGTATTTCCACCACTAATGACCATTCCAATATTCTTCCATTCATTCTCAAGAGCCAATTGTTTAAATTCTTCGTGGAATAATGTCAAGGCCACTACCGTAGCACTCGATGGTTCAATCACAATTTTCATACGCTCCCAAACAAGTTTCATGGCTCGTGACACTTGTTCATCCGAAACAGTAAAAATTCGATCCACATATTTTGAAATGTAATGGAAAGTACGTTCTGAGAGATTGGTTTTCAAGCCATCACAAATTGTATTCGATGGTACATTGGGATCGTTTCCAATTAATTGTTTGGCTTGTAGGGATCTTTGTGCATCATTGACAAGCTCAGGTTCCACTCCAATGACCATGGTTTTCTTGAGTTTTTCAGGTTGAGTCTCGCTCAATTCGAGAGTAGCCTTCTGTTTGAAATAGAGAGAGGATCCTGAACAGAGACCTCCACCACCGACTGGAACGATTAAAACATCCAACGGAAACTGTGAAGGAGAGTTATGTTGTTCCACTTTCACTTGTTCCAATAATTCCAAGACGGCAGTTCCTTGCCCAGCAATGACATCATCATTGTCATAGGGATGAATGAATATTGCGCCAGTCTCTTTCATGATCTTTTCACAAGTTTCTTCTCTTGCTTTTAAAGTTGGTTCACACAAGATGACACGAGCTCCGTAAGTTTGTTCGACAGCATTCTTTTTCACAGCTGGAGAATTTGAAGGCATGACCACATGAGCAGGAATTCCTAACATTTGAGCTGTTTTTGCTAATGCTTGAGCATGATTACCTATGATTATGATTGTGGACACAACGAATTTCACATGAGTTTGACAGTGTGAAATAATAATCATTATAAACATTTCGATGATCATTATTTCACATTTCGAAAAAGATAGCCATTCCATAAAAAAGAGTTTCAAGGTGAGTCCACTTACCTGATGAATGAGTAGTGACTCCGCCCTCCTTGATTTTTCTCTTCAATTCATCATCACCATTTTCCAATGCATTTAAAACTGCATTAGTGGCACCTCTAATTTTAAACGCTCCTACACGATGGTTTGAAAATCAAAAACACGAAATTTCATCATGAATAATTGTCGATCATGATTTCAACAAGCATACACACATACCCACTTTGTTGAAATTTTCACACTTTAAATACAAAGTACAACCAGGAATTCCAGTCATTCCAGAAAGTGATGAGCTTGTCATTACAGGCGTACGATGAATATATTTTACAATTCGTCCCGAAGCTCTCTCGACATCCTGAATAGAGAGTTCTTTGAAGGAGCTGGTGTGTGGTTCAGTAGTAGCAGAAGAAGAATGTGAAGACATTTTTTTGATAATATTAATGTTGTAATCATTTCCCACATTTTTGATAACAGTTATGAACAGTTGTGGTTAAAGGAAATAGTGCTATTGTAATAATACTGGTATATTTAATTCTGCGCCATTCTTCTAATTGGTGCCATCACAACACAAGCGCTCATTTAACATTTTAATGAAATTCCATGTTTGGAATTGAAACGACACTAATTTCAACACGAGCTGTTCTCCGTTTCGTTCAATACTTTCAATCAAAAACAAAAATTGAAACATCTTTCCTAACAAATTACATTGTACAAAATGAATTTAATCGCCATCATCGGATTAGCAATTCTCACTCTCCTCCTTCTACTCTATTTAGTGATGAGAAATTATGAAGCCAAAGTCATTGGTAAAGTTCAAGTCGTTGGTTTGAAAACAAACACTCACCATCCTTCTCATCATGAAACACAAGAGGATCATCATGCAGAAGAGAGAGAACTGAACGGAGGAGGAGTCCTCCGGCCCACCCATCATGATGATGATCATAATGACACTCACCAACCGCTATTATTGAAAAAGAAGAAGATTACTTTTCAAACACCCGATCCTGTTCCCGTTAGCGAATTGGCCCATTACAATGCTCTTTGGTGTTTACTCGTGAATATCTTTCGGTACAATCAAGCCTCAGTACAAACCTATGAACGAGCCTTTGCTCTTCAACACTTTCGTCCACATTTTGGTTTCGTTGGCAAGATTCCAGTGGTCATATTTGCCACACCGAGTGCTGCCCGAGTGTTTGTAACGAAATGGAAAGAGGTTGCAAAGGACAATACATTGGTCTTTACGGAAGATATGCACAAGTTCTTTGGAGTGAATGTGGTATTCTCAAATGGTGATGAGGTTTGTATTGATTGGAATCATTGTAGTAGGAATAATAGTAATTCATTGTGTGCTTAATATATTTACTCAATTTATGGATTATGAATCATATTACATTGAAAACAAATAGTGGAAGAGACAGAGAAAAGTTCTTGACCCTTCATTCTATAATATTGAACGATTTACTCAGACATTTGTTGAGAATGCACAAAAAACCATGTCCTTATTGAACAAGTTGTTCCAAGATAAGGGAATTCAGGAAATTGAAATTTCTCCTTCTGATGTGACTGCAAGGTGAGTGGTAGAATTGAACAAGCATGATTTAACAACGGAATGTTGACGTTAGAATGGCACTTGATGTGTTGGGATTAACAATATTTGGAGAAGATTTTGATTACTTGTCACAATTAGTTCCCAATCACAAATCTGCATCAAATGAATCAAACAAAAAAGCACTCGATGCCTATCATTATGTCATGAACAATATTGGAAATGCAGCGAGATTATTTATTGGCAAGCCATACACGTCCTTACCTTTGGAAAGCAATGTGAAAATGGATGAATCCATTGAAGTGTTTCAACGATTTTTAGATTCTATTATTGAGAAGTGTCGAAAACAAAAAGATGACAAGAACACACTTCTTCATTCCATGATTGAAGCTGTTGACGATGAAGGTACTGGAATGACCAATCAAGAATTGAAAAATCAATGTGCCATCTTTTTCTTGGCAGGTCATGAGGTAGGTCAGAATTGTTGTCATTTATTATCATGAGAATATAATAATCTATTAATTTACATGTGATATATTGTCATGAAATAGACCACAGCTAGTGCATTAGCATTCTTATTTTACTCTCTTGCCAAGAACCCTCAAGTTCAAGAAAAACTCTATGAAGAAATTGTGAGCACTTTCTCATCAGGAGAGGACATTTCGAATTACAACAAGCTACAAAATATGACATATTTAGATTGTGTTTTGAAAGAGAATATGAGATTGTATCCTCCTATCAGTCAACTTCCGCCAAGAATTTTAACTTCGTCGCAAGTGATTGATGGATACAAAATTCCAAAGGTATGTGAATGAATCGTATCATCAGCAATTGTTGCTTAATCCTATTAATGCTTTGGAAAAGGATTTTTTGGCAATTTTGAACATTTATGCCCTTCACAGACATCCTGATGTGTGGGGAAAAGATGCAGAAGAATTCAAACCAGAGCGATTTTTGGAGAATTCATATCCTCCATTCTCGTATCTGCCATTCTCGGCTGGACCAAGAGTGTGCTTGGGCAAACAATTTTCATTGATTGAGCAAAAAACGTTCACCATTGCCCTTCTTCAACAATTTAAGGTTGAGCTACTGTACCCAAGTCAAAGCATGCATTTCAATAAGAAATTGCCAAATCTTGCTCCTGAGGAAGGTTTCAAGTTGAGACTAGCGAGAAGAAAAGGTGATCTGTAAATTGCGAACGATTAATCCACTACAAACCTAACTACAAGCCATGATTATTTACTTCGTATTTGACGTAAAGTTTTAGAAAATCCATAATTTATTGTTGTTTCTTTGCTTTCTCGGAGGATGAAGTTACGTTGCCATAAAACATCTTCAAAGTAAAGTACAGGACAATTCCACAAAATATGGGCCCTCCATAAGTTTCCTTCCAAATAAAAACTGAGTGGTCAATACTCAACAACACAAATGAGGCAGCAATGTAATTGGTTCCAGCATGAGTTGCCAAATAGGCAGCAATATTGTAGAGCGCAATTGTGACATTGATCTTTTTCAGAGATTGAATTGGCTTGTAAACATCAAAGGTGTAATCGTCTGGAATGAAGCGTTTTCTGAACATGAGTCTGAATACTATTATATTGTTGATAATTGTGTTGGGTTAAACAGCTCAGTAACTATTAAACAACTTACTTCTTCCAAACTCAACACCAACACCAGCTAAAACAAAGAAAATGTAATAACCAGGATAAAAACCGTGCCAGAATGCAATGACAAGGAAGGTTTGGAATACCTCCTTAGTACCTGGTCTGCTTCCCTTCTTCTTATTTCTAAGGTAAACATCTATTAATCAAGAAATAATTGCAACAAAAAACAATGCGATGTGTTACACAAATATTATGCGTTCCCATGCCATAAAATATTCATACTTACACTTCTTGACCCACTTGTGAACACCAATATTCCAGTGAATAGACAAAAGATATGGGGACGTAGCGAGCTCGAATGCCCAGAAATCAATTTGAGTCACAGCAGACCAATCTTTCTTCTTTGGATCATAACCAAATCCTGCAAGCCATCCAGATCCTTGACAAATATGCCAAACCATAAAGTAACGGAATTTAAAGAACTCTACCATGAGCAAAATGAATATAATCTTATTGAGCAAGGGCATGCTTGAAAATGCTTCCCGATTGTTCATGATAAATTCTCTGTCAAATCTGTCAATTTGAGTGAATCCAGCAAAACTAATGAAAATCATAACAGTGTTATAAATGAGTCCTCTTCCATGGAATGGAATTGTATCCATATCATACTATTGAAACAGACAAAATTTCAAAAAAAATTGATCGTTATTATAAATACAAATAATGAATCGTAAGGCGTTAGTACAAATTGCCCACTTACATGTCTTAAATATTGTTGGAAATATTTAAAGTCGAATGGTGGTCCAGCCAAAAGAGCAGGAAAATAGAAGCAAAATGCAATATATTCCAAAAATGATGGAACTTTGGAAATGCTGGACTCAACCAAAGATTCATCGAGTTCTTCTTTGGCATTTGGATTTTGACCGTCTGTAAAGTTGAAAGAACAGGATGAAATTCTCAAAACCATCATCATCAACATGGCACTGTAGTCCACACGTTGACTTGTAAAGTCCAATTGCATTCGAATAAAGTGACTATTTTACAAAACAATATTCAAATAGAATGAAGAACGCAGCAACAGTTTCCAATAACGTTATTGGAAGAGTCTACTCAAGTAAAACAAAAACTTACGCCATAGACAAATAGGTCCAAACAAAAACAAATACAACTTTTGAGGAAATAGACTTGGGTAACACCATCATGCATAAATAACTAATAAAACTACAAGCAATGGCATGGAACCCTTCATAGCCAAAAGTAAAAATTGCATAAAACAATCCAACAGCTACCAAATATAGAGTTTTTAAAAACGTTGCCTCCTTCATGGCCCGATGATTAAACAACATTCTATAAATAAAGCTGAAAACATAAGTAAACATCATCATCAATACAAAAATTGTTTGATCTGGTTTCAACCCAATGGCTCCTCCCTTCTCATCCAATACATCATAAATTGGTTTGAAAAACGGATAAACAGGCTCTCCGATGGGTTCCAACACATGTTGTTGGACATATTTCACTCCGTAGCATACATAATTCGTTGGAGCCACAAGTCCCTCACAAGGAGTGAGAAAGTTGGGATGTGAGCTGATGAGTCTTGGAAAGAGAGAATAATTCACGGCTGCTGGTGTTTGAGCCATTTTTTGTGCGACACCGTTTTTCAACACCATCCACTTTCCAAAGTTGAATTCAAATGTTGGTGCACGGATGCCAACAAACTCATGAATGCCTTTATTTAAATCAACAATTTGAACAAAACAAACAAAGTGCTGATCTTGCAAGCAAACACTCAAAGAGTGAAAGCCAGGGGAAGACCCAACACACAAGGTGCTCAAAAACTAATTCTATGAGTAGTAAGGAATCGAAGAAATAAATCTTGCAGAAAAATAAATTAAATGTGTATATTCAAGTAAGTAGAAATAAAATTGAAATAATTTGTACACTTTAGAGATTCACAGGATGCAAATTCATCTTTGAAACACAACAAAATCTGAAATTACATGAACGGAATGTCAACGCCTAATCTCCATTGAGCTAAAGTGAGAGCAATACCACTCATAATTGGAATTGACAGGTTGTCATTAATTTGGTCAAGGAAGAGTTCTGTTAAAGTGGCAGTAATAGCACCAATGAGAGAAATATATTCGTAGAGATGCACGTGATAAAAGATGGTCAAACCAACAGCCATGCAAATGAAGAAATTAGCCAAACATCCTTCCAATGATTTGCTCTTGTACACTTTAACTCTACCAAATGAGATACCGACCTAAAAATCACCGAAAAAGATAGGTCAGTAATTTTCTTGAAAATTTAAAAAGTGGAAACTTACCAATGCAGCAAACAAATCTCCCAAATCCAAGAACAAGAGTGATGCAATAGCAATGGTTGGATGGAACAAAATCATTGTCAACAATGAACCAATTAAATAATACGTTGAGCCTGTTGATATTGAAAAATACCGGAAATGATGTAGGGTTGTGTGTGACACATTTTGATACAAGAACCCACGCACGGTAGATTATAATAATAGACAAATTATCACAAAAACCTACCGTTGATGTCATTGAGTTCTTTCTTTCGCATAATCTTGCCGGCAGGTGATTCTTGGAACATTTTGTTGAATCTTTCAGACTTTAATCTCAAAAGCTGATGATTCCAAGAATGCATTAATATTCACGTTATTGTTATGAATAGATATGGCATTGTAAATAACAAATATTATGTATTTTCGTTGATAAAACGAACGGAGATAGGGTCGAAACAATGATCGTTGTTGATGTCCACAAAGAGCAAGTCACCGGTTCAAAGGTAGAACGAATCATCGTGGCAGTTTTGATATCGTGATAACGGTTATCATCGTCATCATTTCAAAATTTATCCATATTTCAAAATAATCATCGAGAGGCAAACACTTACATCAACCGTCAATGAAAACCCAGCAAATCCAGCCACAATCGAGCAAGCCTGGAACTTGGTCAAGAATCCGAATTTTAATCCAAAATAATAAATACCAGGCACCAATAATCCAACCAAATGGAAAGTCTTTCTCTTGAATTCACTCATAAACTTTACAGCTCTTTGTTTTGATGTTCCTAAAAACTCTCTCACTCTTGCCGCCATGGCCTTTCCTTTCAGGAAGAAGGAGATGACGAGAGCAATCACGGTCATCACCGTGAGGATCATCCAAAGCGTGTTCATTTTTTTTGAATTTTGTTTGGTTGCGTTGATGACTGTTGAGAAGGTTTTTTAAGTTCACAGCCTTTTGTCAGTTCCCAGTTTCTCACTAAGCTTTTTTAACGTTGGTATGGCGTAATGAGTTGTAAGGGCAAGGAAATGAGAACTGTATTGTTTTTAGTAACAGACATGAATTCGGTGATGGTGGTTTAAATGGAGATGGTGCAAGTATTAAGGTTGAGCAAGAGATTTACTTGGAAGGAGAATGAGTGATTGGTTGTGTTGACCACGTTTCAAGTTGTTCCGATATACCCTCAGCGTGCAACAAAATCGAACGCCTAAAAGTGATTTCAGCTCATTCTCTGTATTGTCCGCAGACAACAAGGCAGAGAATACTCATTCAAGGCTTCGCTGACGTTATTTACAAACCATTCAATACGAATGACTTTATAAACAAGTTGAAAAAGTATCTGAGTGATGTCTTATGCCTTTAGTTAATCTCAACTCTTTGAACAAAACTTTATCGAGCATCGATTGCGAGCTAGGAAAAGCATAAAGTGCTCAAAAAGTTATTCTACGAGCAGTAAGAGCAGTAAGGAACATGATGGACAATGATACACTTTCAATGAGCCTAACACTCATGACCACATGGGTAAATCTTGGATGTTTGAAACCATGGCACCATGGAAATTATTTCAATAGGTCATCAGGTTCCAAATCCACGAAGGACAAATTAAAAAAATACATCTCGACCTCAATCATTTCATTTCTCTTGCTCCACTGCCAAAACCGTTACGAGAAATATTTCAATCTCTGGTTTAACCGCATATCCGATCAAATATTGAGGAAGAGATCTTGAATCATCATTCAATTACCAGGCACCTGTACAAATATTATCAAATGAATCAAATAATAGATATTAAGGCGGAAGATGAGCCTATCTTTTCCTCATCATCTCCTATGAAGATAAATAGGCATTTAGTGGTAGCAGAAGGAGGAAATTTAGCTGCTGCTCGAGGAAGAGAAGCTGATGCTCCGAATTTATATGGAGGAATCACTCAAGATGTAATCTATCAATCGTATAAGGAACAAATTGAAAATGAAAAGAAAGAAATTGCCCGAAAACTTGTACAACTAGACATGGAAAGACAACCCAGCATCAAAGAGTTATCAAGGGATTCAATGGATGAATTTGGAGAGGTAAACTCTGGAGTGGTGGTTGCAGAAGACTTTAATGCACATGAAAGGCCTTCCAGCATGAAAGCGCTTGCACTCGAGCGTTTTAGAAAAGCTGTCAAAAAAGTTGAATCTTCTCGGATGTCTACGCGTACAAGCTTTACAGGGACTTCAGAGTTTGGTTTGCTGAAGGAAGGTCTTGTCACTTCAAAAGAAGACAAGGAACCAGAAATTAAGCTCACAATTAAGCGATCGTACTCTCAACTCAGGACATGTAATATACCCAAACACAAATTCAAAGTTGAAGGTAATCAAAAGGCCATAAAGAAGGCTGATGAATTAAGAAAGTGTGGATACAAGACGATGGATATCTTGTCAATATTGGGAGTTGAAAAGTACATGTTACTCAATGAGAAGAGATTTTCTCCCAAATGCATGATAGACGCTCTGGTGCAGCGTGGCAAAATGGAAAGATACCTCAACACGAGAGAAATATCATTTGTATCTAAAGATAAAGTCAAAAAAGGAGATGAAGGGTACGAAGACTATGTGTTGGAGAAGAAGAAGAGAATCTTTTTCAACGAAAAGAAGAAAGGAGGAGCGTTGAATGTACAATAAAGCACGATGTATTTAAATTTTGGTCTTCTTGTGCGGTGACATGTCTTCATTGATGGTAGTTGGGTTATCAATTTCTGAATTGAATCGTTTCTCTGTTTGGCTATTAGTTCCAGTCGCCAGGGATGATGGAGGTGAGAAAGGAGGAATCATACTTGTTGTTGGTGGTTGCAAATTGATACCAGGAGTGCTGCTTCCATTAAGGGTGCTGTTATTGCCGCTGTTGAACGAAGGAGCAAGATAGTGATGTTGGGAATGATTCACCATCATCATTGGAGGTGAATGCATGGAACTTGCGTTGTTGTTGTTGCTGTTCGATGGTGACAGTTGTGGTGGTTGCAACATGTGTGCATTGGAGAGTATTTGATTTGGATTGGGCAATGGCATGTGATTTGTGTTCAATGTCCCTCCAGAATGATGAAATCCTGATTGAGGATTGAGAGGAGCAAGTGTGTTCATCATTGTCTGTTGTTGCTGTGGATGCATCAATGTTGCACTTGGAGGTAAGCTATTACTGGCAGTTCTAACAGGATTGCCAGAAAGAGGTGGAGATCCTCCCTGTGGATGAGGTTGAAGTTGTGGTTGGAATGGATGAACTGCAATATCACCACCACCACCACTGATAGGTATCATGCTTGCAAGGCCTTGTTGTGGTTTTGGTGGCAAGAGATGTTCGACCATGGTCATCGTTTCTGCTGACGCCACTACCCCATCCGACAACATTTGTGGAGATGGATTACCAACCAAAGGTGTTGTTGTCTCTTTTTTCCTACCACCCTTCTTCTTCTTTGATTCTTTGGCTTCTGATTTTTTAGATTCCTTTGTTGTGGATGATTTTATCTTTTTAAGATAAACATCTGGTTTGGAAAATACAGCAAATTGAGATGAAATTTTGCTCAATACAAGTTTGTAACTACGAGAGGCCATGTCTTTTCTGAAAATGCTAATATAAAAGCAAAACTTTCCTCTCCAACTTAGGGCCTTCTTTTCTGTGGGCCAAAACAGTTCTACCACCCAACTCTTTGTTGCAAGATCCTCAGTGAAAGAGTATGTAATGACGGGCACTTCCTCATTGCCAATTGAAAATTCTCTAAACTCTTCTTCCATGCCTTGTGGATTCGTTGTGCTTAATGTGAAATGGTTAGGGTCCACGCTATTAATAATATCATCAAATGGAGAGAATGGAATGCTACTGTCAACAATGCCTGCACTGTCCATAGTACCAGGAGAGTCGCTGCCATTGGAGGCATCATAATTGTTTTCTTTGGCAGCTCCTCGTTTTTTCTTTGATGGAGTTTCTGAGTTTTTAGAACCTTTACTTGTTTTTTTTGGTGGAGTAAAAGCAAAAGGCTCAAACACAACCTCAGTAGGCTGTGTGGTTGGAGGAGTTCTAACTCCTCCTTGTGTCGTCGAGGATTTTGTTGATGGAGGATTTTGTGTGCTTGCATATTCAACGGAAGGAGTGAAATTTGGTTTTGCAATGTTAGAGGAGTTGTTGAAGTTTGTTGTTATTGAGGTGAGATTGGGAGCTATTCTGACCTTAGTTGGTGACGAAGAAGTGGTAGTTTCCGTTTGAATATTGCTTCCGAATAAGGAATGTGGCTTTTGTTGGGTGTTCTGTGGAGAAGAGGTTTCATCATGAGTGGCCATAGAAGTTGATGCACTGCGTTGAGCTAGTGCACAAATACTCAACAAATTTTCAGCAGCAGCTGCAGCTTCATTCGATTGATCGGTATCTGAATTTTCTTCAGCTATTTCTAGTGAGCGAGGAGAGAGAGCAGAATCATCCTCTTCTTCTTCTGTTGGATGGGAGTCAATGTCAGTCCATTGAGTATATTTTTATATTGGCAAGTGGGGGTTGTAATAATTTCACATTAATGTTCAAAAATTCTGTTTTGGAAATAAATTCAAATGGAGGTTCTACATACTTTGTGAGTTGGAGAGAGATTGTGTTTGATAACCACTCAAAGAATGAAAGTTTGATTGAGAAGATCCTTGACTAGAGAGAGATGAAGGAAGGGAAGAACTGAGCGAATTGGGTGGAGTTTTTCGCTTTCTCATTTGTGTCAAATTTTTCAAAAGCTTGAGTTCCACGAAAAATCGACTACTCGTGTCAGAATTTCCTTTCAACTTGAAGAAACTTTCATTGGGTTCCAAACGAAACTGTTCCAAAGAGTGGTACGGTTTCAAAATGGATTAATTTGGGAAAAGAATTTTTGGATGCATCCAGCGAGGACGGTTATCCAAAACGAGGAGGATGTGAGAGAAGAACATCATCAAAAACCGTGGCCATTATTATAAATGATTGTGATGAAAACATCATCATTGTGGTAATGTACATACCTCGTAATGATGGGTCCTAAACAAGATATTATTTGGAGACTCTTCTTGGTTTTTAATCTTTCTGGAACTGACTTGGACCATCACGTCTGCATCTCGGGTGTTGCTATCAACAATGGAACTGTTCACCATTCATTGAAAATATTTTCATCATGAGAGCGTTGGAAAAGCCAGAGTTCATGAGATAAATAATCCACCAGGAATTTGTTGTTAAACGTTTAAATTTCTGGTTGATTGAGAGCCTTTCTTCGACACTTACGTTTCTATTTGATTCATCCATTTCAATTCGATTGTATGGAAGTTCTTTTTGGATGATGAATTCTTGCTGTTGTTGTTTGATTCAGTCATTAGATCCGAGGCAGGATAAGCAAAGTTGTACTCAAACGATGATTGGGAAGGTCTATGGTTTGATGGAACTAACTAAATGATGATAAAAAACGGATGGTATTATCCAAAATTCCAGCGTAGTGATGAAAACAACAACAATTAATATCAGCAGGCTCCGATGGGCAATGATGAAACGAAGTGGTATATGATTACGTTTCTAATTATTATATAATAATATTGGAGGAATTGGCCACTTTGATGATTCGAGTGTTGCTCTTTCCTTATAAAAAAGAATCTGCTCTTCGTTCGTTGCGGGTAACACACCAAAGGCGCAATAAAGAATTCAAGCCGGAACTTTAATTTCTTTTTTTCTTTTGTGTGGTTGAACAAGCCATTTTTGAGGTTTACAATGTATCTTACCAGCCTCGAAGGTTGTACGAAGAACTTCTCAAGATGAAGAACAAACATTGTTATGATATATAGCTGGGAAGAATCATCATCGTTTCCTCTTTGTTGGATTGATCTTTCGAAATATTGATCAATAGTTATAAAAAATGTCCTCTCCAAGTGCATCAGAACCAAGCGGAGTCGGAAACGAGAAGCCCCATCCATCAACGAATCAGAATCACGATCGCATCAGTAAGCTTTCAATACGCCCATCCAACTCCCTTCTACCTCCAATTTTGAGATACTTTGTGCAGGGCACGTTCCGATGGCAAGTCCATGAGAAGTGGAGTTTACTTTCTTGGAGAGCCTTCTTCAAAGAATATCGATATGAAATTGTTACAGGATTATTTTCATTGATTGGCTCGACGCTGAGTTTTGTGAATTGGAATTGGATGACGAGTGGAATTGCTGTTTCATGGAATATTGATTTGGAACAAGATTCAATTTCATTTCAAGTGAAAAAGAGTTTTAATGATTTGACCAGAGATGAAGCTGTCCAAACTCTGAGGCAATTAAATTATGTGTCACAAGATGTACCTATTGGATCCAATAATATTCTCGTCCTTAATGATAGAGAAATTGAAATTACCTTGAGAAGACAATCTCATCCATACCTTGTAAATTTTGTCGAACAACGGGACGAAGAATTCAAAGACAATATGAAAAAGAGCGCTTATTTTACAATTGTGGTGGTGTTGGTTGTCAATTGGATTCGTTCTAGAATAAAGTAGATCCTTATAGTTTTGAGATTACCTGAATTATCATCATATGTATTTCATAGCTGTTGAACCTGACACTGATCTTGCAAATGTCAATCACCCAAAAAACTGTGGGGCTACATTCATTATAGAGAAATTAATTTTATTACTTTTCGAAAAGTTTAGCAATATTACGTCTAGCCATTGCAAATTTAGTTTGTGGGCTCAAGTTCTCCTTGTCCAACAAATCGTTCGTTGTTGTGGTGTATGAAACAGCTGTCGATGATGCAATTTTTGCTTGACTTTTAACCATTGGAGACGAGCTTGTCAAAGGTTTTGTTGGTTGTTGTTGTTGTTTTACAGGAGAGCATGTAAAGCTTGAGCTAGATTCCACATCTGACTCATCCTCACAATCTTGTTTCTGTAATTTATGCACACTACTGAACTTGTTCTTAATGGCAGCAAACAATTCTCCTTGAATATTGGATGTGCTCTTTCTCATTGGAGTACCTCCTGGACTCTTTTGAATAGGTCTCAATTTTACACTTCCACTATTCTTAATCAAGTCGGCAATGGACATGCTGTGCTTGAGTGGTTGTGAATTCTTTGGCTTGGCAGTCAATATTGAAGCAGTGTCATGTTCATCGTCATGTGAGGAAGAGTGCACAATGTCATTGGATTGTGTCTGAATGGGCTTGGCAACTCCAAAACTCTTTGAAGGAGTCATCATGATGGGTGGTGGAGGTGGAATATTACTCGTCATCACTGGAGGTGGAGGTGGAATGTTAGAAGAAGTGCAAACGGTTTTTGTGCCCACAAACGATGATGACATGGGTGGAGGAGGTGGAATGTTACTACTGCTCATCATGGCACTTTCTGCTGCATTGTGATTCCTACTACTACTACTTGACTTGGTCTTCTTTCTTCGTGAAGACAATTCCGATGAGCTGCCTCCTCCTCCCAATAACGATGAGGATGCATTAGAATTTGTTTGTTGTTGCTTTTCAGCTCGTGCAACCATGGCAATTTGTTCCTTGAGCATCATTAATTGGGATTCCAAATCTTCCATCTTGCTGATCGAGTCCAATGGTTCGAGAGGAGATGAATTTGGGCCTCCTTGCTGAGATTTAGTCTTTCTCTCGGGAGTAAAGTATCCCATCTGATGCTTGAGTCGTTGCAAATAAGCCTTCTTTCTTCGTTTCCGTTCTTTCATTTCTTTCAATGTTTTCTCGTCATAGTTTTGTGTGATGGCGTTGAACACATCATGAGTGTACTCCATGATCCAGTCTCGAGTGTTGGAGAGGAAGGCCCATAGAAAGAGAAACACTCGTTCTCCCATGGCAGGAGAGGATGATGATGATACGGAACCAGTTTTTGATTGGCTTTTATTCATGGATGATATGTGTGGAGGATGAAGATGTACAGAATATGAAAATTCACAATAGAGATGAAAATGTTGTCGAGTTGATTCGATGATATAACGTTAAGAGCTCTTATCCAGCCAATGGCATGAGAGAGTGTTTTGGCTGCCAATTTTTTTATGCTGTATTGTTTTTTTCAAAAATTTGTGTAACGTTTTTGATTTTGAAAAGAAACGGTCAGTTTGGGCGCCAGTTGAAAATTCAACTTAATCGTTCGAGCAAAGGTCTTCAATCATTTGATTTTCACTGTCTTTACACTATTGAAGGACCTTCATTGCTTTCCTTACTTCTCAATAATGGTATGTATTTAAATCCAATCCCATGTTAAATTGACACCTAAACATTGATAGAAAGCTACAGCAATTGAAATGCGAGATACCCAGTAGACGTCTTCATGGCAATTTAATGTTTTCGGAATGATGCATGAGAATTACTCGCTGATACCTTCCTGTGCAGTCATGCCATTCCCTGTGTCTTGTCATTCCCATCTATCATACGAGATTTTTTAACGAACAATAAACTCAAAAAAATCCATCTCCCAGCAGCTCCTTAGGACCACATCAACTCCACACTCCGTAGTTTTGGCCGGATTCATTGGAATTTCAGATCATAGTCCAAGAACGCCGTATTCCATTTCCAAACACGATTTTTACTTCTTTGTGGAAGGTTTCACAAAATCCGATTTTAGGAATCCTTGTTGTTGTGGTATCCTTTCATTTTCCATCATCACATCAACAATTTTGAAATCTTTTTAAAATCGTGCCCTCTATACTCGCCCATATTAATATCATTCAATTTTCTCCAATTCATTGAAACTCCACCATTAATAATAATAATTTCCAAAAGATGCAACCATTACTTCCTCCGTTCATGGAGTCCTATAAAAGAGAGGAGCATGCTTCCGTATCTGATAACAGCAATTTTTCAATGCCGACCGTTCCACAACATCATCATCACCATTCCCAAGCCTCCTATCAGCCTAATTTTCATCCAGGATTGATTCCTCCATTTGCTCCTTCCAGCAACAACAATCCAAGTACTACTACTTCTTCGAATCCGATCAATAGCATTCCTATTGCAACAACAGCCAATGTACAACCCGAAAAGCCTGTTAAAAAACGAAGACAGTCCACAGCTACCAACAAGAGTAATGGAGATGTCAATAATCACCAACCATCACAACAGCAACAAACAAATTCTAATGATGACCCAGAATCCCCAAAAAAGAAAAAAAAGAGAAAACAAGTGAAGAGAGCATGCATTAATTGTCACAAAAGTCATGCTGGATGTGATGATGTTCGCCCATGCAAACGATGTGTTTCGTTGGGTCTCGAAGCAACTTGTCTCGATGTGGAACCTAGGAACAATAAGAGAAAGACAAACGCCTCAAATTCCTCAACAAGCAACACAACAGATGGAGCCAATAACCCAGCATCAAATAGCTCACTAAAACCACAAACAAAACCAACAGCAACAGACTCACCTTCACGTTACAACAACAATAATAATATTGGAAATGCAACATTCTATTCGTGGACATCAGGAGCTCCCGCTGCCCAAAGTGCTCACTATCAATCCTTACATCATCCACTCTTTCCACCTCCAAACAGTGCCAAACTGAGCTCTCCTTCAATGTCACAACATTCTGGTGGATCCTCAGGGTCTCCATTTCATTCTTATCATCCAGTAAGCTCCAGCAACAACGGAGCCAATAATCAGAGAGGAGGAGCCTTATTACCACCTCCATCCTCACTCATTGGCTCTCCTTCCGACATCTTTACAGACAGTGCATCCAGAGCTCCTTCGTCATCATCGATTTCTCCTCAATCCCATTTAGCTCTATTGAATAGTGTGATGATGCAACAACAAATTTTGTTACAGGCTCTACAGAAATTGGACACTACAGGCTCCCTGGATCCTTCCCTTACACAAAATTTAATTTCTGGCAATCAAGCCTTGTTGTCACACACTTCATCATTGCATTCCTCAGAGAAAGTCACTTCACCACATTATCTATTGCCTCCACCTTCGACACTTTCAGCTCAATCTCCATCATTACTTCCTTCTGTAAATACTTCGAGCCTTGCCTCTCCAAATGCTCATTCCCACTTGATCAATAGAACCTATTCATCAAGTTCTTTGGAGGGTTTGCTTGGTCCACCAACTCCAACAGCAGCCACTCCCCTCGGTCATCACTCCGTTTCTACTCCTGTTCCGGTAGCAACTCCTGTTCCAACTGTTCATGATCCATCGCTTACATTAAATGATTCACAGTCGAATCACAATCATGCAACAAAATCAACAAATGCAGATCAAAAATCGAGCGATAATAACCAAAATGACGATGGTAAGAGTGACGGTATTGAAAAGGAAGAAGATGGAGCAGAGGACGAATTTATTGGATTCTTTAGAAGACCTAGCAACAATGTTGACATTATCGACGATTATTTTGCATTGTTCAATAGTAACGTTTCTGATGATGGCTATATTGAAGAAAATAATGTCATTACTGGTGCTTCCTCTTCATCAATTCCTACAACATCACCAGGCGGAAATGTCATGCTTTCTGAAGTTCACCAAGGATCTGATGGTGCACTTTCTCAAAGCACGTCATTTACTTTGGAGAGCACATCTCCAATTTCCAATGCTGTCAATACTTGCATACTCAACAAGAATCAGTTAGAGGATCCAGACAAGTGCTCAGGTTGTGTCCATTTACCTTCTGGTGAAGCTGATACAATCATGTGTGTGGCTATTTGGAAATTGAATGGAGTTTTATTTTCTGCAAACAAGAACTTTTTCACAGTGTTTGGAGTGCCAAGTCTTTCAGATAATCTTCAAATTAATTTCTCCTCCATCTTGGATATGGATCATGACCCAGATCTCAAACAAGTGTTCAGTTGTAGATCTGACTTTGTTGCTAAAAGTATCAAAATGCAGAAATATGTCGATCACTCAACAAAGAAGGACAATTCCATCCCTAGAGAACAAATTGAAGGATACATGCAAGCATATGTCATTCGAAATGCTCAAGGAATTCTTCCAAGATATATTTCCACACACATTTCAGTTGCCACAAAGCTCTAATCATCTCTTTGAACAATAAACACGTGTTGTAATGTATTGGAAATGGAGCACAAAGAGCTAGCATTCGCTCGAACTAGGAAATTTGAAAAATTGGCTTCCAAAGGGACGGAGAAAAAACTTTGAATCTCAATTTTTTATAAAGTTTGGTTCCGAACAAGACAAAAAAATGCGCGCTCATCATCACTTGCGACGAATGCTTCAACTTTCTCAACATGTATTCCCAGAGAGAGATGATGATATGTATGACATGACAAAATGTAGTAGCTCATGGCTGGAACGTTATGAAACATCGGGACGAGTGTTGGAGTCTCATCATTATGTCGGAACAACTCTTGGACAACAACATATCATCAATGGAAATCAGACAAGTCATTCGGAGAATGATTCCAATGTTGTTTTTACCGATTTTAATCAAGAAAATCATTGTCTTAGAATTACACTCAATCGACCTAAAAGTTTTAATGCTCTCTCATTAACCATGATTAGAAAATTAACCAAAATTTTGGAACAAGCTCTCGAAGATTCAAATGTACATTTTGTCATGTTATCTAGTTCGAATGAAAAGGCATTTTGTGCAGGAGGAGACATTAAGGATTTGAGAAAGGGAATTGCCAAAGTATTTTTCACAGAAGAGTTTGCACTCAATCATTTTATTTATGAATTTTGTAAAAAGAAACCAATAGTATCCATGTTAAATGGAATTACAATGGGAGGAGGAGTTGGAATAAGTATCAGTACAAATTTAAGAGTTGCCAATGAGCAGAGATATGTATTTGCAATGCCAGAGGTTTTTATTGGGCTCTATCCAGATATTGGAGCTTCATGGTTTTTAACACAATCTTGTCCTAACATGGCCATTGCAAGATATATTGGATTAACTGGAGAGAAACTTAAAGCCCATGATGCTCTCTATTGTAAACTTGTGACACATATTATTGATAAGGAAGAACATTTCAAAAAATTAGCGCATGACATTTATACTGTATTCAAGTCATCTTCGACGAATGGAGATTTTACTACCGTGCTGAAAGAATTGACACAATTCATTTCCAAATATGAGAAAGAAGCACGAAGTTCAAATGTTAAATTTGGCATTCTTGATCGATATCGAAGAGTAATTGATTATTGTTTTGGAGAGGAGAATGCAAAGAGCGTCAAAGATGTCTTTAGAAATTTGAGGCTTTATATAGAGCAGCACCCTTCTCGTTGTGATGCTGACATTGTTTTTATTCAATCAATTCTTGAACTATTTGAGAAGAGAGCATCTCCAACATCTCTATTGGTAACGTTTGAAGCCTTGAATCGTGGTAAAAAGTCAAACTCTTTGAAACAAGTATTGGACATGGATAAAATTTTATGCACACATCTCACTGTGAGACATGATTTTCTTGAGGGAGTGCGGGCGGTACTTATTGACCGTGATCAGAAGCCAAAATTCAAACCAGCTACTCTTGAGGAGATTGATGAAATGGCACTTGTTCAAGAAGTGTTTTCTGAGAAACAGTAGTGAAGCAATTAGCAGGAATACATGTTTTAAAAATCATATCAAGTTGTCAATACTTCTTTTTTCTGCCCTTATTGAAGCCTGGAACGAATGACTGATGTTGTTGCTTCTTTTTCCCACTTCTGCTGCCATTTGAATGTGCCCTGTGCTGTACATTGGCAGTGACTTGAGAGTTCTTCCAAAATTCAAAATGCAGTAAGGGATAAGTGATGGATACTTGCTCAAAGCTTTCTGTTTGCAACGTAGTAGAATTGGACGGTTTTAAATACTTGAAATTAGATCTGTCATTTGAAACTGAGGAAACTATAAACGTGGACAACAATGGACATTTCACATGAATTCTTTGTTTCAAATCTCCAAGCTCTTGATTACTGTTCAAATAGACCCTTTCATTTCCAACACAAAATCCTACAAGTTTTAAATATTCAAGTTTTGGCAGAGTAGGAATGGAATCAAATTGAAACGCATGAAATGTTTGACATGTTTGTGGTAAAGGATCATAGGTAGACCATCGTTCAATATTCAACGATCGCAATGTTCTGCTACAATCATAGGATGCTAATTCATGTAATAAAAATTGGTCAAATTCTTTGCCTGTAATGTCAAGTCCATCAACAGAATAGTTTTGTAATTTCGGAAAGTGGACCAGTATTCTCAGCAGTGACAAATGGTTCAGTGAAGTTCCATGTAAATGCAAAGTTTCCAGATTTCTAAATTTGAATAGCATATCCAAAGACTTGATATTCGTTAATCCATCCAAACATAATACGTGCATGTGATCACTATTCAAACGTTCAATGGCGCTATCAAAGAGAGTTTGTGAATCTCTAAAATCTTTCATCTCATCCATGTATGAAATTTGAGTAAAAACAAATTTTTCCAAATATTTAAAACTAATGAGATCCAACAAGGTGCAAGTCATTGTTGATGGTACTATCAACGATGTATCTGCACTATTGCCTTCAGAGTAAATGCTACATTGTTGAATGTCGAGTGATTTCAATCGAGAAGCTATACAAGAGCAATCTATGAGAGTTGCACAATCAAATCCACACAAGGTAGAATGGCGAATAGAAACGTGTTCCATAATTGGTAACCTCTCGAAAAGTAATGCCATGTTCACATCCTTCACATGGAACAGATCTAAAAATTTTAAATGAGTTAATTTCAAAATAAATGAGGTATATGGTGAGTGTTTTTCATGAATGGTCAAGTGTTCTAAATGGCTACAATTTCCATACATGCCATCCCAATCATTGCTCTCAAAAAGTCCGGTATTTTGTAAAATTAATGTTTTCAAATTGCCTCCGTTTTTCAAAATTGTGAGAAGAAATATTCGCATAAACTCAAAGTCTTCGTCGGTAATTAAACGTAAGTTTTTGAGAGAAAGAGACTCTAAATTTTTCAATAATGGAGCGATTTTGCAAAGAAGCTGCAATCCGGTCACTTGCTCCACGTCATTGCCGTCGTCTTCAAAATTAGAACCCATTCTAGGGAAATTGCAGAATGTAGATGAGTCAATGTTGAGAAATTTCACCGAATTCCAAAAAGTTTCACAATCATTGAATAAACATTGTTGTCTTGTTGAACTGCTCTGTTTTACAACCTTCTTATTTCCTTTACATGGCTTTAGCTTCTCACTCATCTTGTCACAATACAGTAATCCTAATGGAAAATCCTTTAGCTTTTCAAATATCAATCTGTGTACTCCACGAGTCAGTAATTTCATAAAACATGATCGAAAATGTTTCATTCGATCCATCTCCTCCTTTGTCCTAAAATAAAAATTGAATAACTCTTCCGATGTTATCAGACCCTCTTTCTCCCTCATGTACGAGCAATGATACACCTTTTTGATTGCATATCAATTGTGTCATTTTACAATTTCGTGTTGTGATAATTGATAATGATCATACCTCTTTACAAATATTCAATTCTCTCACTTGGCCAGAACTCAAATATTTGTCAATCATTGACTTAAACCATCGATTCACTGCCGAAACATTGTTGCAGCATTCTCGCACACTCAAAAAATTGAATATTGAATACATCATCTCATGTGGTAATTCTAAAAGTGCATGAAACCCAAATTTTTCATGACTTGTCTCTCGTACCATTGTTCCTTCCTTTTTCTGCTGATCAGTCGGAGACAGAAATGCACGTGATGAAGAATGAGAGCTGTTGGAGGTTATTGAACGGCTATGCAATTGCTTCATTTTTTAATCTAAATTTCTCAAATAATTTTTCAAATACGATGATCATGGAATAGGCTTTCTTTTTAAAATTAATAAATATATGGATTATTATTCCAAAATTAATGATATAATTAATATATTATTGTTATAGTATAGTATAAATAATGAATGAGTACCAAAATAATGATTACCCCACATGTTCCGAAGCTCTTGAATAATTCATATTATGTTCTTCTGTAAAACAAGGTATCATTTCCTTCTGTTTCAGTAATTCATCATCACCTTCTTGTTTATTCCTCATATAAACATAACACTTCTCGGTGGTAGTGCTCTTTGTTGGATCTATGAGAATATCAATCAATACGCGACGATAATGGCCCACATCACATCCCTCAAATTGATCCAGCTCTAAAAGATGTCCTTCATCCCGAACTTCATAGACTTCTCCTTGGATTTGATGTCCCTTTCCTATGGTTATTGTTGTTGAGAGAAAGGTAATTCATTGAAGAAATTGTTTGATTGATAAAACAACAAGTTACTATCAACTTAATATTGTTACTGAAATTTTTAAAGTCTACTGACTCACCTTCATAATCCATGAGATAGGGCACGTGTCTCTCGCCAGCAATGATGAGAGGAAATGAGTGAAGAGTTTTTGCATGAGCTGAGATGAGAGTACAGTTTTGATATCGTTCGGGTTGCATTTTGTGTTGATGATTGGCAAAGCCCTTCTTCAAAGTTCCATAAACAAATACTCGTGTTGGTGAGGTGGTATTTTGTTGTGAAGCCATTTTTTAAGAAAATGTTTGAAGCACAAATTGCTTTCGATTTGTTGTTGAGTTTATTGGCACTTGATATTACAAGTAGTCATTAGTAGAGAGAATAAATTAAGTCACAATACGAGTTTGCGCTGTCAGGATGTCATTGCCTAGAGTTAAATTGATGGTGTTGTTTCTGCATACGATACTCTATCGACACACAAGCTGATTTGTATTTTCATGATGATTCTAAAAGCATTTCGTTCAGTCGTGAGCAAATACAGCATCCACATATTAACAACAATTTACAAGTTGCAAAATGTACACTCCCCTTATTTGGAATGGCTGTCTTTCGAGCCACTTCTGGGTTAATAAATATTAATATGTCAGTGTGCTCTTATTGATGGTTTTGTTGTTGGTGTTGCGAATTATTTTGTTGTTGATGTTGTTGCTGCAGATACAATTGATATTGTTGTTGCTGATGTTGTTGATAGAGCATGAACTGTTGTTGATACATTGGATGCATCATGATTTGTGCTTGTAAATTGTGTACCATTTGCTTCAATTCGGTAATTTCTGCTCCTTGTTTTTGTTGTTCTCGGAGCAGTATCGATAGCAAATTATCTTGCGAAGAAGGCTTCACTGCAGGTGTTGACGACGATGCTTCCATCAAACTATTCGAATAGTGCTGCTGTTGTCCTGGATTAGAGCTCGAAACCTCATGGTGGTGTTCATACTTGACTTTCTTTGATGATGGTTGTTGTACAGCAGGGGTTGTATCGAAAAAGTCCATATCAAAATCACAATTGCCTCCATCGAGGAATACTTGATCCTCGTGCACAGCAAATGGCTGATTGACTGGAGATGGTGCACTCTTATTGACCGTTTCATTCAACTCGCTTTCATCATCAAACCAAGAGGAAACTTCTCTCAGAGGGGAGAGTTGATCTTGATGGATGGGCTGTACTTGTTGTGGGAATACCAAAGCCTGTGGCTTATTCTTATAGGCTTGCTTTGCAATTTGAATACTCTCAGCATAGAAGGGAGATTGTTCCGAGAAAAAGTCAATGGTATCGGTAACGGAAGTGCTGTGATGATGGTGGTGGTGAGGAATCATTTTCTTGTTGTTTGGAAATGAGTACACGTGTTGATGGGCGCGAGCTTGTGGGAACAATGAATCTGCTATTTATACACACGGAAGAGTTCTTTCAAGGAAGGACGTAATAATGTTCGCAGCAAACAACAACAAAATGGAAATCAATTCGTATATGGAAGAGATACGCAAGCTTAACGTTGATCAAGAGAGAGTTTTCAATCCACAAGAGGCTTCAACGACGATCAATACAACCAAGCAACGGCAACAACACTTCAGAGAGTGGAGAGTTTAAGCCTTTTTTTTCTTCTTGATTTTTCTTCTCGAGCATTGATGGTGTTGTTCGATCCTTTCTTGGCCGATCCATCACATCAAAATAGAAAACTCCAAATTGTATGATGCGTCATCAATTGATGATGAGAGGAATAGCCAGTTAGAAGTACTTCGTATTTTGATGTGATATTGGGAGAGTGAATGTATTCGAGTCTTAAAGAGTGGCTTACAAAAAAGCTGATTTCAGGAATGAGGATGATGCTGGCGTAAAGATTCGTTGTGTTAATTGGCCCCTCAACGAATATTAGAGACCGCCCGCATACAAAAGTACTAATTTGAACCGATAGAGTCTATGATGGTGAGTGAAGATTCACTGTAAAGTTGAACGATACAACATATGTCCTGTCATGCAAGAATCAATAACTCCGTCAGATTTTGTATAATTTATTCATGTGTTGGACATGTGACAGGAATAATACCTTAATTCCTCCAACTTTATTACGATTGAAGCCAACATGCCAAATCTATTCTGAATATGTATATTGACATTCTTTCAATTCGGAAATAACTTGCTCGCATGACCATGTAATTTTATCGACTGATGTTTGTCCTCCAACGCTTAAATTCCATATGAAATCATCTCGGGACTTGGTTTTGTGTTTAATCCAACACTTGATAATTTGTGTCTTGACCTTCATAAAGTCCTCGCGATTGGTTGTAGAGAATTTTTCATTCATCATAAATTTCAACATGAATTCACAATGTGTAGAAGAGAATTTGTCACTTTTGTCAATTTCTGTCAAAATTTTTTTTCCAGTTTCACCAGTAAAAGCAAGTTTCTTTTCGGAGATGAAACTTTTGAGAGACAATGGAACTTGAATAAATTCTAACTTCTCAATACAAAAGGTCCTATCGAATGCTTTCAGCAACTTGAAGTCTATATTGTTCTCATTTTCAACAACAAGGTTGGCCGTCTTCAGAATGTAAAACAAACAATCGAGTTCTAATCGGTTGACAAGTTCAATATGCTTGATGGAAGAATCTTTGAAAAACTTTTCTACTTTTTGCAATTCATCTTCCAAATAAATGGGACACATGAAAACTTGTTCATAATTGGCAAATACGGAAGAGTTTTCAAAACGCTCTTTCTTATATTGTTCAAAATATTGATGCGCAAGGTTGCTGTCTAAGGTTTTGAATGATTTCTTTTGGAATATCATTCGTTGATCGTACCATCTGAGACGATTCAAATGTTCTTTCACCGCTTCTGCTGCATCAATATTCATTTGTTTCAATACGTCCAATATAAAGTGTTGGCAATTACACCTCAAGACACTATATGTTTTTTCTCTGTTCCATGTTGTCACCACTTTTGAAGCAACATTGATGAGTCTATTAATTTCATTAGGATCTTTTTCAGTATGAATGGTATACTGAAATACAATCTTCTCTGATTGTAAATTAAGGACATTAGTAGCAACAACTATACTTTCGTCACACCATTCAATCTTTGTATTTCCAATCAAGAGAGCCAAATGATATTGTCCAAAATGGCTGCTGTAAAATGCAGACATTAAACGTCTTCTGAATGCCTCACCCTCTGACTCTTGATCTGCCAATTTGGTGATAATGATCTTGATATTCATTTGATTGTTAGTTGTTTGTTGTATTTTCTGTAGAGAGGACACAAAGTAAAAGAATTTAAATCTTTGTGGGAATGTTAAATTACAAGCTTCAAACGTGATGAACGAGTCATTGTTCAGGACTTTTCGGTATAGAACAGCTTCATCAATTTTTTTCTTGGATTCAAAATACTCTGCGCTGGCTCGATATCGATTCATGACTTTTGTTTTCACAACATGGAAGCCATTGTCTAGTGAAAGATTGTTTGGAGATTTCATGTAAGACAGCACCAATGAGAGAGGAATGGAAGAAGCTCTTTGTTGCCACCATTTAAAAAACGATACATAGGCCTGGTTGGCAATTTTCTTCATTGTTTCGTCATTCAATTGATTTCCAATCATGGCGAACATGACCTGTTCCAAAGGGTCTGTAATTTGATCGAGTCCTTTCATAGGTCCTTGACTACCATTGCTACTGGATCCACTAGAAATGGATTGAATGTTCGCAGCAGAATGCATAAGATTGGTATGAGTAGGGGTTATTGTTGACGATGTGGCTTGATCTGAATTTGTGGTTGTTGTTGTATCAGGGCAAAACTCTTTCAATTGTTCACAAATGTCTTCAGGAATGATGCGTTGGATATTCACTGAATCATGGTTCGTTGTTGTTTTGTTTCCGCTCAAGAAATGGATCAATTTCTTGCCATTAATCTCATGTTGCTGGATTTGTTTCATCATGTTCAAAAATTGTTCATCCGTTCTCTTGAACAACTTGAACTTGTGAATATAGAATACCAAAAAGCAAACCTTATCAGGAGTGAGAGGATCATGGTGACCACCAGCACCAGCAGTATTGATGATGTAACATGGATCATCACAAATTTTTTCAAAGGCTCGACATGAAAGCAAGACCAAGACGGGAATGTTGGGTAAAAGTTTCGCGATAGGTTTCATCAGTACATCTCGCTCATCATCTGGAGTTTCATAATCCAAGCACGAATCCAACAAGATGGAAACCTTGTCCATTTCTTTGGTACTCAACACTTGTTTTACATTTTCCATCACTTGGTCCAGATCTTCGAGTTTGACACCGAATTTTTCAGGATGGATCTGCAATTGTTCTTCGATATGAGTGACATAGTCAGTGTCTTGGGCTAAATTTTGTTTGGTTGGAGTTGTGGGAGTTGTGGATGTTGTTGGTTTCGTTGTGGTTAGAGGTTCTTGAGAGATTGTAGTGGTATCCGTTGTTGTTGGCGTTGGCGTTGGTGTGACTGGGTTGCCTGAAGATACAGACGCGAAGGGCTGTTTGGAGATGTTGCTTCCCATGGTGTCGAAAGTGTCCACGTGTGTGACTGAGATTTTGGACCTATTTTTTGAATGATGATTTCGAAGAATTATGAAATTGATATTCGAATGAAATTAAAAAAAGAAATCCAGAAGAGCGCCTAACTTTACCGTTACAAAAACTAGGCTCTGAAGTTGTTGTTTTTGATATTTAAAGAATCCACTGGTTAAAAATGTTTGGTTTTGCGGGCGAGTTGAATCACCAAATAGCTGCTCATGAAGAAGGCTTGAATGTGTTTGAATTTGATGACGATGATGATGAAATGAAGGAAAGTAGCAATTCTCATCGGAACCAACAAAAGCCTCATGTAAATAATATTGGTAATAATCATGGACCAAATACCACGGAAAGTGTGGAAGAGGCATCCTGTCCCTCTGCTGTGGTTGCCATGATGAATGATTCAAGGCTTGATATTTTCATGCGAGATGATCATCATCGGAATGAAGAAGACGACGATGATGATGAAGAGAATGATGAAGGAATTGGAGATAAACTGAAGAGTAACAACAAACCATTGTTGGTAGAGAGGTCTCACTCTTCAACATCTTCAACCCACGCTTCTTCTTCTGCTAGCTCATCAGACCTGAACAAGAATATACCTTCCTATCCTCCTCCAGTATTTGACCCGTCGCTTCCCTCGTGTTGTACTTTGTTTTCGACATTGTGTAAATGCTTTGAGAAACTCTCGACAGCAACGAAACACAAACAAAAGAGCGAAATTCTGGATACTATTTTCATGAAATGTCGCAAAGATTTGTTTCAATTTATGAGATTACTACTTCCTCAACTTGATCGAGAACGAATGACGTATGGTCTTAAGGAGTCAAAAATTGCAAAATATTATATTGAAATATTAGGTTTGTTTTGAGTGGAATGTTGTGAGAAATGATGAAATTTCTTAACATTGCTAAATGTGTTTTAACTGGTAATATTTACTGGGCTCGTGTCGAAACAGCATTGCCTCAAACCTGTGAAGATGCTTTGCGATTGAAGAAATGGAAAGATCCTTCTAAGGGAACTGGTAATTCTTTTTCTGATATTTGCTTTCAAGTATGTATCGAAATTATTATCATGTGTTTACCAGCAGCTATATGGTGTTCTGAAAAATGATAATCATGCAACATGTCATGACAACAATAAGGTTTTGCAAAAGAGAGGATGGACTTCCTCATCGAACCTAACTGTATTTCATGTCAATGAAAAGCTAAGTCTTCTTGCATCATGCACTGACAATGATAAAAAGAAGAAAATTCTTTTGGATCTCTTGAAGAACACGTCATGCTTTGAGCAAAAATGGATACTTAGAATCATTTTGAAAGATCTAAGAATTGGTATTCAGCACACAACCATTTTCAAACAATTTCATCCACATGCTCTAGAGCTATTCAACTCGTGTACCGATCTTCGAGAGGTCATTACAAAATGTCTTGACCCTAAATTTACCTCAACTGTTGAGCTGAGAGTTTTCACCATGTTTACACCCATGTTAGCGTCCCTTCTAACTCCTGCCAAGCTAACCGCGGAGCTCCCAAAAGACGATTTTGTGATTGAACCCAAATACGATGGTGAAAGAATTCTAGTTCACAAAAAGGAATCAGAAGTTAAATTTTTCACGAGAAAGGGCATTGACTACACGAACATTTATGGACCAAAATTTGCTCCCATCATTGTGAAAAACGTGAAAGCAAAAGTTTGTATTTTAGATGGAGAATTCTTGATATGGAATCGCGAATTGGAGGCATTTAAGGAATTCGGGCATAACCGTACACATGCACTAAGTGACACCAGCGAATCGAACGAACAATTTTGTTACATGGTATTCGATATTGTTTATCTCAAAGATCGTGATATTACTCAATATGCATTACAGAAAAGAAGAGCCTATTTGGAGAGCGTGATTAATCCTGTCGGTCATGTTTTAGAAATTGTGCCACAAAAACCAGTCACCTCAGAGAAGGAAGTTTATGAACAGTTAGATCAAGCCATTCTTAACAGAGATGAAGGAATCATGCTTAAGGGGCTGAGTGGAACGTATGTACCTGGAGAACGAAAATGGATGAAGCTAAAGCCTGACAGCGTCGATGGAATGGGAGGTATGTTAGTGAACAACCAGTTACATTTGTACAACTAATTGACCATGTTTTTGCTTTCTACTACATTATTGTTCAAATAGAGACTCTTGATTTAATTATTATTGGAGGATTCTACGGCACAAAATTCAAGAGAAAATCTGTGTCTCACTTTCTCTTAGCAGTGGCCACCAAATCCAAGCATACATATTCCAAGACTGACGGGTTTGAAAATTTGGATGACGATCTATTGGTCAACGATGAAACTCAAGTATTTCATTCTTTTTGTAAGGTAGGAAGTGGATATTCCAATTCTGAATTGTTGGCTCTTCAAAAAGAGTTGGAGCCCCACTGGAAACCATTCGACAAGACCAAATTACCAAAATTTTACGGCTCATGGATTCCTGGAGCAGGTGAATTGCCAGATGTGTACATTGAACCAAAAAAGTAGGTACTTGTAGTAGGATTATCATTTTCTGAGAATGTGTCGTCTCCTATTTTGTTGTAATTTTTGAAATCAATGATAATAATGATCGAAAACACTAGTTCCAAAATTCTGGAAATTAAGGGTTATTCATTTCAAGACAGCACCAAGTTCAAAACAGGCATTACCCTTCGTTTTCCAAGAGTTGTATCCATCAGAAATGATAAAGACTGGAATGATTGTCTTGATTTACCTGGGCTTGAAGAAATGATAGAATTATCTAAAAACGGCATCAACAAGAGAAAGGCTGCAAATATGGATTCAGTCATTTCTCACAACGATGTAAAGAAACAAAAGAGGAAGAAGAATGCAACCACAACCGTTCAGAATAGTGACGGGACTCTTATGGAGGTGGCTGTTTCAGCAAAAAATCGACGACCGACTGCTGCTGTTTCACAATTTTTCGATCATGACATGTCAAAACTCGAAAAGACATCAACTTTGTTTAAGGGCATGCAATTTGTGGTTTTTAATGGTGATGAAAATGTTTCAAAATATGAAATTGAAAAGCTAATTGTTTCAAACGGAGGCTCTAAAGTACAAAATCCTAACGATCATGAAAATCAATACCTCATTGCAGCTAATACCAATAGTAAGTAGTTGCGAAACATTAATCTTTGAATGTACCTGACACACTGTAATTATTGTGTCATGTTACAGACATCACTGTGAAAAATTGGATTGCTTCGTCGAAGGAAAAGAAGAACCCGCTTGGAGATCGTGACATTATTCACTACAAATGGATTATAGATTCTGTATCCCAAAGTTCAATTCAAAGACTGCATCCAGGATACATGATTTACACTTCAGAAAGGACACAATATTCATTCAAAGAGCAAATGGACGAATTTCAAGACGAGTACTTGTTTGATGCAACCGAAGAATCGATTAAGGTATCATTGCAGCTCACTAAAAATTCTCGTGAATTTATGATAGCAGATTCAGATATTATTGAAACCATCAACGCACGATATAACATTAAGACTTCAACTTCGTTCTTTAAAGGAATTCGAGCATATATTGACAAGTTTGTAAAGATTGGAGATGCATCTTCGGGCATTGCAATATTGGGAATGGAAACTTTGGAAGTGTTCATCTCCTTATATGGAGGATCTGTCAGCGAACGATTAGATTCATCTGTGACTCACATTGTGTACGATGAAGATGATACTTCTCGGCTCCGAACACTCAAAAGAGTTGCCACAAAGGAGGGCTTGTTTCTAGTTCCAAGAGAGTGGATCATGAGTTGTGTTCAAGCCAAAAAATTACAAGCCATTCCAACAATGAATTAATCAATATATTGTTGTTGTCATTACAAGAATTTTCACAAATTTTAATGAAGGCCTTCATTCCATGCTCTTTCACAAAGCAAGAATTGGTGTCCTAAAAATTTTAACCTAGTGTTGTTGTTGTTGATTGATGACAACATTTGTAATATCTCTCAAAGCACCTCCACCTGGTGAAAGTGATTGCAACGTTGGTGTCTTCTTATTTGCCATCAAAAACTTCTTTGGTGTCGAGGATTTGACTGGTGATCTTGTTGGACTCGATGTAATGCTTGAAGTGGGTGAACTTGGTGCAAACGATGAGGTGGCATCTGTATCCGTGTCTGTATCCAGTCCTCCAATATGAGTCCTATTATACTCTAATTGACGTTGAACCACAGCCAATTCCATTCTCAATGTGAAAATTTCTTTCTGTTGACCTTCAATCTCACGATTCTTCTTTTCAAATTCCTTTTCTGACTTTTCACGAAATTCCTTAAATTTCTGTGCCACCTCATTCAAACTTGTCAATAATTGTTTTCCTCGTTCTTCGAGTGCCTTATTGGCTTCCTTTTCCTTTTTGTATTTTTTCACAAATTTCGACAAGGTAGGCACCACATCTTTCGAATCTGAAACGGACAATAAATTCTGAACTTGTTTCAACACAAATTCCTGTTCAATCAATTGTTGAACCGTCTTTTCAAATTCTTCCTTTCGTTCCAAATTCAATTGTTGTAATGTGTGTTCATGCGATTCTTTGAGTGCTTGTTCCTTCTCTTCAAACTCTTTGGAAACTTTCTGTTTGAGACATTCCAATTCATTTTCATGTTGTACGTGTTGTTCCGAGAGAGTTTCTTCCAACTGATCCAAACGAGTTTGTAATTGAGAAATGAGAACTTGTCGTTCCGATAATTCACTTTGAAGTTTTTTAATCTTTTCATCCTTGACAGCGTCTTGAACTGTTTTCATGACTTGAGAGGACATGAGAAGAGGATTATGAGGAGTATGATGATGATGTCTGATGAGATTCATCGAGTTGGAGGAGATCATCATCATGGAATGAGGTTTGAGAGAGGAAGAAGAGAGCATGGAAGAGGATTCATCATTTCGTGTGTTGTCTTGTAATTCGGATGGTAATTGGAGAGATTCTGTGAGGAGGGATGATGAAGAAGAGGACTTGGATGAGAATGATTTGATGGGAATGGGTTGTGTCATTGATGAATTCATCTTAAAATTTTAATGTTTTGTCTGTCGGTGAAAAATGTGTGATTCTTTTTTTTAAAAAGATTTAACGGTTGTTAAATTGATTTTGGAGGGAAAAGATGTGTTTGTCCCGTTTATGGGTTCATCTCGATCAAAATGAGACATTACTGAAATCAAGTCTTGACAGAACAAGCTCTGAGAATTCAAGGATTACTACTGATCATTTCTTACTGACCTTGTTATTTTGGATTCCTGGAGTGATTCATGGATTTATGAGTTGGTTTCTGAGACATTATCACCTTCAGGTCGTACAAATAGAAAGGACGTCGTACTTTTTAAAAAATTTGTGTCGTACTAATCTTTGAATCCTGAGGACGTATTCTGTGCCAAATCAGGAAATAGTTTTGTGCTCTTAGCTCCTCCCTGAGTATTCCCATTTCAAACAGTTGCAGTTTCCAAAACATATGAATAGTTGAAAAAAAGAGTTTTTCACAACGCATTAAATCAAAAAAAACAACTGAAAGTATTTTCATACCTTACAATCTAAACGAAAGAAAATGCAAATCTCTCAACCAAATAACACTTCGTATTCCAATGTTTTCATTGTTGGTTCTACTGGTACTGTCGGTCAGCATGTTACAAGAGCCTTCTTGATGGATCATCCTCATGTGCATGTTCAAATTCTTGTCCGAGAGGAAAGTCAAGACAAGGTTCAAGAATTTCAACAATTAGGAGCTCGAATTGTTGTTGGAGATCTTCAAACCATTTCCGAACAGGAGCTTGTCCAATTGTTACAAGGTGTCGATGTCGTGGTGAGTACTGTCTCTGGAACCTTGCAAGTCACTTGGGATGGTCAATTGAAACTGCTGAACGCATCGCTCAAAGCAAAAGTTAAGAAATGTATTCCTTCCAGTTTTGGAGCAAATTATGAAAAGTTGGAATATTTATATGGAGAACTCATTCTCAATAATCCAAAGAAGCAAATTTCAGAAGCTCTTGTTAAGAGTGGATTGGAATATGTTCTCATTCATACTGGTTTCTTTTATCCCTACGCTGCAATGCCTGGCTTCTTATTGGATTACGATCCTGATAATCATTTAGTTCGTTATGTTCACGACATGAATACCCGAATTCAAATGATTGATTTGGAAGATGCTGGAAGAATGACTGCTGAAGCTGCACTCAGAAAGGACATTAAGAATCGAAGTGTAATCATTAAGGGAGATGATCTCACGATTCAAGAGCAAGCACAGCAAGTGTTTGGATCTGATGTAAAATTCCAACAAGGATCTACTCTTTCCGAACTCAAGATCAAATTGATCAATGGAAGAGTTTAGATCCGAACACGGATTTTCAGTTGTTTACATTACAATTGAGATGGGTGTATGCCTCACAAAAAGAAAGAGCCACCAAGTATGATCATGAAGAATTGTTCCCAAAGATTCAACCGAAAAGCTTTGCCGAGTACATGGCAACAATTAAGTCATCATCGCTTGAACATTAGTTGACTAATTATTTTGGAAATGTAATATTTTTAACAATAAAGGGATGGATTGGAAGCAATTCATTTTGAATTTCTTTCATCAGTTGTGTGCGCAACTTTTGAAAAGAAGTGAACTGAAATGTCTTGCTTGCGAAGGGAGATTTGTTTATTAAGGTTGGCCAAAACAATAAATGAAAACAAAAAAAATTTAAAATATCCGAATTGGCCCACGGAATCAATTCAAGAGATCTTGTATCGAAATGGAGGTTCTGATCGTGAAGGGATGTGGAGGGTGTTGTTTCTTTTGATGAAGTGGTATCTTTCTGCTCGATACGAAAGCATCCGATGAAACCATGACCTCCGAATGAGGTACATGAGCCAAAGCAGTACTGGTGGTACTCAGCGATATGAATGGAGAGCCGAGCTCAAAAGGAGAAAGTTGAGGTGAGCATAAAGTTCTTTTGGAATCCCTCATTACTTCTTGACTTCCAGTCATTAGAGCAGGATGAACCGTTGGGGACATGTTGGAGATTGAGGTTGGAGATTTCTCGTCCTCGTTGGGATGAACGATCCATAGGTTTGATTCATCCTTGTAGGATGAGGAGGTATTGGTAATACGTACAGGTGATGAGTCTCGAGCTCTGTTCATGACTGGAGAGGACGATGCGAACTGTGGAGTATTTGGTGTCTTTTCGCTCGAGAGCACTGGAGATGAAGAAGGAGTTTGTGGTTCGTTTGGAATTGTTCGTGTTGATTGTGGTTGTTTATGCTTGTTGGCACCACCACCGATGTTACCTTTTCGTTTCTCCTTTTGACCTACCACAGAAACCTTCCATTCCAACACACAACTTCCCGTAAGTACATCACATTTAGTAACGATGGGTGTATTTCTGATCGAGTTAATCTTTTCCATCTTTCGTTGTTTATCAATTCTCAATTGACGAACCGAGTCAGGTGTTTGAGGAGAACAAAACTTCCAAAGTTTTGAACCTGCCGAATTGCCAGTGGTTACTTCGTTGAGAGTAGTAGTTGTACTTGAAATGGTAGGATGCGTAGGAGTTTTCAGAGTAGGAGTGTTCATCAATGTTGGTAGAGATGGAGTGGTTGCATTATTCGTTTTTGAGTGAATACGAATAGGACTCATGGTAGTTGCCTGATCCATGTTCAAGGGTTCGACGGTCATGGTAGTAAGAGCAATCGATCTGTCTGCCGAACAAGGGCTTTTCTTTTGAGATGACATGCTTGGAGAACACTGTTGTGATGAAACGGATGAGTTTGAACCATTCTGGATAATGAAATCACGACAATCTTCGCCAGTGCGAAATGGACTGTTGGAGGCATGAAGAGTTTCTTCGTTGTCGTGCGTCAAGAGCCGAATTGGGTGTTTACATGCCGTTGGATAATTTTGCGTATTGATGTTGCATGATGACATGTTCAACCAATCACTTCTTCTTTTTCTTGTAATTTCCAAATTACCATCTTTTGGATGTTCAACCGGTGGAAAAGAAGTGTGCGTGGAGAACGTGAAAGCATTGTTATCAATTAAGGATGAGTAATGAGGTTTCGTTATGACGTTGCTAGGACTGTGAGGATGGTCCCTGGTATTGTATTTACAGTGGTTGTTGAGATTTTGTTCTATTGAGAGAGCTGGATTACTTTTGATCTCTGAAGTGTCGTATTTCGAATGGTTGTGCTCGTAGAAACATATTTCGTCAACCATTCGATGGTTTCTGAGAGAACGATCTGAAGGAGTGCTACATGGATATTTATGGATGTGATTGACGTTGTCACTTCTTTCAAGAGGATTGCGAGTGGGAGAGTATGAACGGTGGATCATTCTACCTTCGTGATCTCGTCTCGTAGGTGATCGAGCGCAGTCGTGTGTTGAAGAATGTTGTCCACCGTGGTGTTGTTGTGTGGCTAATTCTGCAGCTTGGATTGAGCTCATTACGCGACTTGTTGTATTGATTCACTATTTCTTTTTGAAAAAGAACTTGGTCCAATGATGTGTTGGTGACAAAGGGAAATTAATAATGAAATCCACTCGTCCATCTTTAAAAAAGAGAATGCTTTTTTTGGCATTGCGTCACACAATAGGTTTTTGACTTCTCCTTTCATCATGTCCTCACAAGGGCTTGTTTGATCAATGGGAGGTCTTGATTTAGAGACAATACAATGTGGGATCAATTAGAGGCAGTTTAAAGGCAAGATAGACACGCTCACTTCTTGTTTTGTTTTAGGTGAAGAGACTCTCTGTTGTTGAATGTCCATTGTAAACATGGAAAATTGCTGCAAAAACAGCATTCACCGTCTTTAATTAGGGTTTTTGGTTCGGGGTTTGCTGAAGGAACCAAAATGTTAGAAATGCTTTTTGTGAAAGTTACTTCATGAGATGGAGTGCCGGCATGTTTTTATCAATATTTTATTATCGATTTCGAAATTGCAACCACAAAGAAGGGAATGAAATTAGTGTAGACACCTGATGTACGGGAGTTCACATATTATAAGAACAACATGTTAAAGATCCTCATAATCTTTTAATGGACTGGTGCGGGTATTTGTCATACAACACTTGTGTGGATGGACCAATTGTATCATACAAAAATACAAAGTTTGCTAACGTAATAATAAAGTAGAAAATTCTTCGAATTGTAAACAATTATTGACGTCCTAGATTGATTGCCTTCAATTCTGACACCACATAATCTCCACACAAAATATCTGGATACTTTTCAGATTTCCACTCTTCCTTCAATGGAGCAATATTTTCATCGCTGGCAATGTGTGAGAATAAAGTTGAAGAGACTCTCCATAAAGGTCGGCCTAATTCTTGTTGTCTCTTCATGGCATCCAGAGTATCTTGAATCACAACAACTTCATGCATACCAGATTCAATGAGACCACCAGTCATCCATTCCAATTGTTTACCTGCTTGAAGCAAGAGACATCCCTTAGGAACTTTGACTTGTAATTTCTTACCATTTCTCAACCAAATGAACAAACCAGGGTATTTGCTTGCAGAGTGAATGGTAATGTAATTAAGATCAAAGTGGAATCCAGCAAGAACAGTTCCCAATTCTCCATACTTGTTGAGATCACTGCCAGTTGGTGCAAGTAAATGACGACCATACTCGAGCTTGTTCGTGAAAGCATTCTTCTCAAGACCAAGACCCATAGCCAACAATTCTGAAACGCTTCTCACTGCGGTAATCATGCATTCAGCCCAACCATCCTATTTGTGGTGAATCGTCCATTCATATGCATAGTAATATTGCCGTCGTGAATGATTTCAATGTGTGTATACAAAATGTTATGGAGTGCGTGCAATTTACAGAGAGAGATACAAGAAATGTTCGATATATACATTCCAACAAATAAAACAGTAAATGAATTCATGTATCCACCAAATCAATAAGGACTTACCATCATGGAAATCCATCGATCAGCAAAAGCCTCAGGAACGACATTGGGTTGATTGAGGGATGGGAATTTTGTGTTTGGATTTGTTTTGCCATATGGATGGAAAAATCTCCTAACGTTGTTCGTATACGAATATCAGTGGATCACACCAAATAAATATCATTATGGTCACAAACGACAAGGAATGGGTAAATTATTAATTTCATATATTTGAAATGTGAGCTAACATACCATTTGGGGTCCTTGCCCTTGGTTGGTCTACAAGATTTTCACACACATTAATACGAATTATAAAAGGAAAGTAATGTTGCGACGAGCCAAAACAAGTATGATGTTTCAATTATTCCATATACGTAAAATTTGGATCGATGGAAATAGATTTCACGGTACAACAGGCCACAATATTGAAATAGCATTTAACAGCCATAAATTGTGAAGGGTCAACATAGTAGTGCAAACGTTTGGGCTCGGAAATTTTGTGACCAAAAGGTGGTCACACCAAAATTGATACCATTTCGAAGGTCCAGATGTAAATGTTGTTGTTGTATACAATTTACAGTTGTTGTTGTTGGTGTTTTACCCGAGCAAGCAATCCGTGGTGTGTGAGAAGTTTCTGAAACTTTGGAAAAAAACTGTACGTACGTTGGTTGACTTTCCAAGTTATCTTTCAACTTGGTGACAATATATTCGGTATTGTCTCTTGGACGTTCTGTCATCTCGGGTGTTGCTCCAATCTTTGTGTTCACAAAATGCAATCAGAGGCAACAACATTTTGAGCGGTCGTCAGCACCATTCATGACAATGCAAGCACACACCGTAACAATAATAGGTCAATAACGTATTGTCATCATTGGAATATTCATAATTAAATGTTCATAATTGACAAAAAGCATGACCATACGTCAATGAGCATGATTTCCATCGAAACAAAATTATTGAAAAAGATAATGATGCCACGAACAAACATACCTGATAGGACCACTCTGGGTGAACATCTTTCATTTTGACTTCAGTTGGTTGAGCATAATAGTCTTCCATCAAATCTAAAAACGAAGCTGCTTTCTCAAAAGTGACACGAGGGTCGCGGACTATTCATCATCATGATGACGAAATGATTAATGATGATGAACAAGCATCATGAAAATACTCGAAATTCAATAAATTCATTCCACAAGAATATGAAATACCTACGAATCAAACAAGAAGTTTCAACAAATGATTTTCGGACCAAATCAATATCTTCTTGTCTAACATTTCCGTTCAAATATTCAGTAATATCAACAATAGGGAGGACTTCCATTTTGTTTTTGAGAGAGTGTGAGGATGATGTCGTCTCGTTTTTTTGAAAGGTTATCGAAAAAAAAATCTTCAACGAATTGTTGCTGAGTTTTTGACTTTTGTGGATTTTGGTCAACCACGCGATTTTGGTCAATTCTGGAGAGTGGTACTGACCTGGTAACACTCGGCTAGGATTACCATTGGATTTGTGCTTGATGTTGGATGATGGAACACGTTGGGAAAATTGTAAAATGAATTGACTCTATGGCCATCATCATCTTCGGAAGAATTTGTTCGTCTCTCACTGCATGCAGCATGAACTCGTAAAGAAGAAAATTTAAGAAAAAAATTTACAGTTTTTCAAACGTTCCAACAAGGCACCTTATTGAACTTTTCTTGAGTTGTTGTATTAATTCATATCATATCCACCACCATGATTACAAGTGCTGATCATCATCCACGTTTTTTGAAAACTACCATTCCTCCTCCAAGCAATCATTCGGAATTAAGGGCAGCTCCGCCTGGATCCCGATTGGAATTGGAGTTCATTCATGGGTGTAGTAAGAGAGGATGCAGAGGAAATATTTTGCATATGAATAATAAGGGTAGATTGGTGTACCCTGCAGCTGGATGTGGTGTGGTGCTTGACATTGAAAATAATACGCAACAGATTTTCAACAAGCATACCGATGATGTTGTTTGTATTGCAAAACAGTAAGTGATATCTCTGCATGCTATTCATTGTCGTGTTTGTATTTCATGAAGTCCGAATGGTGATCTGTTTGCAACAGGTCAAATTGGCAGAAAGAATGACATTTTTGTTTGGAGCAGCTCTGCGACAAGTGAACCAGTTGCTGTCTTGGAGACTTTCCACCATTTCAAGAATGCTGGTGTCATTGATTTGTGTTTTTCAAAAGATGGAACCAAATTAGCAGCTGGTATGTTTGTAAGGTAGAATTTTTCAAAATTATACTGAGCGTGTTCAAGTTGGTGGAGACATTATGAATTCAACTCTTGTTGTTTATGAGTGGCAGTCTCAAACATTGTTAGGATCATGTAAAGCACATTCTGGTGACGTTTATGATTTAAGTTTTAGTCCAGATGATTCTAAAATTTTGTTGTGTGGAAAGAATTCAGCAAAATTCTTTGAGGTTAACAATGGCCTTCAAGCTCGTCAGGCTGTTTTTTCTCCAAGAGGAGTTGGTCAAACTGTGTATTGTACATGCTACGATCCATCTGGAAACCCCATTTGTGGAGTCAAGGATGGATCTCTATATGCGTTTTTTGGAAACAAGCTTGTGTATAAGAAAGATGCTCACTCTGGTGCATGCTATACCAGTTACAGAACGCAGAATGGTTTTATTACTGGCGGCAGAGATGGAAAGGTTTGTATTTTGCACTGATCCATGAATTTTTCGCTCAAAAATATAATTCTCTCTTAAGATTATTTGGTGGGAGTTTACATCAGAGCAAGTTGAGGGTGTACACTTGTTTAGACAAGTTGCATCGCTTAATTTAGTTGATCCAATCCAAAGTGTTGTGCCCTCCAACATTGAGTCTGATGTGGTATATGCTACTCGTGGCAATGGAGATTTGGTTAAAATCTCGAACAAGACACGAGTTGAAGTATTGCTTGTGTCACATGTTGCAGAGAAAGATGATGAATTATGGGGCCTGTGCGTGATACCAGGATCCAAATTATTCCTTAGTGCGGCCGATGACGGAAGATTGATTATGTGGGATGTTTCCACACATAAACATGTACAACAAGTTAAAGTCACCAACAAAGGAGAGCTGCGAAGTGTTGCATTTTCACCTGAAAAGTCACACATAGCCACTGCCACAAAACATGGAACGTTATTTGTTTTCAATTTTGATGGCACTTCCATTGCTTCTCAGCCTTTGGTCAATGAAAAGAGAGCAGCTGAAGAAGTTGCAGCAATGCAATACTCTCCAGATGGCTCATTACTGGCTCTCGGTTCTCATGACAATTTCATCTACATTTTGAACACCTCTGACTATAGTTTGAAATACAAACTTGTTGGACATACAAGTTTTGTCACACACATTGACTTTAGCTGTGACGGAAATTTGTTAAGAAGCAACAGTGGTGACTATGAAGTGTTGCTTTGGGACATGACAACAGGAAAGCAGGTTGTCAAAAATGGTGTCAATATGGAAGATGTTGATTGGCATACTGTTAGTTGTACACTAGGATGGAAAGTTAGAGGTGTTTGGAAATCTGATATGGACGGAACAGACATTAATGCTGTTGATGTTTACTATGGCAAGCAACTGTTGGCCAGTGCTGACGATCTTGGTACGGTCACTTTGTTCCACTATCCAACAGCGAGTGTTCATCCGCAAAGCGAGCAATATTTGGGACACTGTTCTCATGTGACCAACGTTCGATTCACGTCAGATGGCAAACACTTATTAAGTGCAGGAGGTGCTGACATTACCATTTGTCAGTGGAGAATTGTGTAAGCGAAACTTTTTGGAAGAACATAAAAAATGTCATTCACACACCATATGCTCCGATGCTTTGTTTGGATTTAAAAGGACCCGTCCTTTAATTACTGTTCATCGGTGAACAGTAATTGCACCTTCTCGATTTAAAAGGAAATATCTTTTCTTGTTAGCTTTGAATTCGTTAATCAAAAGAAAATGACCAACAATAGTATCGGGCAAGAATGCATCATCAATGAAGAAGAGGTCATGTCCAATATTGATAAGCTTGTCATATTCCTGAAAAGATTAAAGGTTACTCACTTGGTGATTGAAAGAAATCTCTTCCGAAAGAGTTTACTCCCGAACAATAACGACACTCCAAACAATACTCATCATACGAAGAAACAACTTACTCCATCCAATTATCATCACTCCTCACCTTCCGAGTCTGAATTTCATTTTCGTTATTTCACGGGTAGCGAGTCTTTTATTGAGTGGACGAAAACGGCAGTATTGAATCCTCTCTTCTTGAAATGCTCGGATTTAGAGACTCATGTTCAGACCACTCAAACCCTGATGCAGTCAATCAAAGGGAAAACTATGCCTACCAATTCACGAAAAGGAGAGCTCATTTCAGAAGTTTTGGTATGCCTCGAATTGCTGAGCTTGTTTTGGATTAGGCTGAAGAATGATGATCGTGATACCATTAAGAATGTGGATGCATCCACAACATCGTCGTCCAACAGTACTACTGGAAGCTGGTCCAGTCATGAGCCGAATTCTATTTTAACTGCCTCTTCTTCATATGGAATACCAGTAGCGAATAGAGCAGTTTCATTTTCGAGCGAACCTTACTGCAAAGCAGCTCAAGAATTGCAACAGTCCTTACCATCTCAAATTAGAGAGTTGTATCGATTTCTCTCGATCTTTTTTGAACCATTGGAAGATTTGATACCCCTGGCGTGGGATATGACAACAAGGTGGAGAGGAATGAGGAGACATGCTCCGACCCTGGTAACATGGCGATTTGGAGTTTTTTGTGGTCGAATCATGACGACTTTAAACGACTTGCTAATAATACTGTAAAACAAGAGACACTTGTGCCGAGAAATTGTGTAACCTCCAATGGTGATAATCCATTCACTGATTACCAAAACGTGGTGACGTCTGGTGCAAACGAATTATTAAGATGCTTTAATAATGTGCTTGACTCTAGTGAAGAACGAATTCACTTCTTTGATTGCCTTATCTCGATTCTTTCGCTCAAACAATTGTATTATTATTTTGCGTGTCACGACAAACATGACTCAAACAATGAAGCAATACATGAATCCATATCACAAGAAGAGTGGAAGATGATTTTTCCATTTCAAGATATATCATGGATTCCAAAGATGCAAGAATTGAATATAAAAGAACAGATCACCTTATTGAAAACCATTGTGAACCAATTGTATAATACCCTATTTCAATGGTTTCAAATGAAAGTGAACGATTATCTTGTTCAAATGTTACAGTCAGTACGGGGAGGATATGATGAAACACAGGGCATTCCACCAGAATTACTACTAGAAAATCAATATCTACTTATTGAGCTTGTGAATAGTTATCAAACTGATGCAGAGAAAACCTTTGACATGTCGGATCATCGACAATCCTTGATACACAAGAATCATCTAGAAAAATTTCAAAAATTTAGAGAACGAAAAAGACAACACAAATCCATGACGAACCTAATGGTTGACAAGACAAGTGCTCTGAATCCGCTAGAAGACACCTCAGAAAATTCTCAACAGTTTAACCTTATCAAAATGACCATGACTGAAATGATTAAGCAGTTATTTGAATCAAAATTTGGCAACATTTCCACTTTCACTAATGATTTTGCGTACATGAGCCTCTTCGAAAAATCTGCCCTGTCCTATGTTTTTTGTCTCAACTCGAATATTCATGACGATTACATATATAAACAGAGAATTGTCAGCTATTTACCTGAGATTGTGGACTTTAAGAGACAAATTCTATCAGTCATGTCTGATGTTAAATTGGATGTTCATGTGCTTGATAAGGCAATGAATGAGTTTGGAGACCACACGAATGACGTGCTGCTAAGTACCAACACCTCTCAACACGAAATACCAACTGCAGACCCATCCATGGAGGTTATATCGCCAGATATAATAATAACTAACATTCCTATCCCAACTCCAATCTCACCTCCTGAAAGCAAAAAGAAAATTTTTACAATTAAAAAAACGAAACAAAGAGAGCAGAGAGAGCTTGAGCTCCTACAAGAAGAAGTGGATGAGTTGGAAAAGCAAATTCATGAAAGAAAAGAACTAATTTCCAAAATTGAAAACTTGAAACGTGAGAAGGGAAGTGATCAAAGTACTTTAGCGCAACAAGTTGTTGATTTGAAAGAAATTTCAGTGCTCGAGAAGACAATTGTGAAGGCTAGATCGTGTCTCGCATTATGCAACGTGTATCATTGTGACTGGTATCGAGACAAAATTGTAGAGTATCTTGATGAATTGAGAGAACTAGTTGAAACATGTGAAAACCCTTCTGATGTGAAAGAAGACAGCTTGGTTTTGAAACATTTACAAGACCATCTTGACGAACAGTAAGTACATACAAGCGAAACTGGATCATCATTACCTCTTGGCCGTCATAAAGCTCCTACTACATTGGCTTTCAGTTACCATCATTATTCACCTCACTGCAAGATAACACATCAGCCACAAATTGTGCAAACTTTAAGGGATTTCAGCGATTATACAAATATATGGACATTATAGAAAATCATGTGGATATAATTCCTTTGTCTCCTCTCAATGTAGCAGAGTGTTTAAAGCTTTGCACGAGAAAGCTCCAATCTGATTTGGAAATTCTGACACAAGTGAGACATTTTCGTTCCATCACATTGTACAATAACCATGAAATTGGGTGTAGAGTTGTGAAATGTATTGAACTTTTGAGTCTTAAATCACCATATAGATCTCTCATTTCATTATTGCTGAATGAATTTCATACGTTTCAGGTTGCAAGTGAGTTGTTGAGACTATCTTTGAAACATTTTCAAGCGTTCAAAGATTATGTGTATGCGCTGCTTCATATGATTCAGTCTATTGTTGAGAAAATTACTGGCTCATTAGACGAGCACGCAGAGAACATTTTGTCGTCACAACAGGATGTTCACGAAGCGTCGTCGTGCGATAGAAAAGAATTGGACTCGATTGCCTCTTCGCTTTCCAATGCATCATTTACGTTCAGCTTAATATTCGCATTTAATATGTCTTATTCTGAACTCCATTGGAATGAAACTACAGTGTTTGATATTTTGAGCTTGTCCGTTTCAAGAGACAGCTATGGTGATACAGTCACAAGCGCTCATACTACTCTCAATCTACCCATTGCTCGCACTGCCCTTTGTCTGTTGAGACTCCTTCTTCACAACAATTACATCTTCGACATTTTAAATTCTTGCAACAGAATTGAAAGATTATTACCAGAAAATTTAATACAAGCTCTCAGAACATGTAGCGATATTGAATTGCAAAATGAAGTAATTCAGTTGATAGATCTAGGAGCCCGAAAAATCGCTTACAAGAGTAGCATTTCTCAAGACATGACCATGTGCGACTTGCCAATTGCAGAGGATGCTTCTCAATTCAATGAACAAGTTCTAGGAGAAATTGTGAACCAAAAGAATTGTTTCACATTGTTTAACTATAGAGACATGTTTTTGGATGATCACGCACCACAAATTCTCCTTCTCATTCTTCATAACCATGTCATGCATTATGTGGATGGAAATTTTGGAAATGATTTTTCACACAAGAAAATGGTTTGCTTGTTGACTCAATCAATTTGTAATGCTCTATATGCATTGTTGACAGAAAACAGTTGTGATGCCATGTTAAACCTATTTGAGAACGAAAGACTTCAAAAAACGAACAGTGCAGGTAGTTTGAGTATGACGTCAGCATCGGCGTTGTGGCAGCATCGACCCAGTGTAGACATGATGTCACTCAACCAATCCTTTGCTTCAAGCTTATCAGAAAATGGTATGAAGAGAGAAATTTATAGCTGTTTGTTTTATGTGTTGCTTCAAGCATTGTTAATAGAAAGAAGATCCTCCATTATGGAATGCAGTAGCAGTGATGAACAAAACAATACTGCTCCATACATTGAATGTGAATTATTCAAAGTGTCATGGCATGCTTTTATGGATTTAATGAGATCATCTGGAGAGTTTAGAAGATGTGTCGATCGACAATTTGCATCTGTTGCCTATCTGCGAGATTTATCCTTTTTACAGCTCTTATTGGGAACATTTAATCATTCACACATTAGAATTCCCATGACAAAGGAGATACCAAACATGAGTGATGAATGGCCCTTACTTGACAAGCAAGATCAACTACTCAAGATAGAACTGGAGAAATATGGGCCAGATGTTTTACAGGATTTGCATTACAGTCGCCTTCATTCGGATGACCATATCGATCAATCACCCCACATTTTAGAGTGCACGCCGTATGAGTTGGCGAAGGAGGTGTTGCTTTTCAAGAGAATTCATGCACGATACGAGTTTGATACGAACAGCAACACTTCAAGTATTAATCCATTTCACAATGGTCATGATTCCGTTGGGCCCTCTCTCATTGAAGCACTTTGTGAAAAATACACAAGTGGTTTCTTTTCACACTATGCCGAGCAGGGTCTCTTTGAATGGAATGAAGAATTTTCAAGCGTTTTGGAACATTCTCAAGAACATGAAGAAGAGTTGTTGCATTTGCAATATGCCCAACAGCGGCAACAATGGTCACAGAAAAGTCCAAAAAGATCCAACGAGAACAACAGAGGAGGAATATTCTCGCCATTCCAACCAAGTCCACAACAACGTTCACCACTACCATCTTCACAACAGACTCCATCAAAAACACTCTCCCATCATTCATCGGTGTCAGCATTGCCAGGAATTTCTCCAATTAAGAAGATGATGACCACACAGTTTCCATCCTCTCCTTCACTTCCCAGCAAGTCATCTCCACCAACTCCTCAACGATCGATGAAGCCCAAAAAGTTATTTTTCTAATGAGACCTTGTATAAAACTTGGTTTATTCGAGCGAACACTTGTTCGGTGCCGCGTGTCAACACGAAGGTGAGAGAGCTCCAATACGAATCGATTTCACCTTAAAAAAAAATGAAAGCCTTAAATTGCCAAAGATGGAGTCGTAAAGGAGAGATGCCATTAATACCACCCTCAACGGAACGAAGAAAGACTCTTTTATCATGAGAAGCATCATCATGCTGTTCATAATGATTGTATATTTTCGGGCAAGCAATCACGACTCGAATGGCGCTGTAATGGCTCACAAGTTATTTACGACCGCGACCACTCATCATCATGATATTGACGCTGCTTCTAGGGAAGAGGCAGGAGTAGGCCCCAAGGTCATACACGATGAAGAACCTTTTCATAAATGTGTTCATGATGATATTTTGCAATATGAGAGATCAATTAGTCATCTTCCCGGAAGCATCTTTTACCAGATGGAGGCTAGTTTTCTTCATCAAGAGCGAGAATTAAGGAAGAGAAAGCGGTCCGCCACGACAGTACAGGAAGTCTGGTCGAATTTGAGAATTGCATTCAGATTAGATTACTTGGGCTCGACCGATGTGGAGTCGCGATCGTGCATTGTGAAGGATCAATGGTACTGGGATGGAATCAATACGCCACCTTCGAGTCCATTTCCTGGAACACCTGCTTGCGATACGAAAACTTTAACCACGAATTGCTGGCGTAGATGTACAGAGACACAAGTTATTTCGGATGCTCTTATTACGAACGTTAGAGATGTGTTATTACCATCACTCAAGCAAGAGCTTTCGTTCATGGTGCAGACACGATCTGTAAAAGATGGAGACTTGACATCGTTTTTCAGTGCAATGACTCGATGCGGTTCCAGAGGAGGCGTGCCAATCCCTTCTGATTTGAAGACACGTGGCTTTGACGGTCTCAACGCTGACATGATCATTTTCGTGACAGCTCGTCCCACAGACACTGGTGTGCTTGGTTGGGCTGTACAATGTGCCTCTGATGTCATAACGAAACGACCTCTCGCTGGACAATTGAATTTGTCGCCATCCATCCTGAGCTACTCGCTCAAAGAGAGAATGACTGTGCTTGTTCACGAGTCCTTACATGCACTGGGTTTTTCTCAGGCAGCAATGAGTACATTTTACAATAGTACTCTGTCGAGAACCATGACATTCAACGAAGTGGCAGTTGCAGCAAAGAAGACATTTGTAGATAATTATGGAACGTCACAGTCTGTAGACGTGAACATTCTGAAAACTCCAAAGGTAGTAGAGGTCGGACAAAGTCACTATGGTTGCCCAACACTGACAGGAATAGAAATGGAGGAAGGTGGCGGGCAAGGCACAGCATTCTCTCATTGGGAAAAGAGAATAATGAGAAATGAAATAATGGTTGGAAGTTTGGGAAAGGACCAAATGATTTTGAGTCCCTTCACCCTTGCATATTTTGAGGATTCAGGTTGGTATAAGGCCAATTTTTCGCGAGCCACTACATTGCAATGGGGAAGGAGTATGGGCTGTAAAATGGCGACTGGGCGTTGCGAACAGTGGTCTCAAGATGCGCCTTCACAAACTGGCTATTTTTGCAGAGATTCAAGTGTCTCAACATGTACCTATGATTTTAAAAGTAAGGGTGCCTGCTCCATCACTCAACACACACAAGCTTTGGGATATTATGAACACATTGCGGGTAGCCCTAGATTAGGAGGTCAGGATGCATTGATGGATTATTGTCCCTTAATAGAACCTGTCACTTCATGCTCAGATATGGGCGCTTCTAAAGTGAGTGTCAGTGAATATTTTGGAGCTGATGCTGCTTGCTTTGACAGCAACATTGCTGGTTTGTTGGTAAGTCAAAAGGAGGTCGACACGAGATGTTTCAAATACGCCTGTGAAGATGGCTTGCTTGTTTTCTTCATTCAGGATCGTAGATATACTTGCTCTGCCTCTCAAGAATATGAAAGAAAAGAAAATATGCCAATTGGATTCAAAGGATATGTTGCCTGTCCCAAGAATGGTTATGATATTTTGTGTGGGCAAAAGACAGCAAAGAAAGTTCCACACACTTCTAAAGGACCATGTTTGTTTGGAGTTTTCTTTTGCAACTCGGCCTCGAATGCTTTTGAAAATGCTTTTGTGACCTCATTGAAAGTCATCATTGCTTTCTTGGGAGCATTTGTGCTGCTGGTGGAATAAACCAATGCATGTTGTGAAAATTTTCTGTTTACCTCAATTTACACATTCAGACATAGCTGAACGAATATTGTTGGGCGTTCTATCAGTTTAAACAAAATCTGCTACACTAAAAAAATATGCCTTTTAATCCGAATATTACTCTCGAAGAATTACGTCAAGTCCACGTTGATTTTGTGTCACAACGAGATTGGCACAAGTATCATACTCCTCGTAATTTAACACTTGCTCTTGTTGGTGAAGTGGGAGAATTAGCAGAAATATTTCAATGGAAATCGGACGAAATGTGTGAAAATTTAGAACAAAACTTTTCCGAGAAGGAGAAGGAAAACTTACGAGATGAACTTTCCGATTGTTTACTCTATATTTTGAGATTATCGGATGTGTGTGGGGTTGATTTACCAACAGCTGCACTCGACAAGATGAAAAAGAATGAATTGAAATATCCAGTGGGACGTTCATTGGGAAGAGCCGATAAATACACAACCTATATGGATCAACAACAACATGATCATGCGTTGAAGGACTAGGATGCAACTTTGACATCCTCATCATTGGAAATTAAAAATTTGGAATCCAACACACAATAATAATTTCAATCGACTTGAAATTGAAAATCTCATGTTGTTCTATCCAATGAATGAATGGATGAGAGAGTGTGGTTTCTAATGATGGTGATGATGATGGAACAGTTAAGTAATTTTATATTTCCCAGACAATTTCATCAGAGGAGCATTGCACTTTTTCGACAACCGTAGTCGTTCAAATAATCCAAATTCTTCCCACAAGACAATAAATCCATAACTTGTTGTACATTACTTGACAAACATCCAATAGTGCGCTCGTTAGTGGATTCCAATCTAATGTAGTAAGGAAAGTCCGACTTTAATTCATTATTAGTTGTAAATCAACAGAAAGATGGTTGGTAAAACGGATTATTTATTCTTCGCCGCGTGTACGTGCGCATGTCTAATAGTTGAATAAATAAGATTTACATTACCTTTTCTATCCTGTAATTCAGCAAGAGTACAACACAAATAGATGCAACAAACATATGCATCAGTCTCATACAGGATGACACTATTAAGCGTGCGTTGATTAAACATCCCATGGTAAACCATGAGGCATCCTTTGGACTGAAATCAGTTCAAAGAGCATCCCACTAAAGTGAGGCATCCTATTGCGATGCAATAAGGCATCCCAAGTTGAGACATGAGGCATCCCACCCAAAGGTGAGGGAGTTGTGGAAAGCCACAACTATGTTTGTTTATTTCAGAGGTGGATTGGGAGGAGGGTGGGTACTTTTCAATTCTTTGAGAGAAAGTGATTCTATCACCTTTCTCGAAGTAATTGATAATAATTGTTCCATATCACAAGTAATGTAAATTTTTTGAAAGTGAAAATTCAAAAAATTAGTCAACCAACCACTTTTATTGATTAGTAAAACTCCCTTTTACTACCGAATTGGGGATATATTTTGAGGTATTTTAAAAAAAATAAAAAATTCGAAAAATATTCGAAATTCAATGAACAGTTTTGTTTCAAAAGTCAATTTTTACTCTTGAACAACCATTACCTTCATCATCGAACGTTTGAATTTGG